GAGCAGCCAGCCGGCGGCCAAGAGGGCGAGAGCGGGTCAGAAAGGGACGAGGCGAGAGAAACACGTTACACTGGCTTTTAGCCGCCTGCCTGCCTGCCTGCTGATTCTTCTTCTTCTTCTTTCTCTTATTGTGGGGACACACGGTACGTAGTACGCGGTGTCTGTATATATATATCAGATATATATTTTTCGGTGTTCGGTATATACCGAGATTAATGATTTATTCACAATTTCAATATTGATTTCAAACTTTCGATATGTACAAATCAGCTGCGCTTTTCACACGCACACACAACAACATTTACATACATACATACAATATTTATATATTTAATTATATATATACAACTATGTACAAAAGACACACACACTGGAGCGCTAATTCGTTGCCTTAAAGCATTTTTTTTTATTTTCTGTAATTGTTTTGCGGGGCGCTTGGTAAATTTTCACTTGTTGGTTTTTTTTGGAGGGGGGCTGTTTTTTGTTGTTGTTGTTGTCGGCAAGAAACACAAAAAACGTGCTCAACGATCGGCAAAATACACACGAATCTGCTCATTTATTTAATTCCATGCAGACGAGTCAACTGTTGCGGCCAAACTGAAAATTCTACGCTCCCCAGTGGAATAATGTTCGCGAAAAAAAAAATATATCTCGCTGAGGTAGGCACACCTACGTTGGTGTGAATAGTTACACTTGGTGAAGAAAGCAAAGCACATACAAAACACCTTTCCGGTAATGTCTTGAAGAATCAGAATATAATAATACAAGAGCCAAAATACCAAAAAAGAATAAAAGTTAGGGTTATTTTGATAATAATAATCCCTATATTAATGAGCACAATTGTTAGGAGAGTAAGAGAGAGCGAGGTGGCCCCAAGCACTAACAAGTATCAGTGAGCGAGGGCAAGCGAGAGGGAGAGAGCGAGCAGCTGTTGTCTGACAATAACATAATCAGCAACAATTTATGCTGCCCAGAAGAGCGAGTTGAGGCGCTAATGAGGGGGGCCGGTGGCGGCATCTTCTCCGGTCTGGTCTCCCCCCCCTTGAAAGCAGGCCGTCTCTCACCAACCGCACACGTGCAAGCTCGGCATTCTATCTGTCGTCTGCCTCTGTTTGTGTTTGCTAAGCCGCATTTGGCATAGATTTTTTTTACGTAATGTCGGAGAGAGCGCCAAAAAAGAGAGCAGTCGAGCTTAAAAGCCGACTTAGTCGGGGGCTCTTTCTCTCTTGCTCTCTTTTGCTCTCTCTGGTTGTGTCAGGTTAAGTGAGAGACAGCGATCATGATTTGCAAACACAAGCTCCTCAAGCAGCTGTTTGATTACAAGGAGGAACCAAGGAGTTTCTTAAACCGAAGATTGAATACCTTGAAACTAAAAAAAAGTAGTTTCATAAAAAAGTTAATAATTTGAGTTTTCAGCTCCAATCAGGACGAGCATATGATGTTTGTTTATAAAAAACATTCCCCAACAAACCTTCTAGATTAAGAATTTCCTTCAAAAGTAAACCAAGTTTAAGATACATTTCCAGATACACAACCAGATACAATATCTAAATGCCTCCATTCATACCCTCTAATGTCTTAACCTCCGAGTAATCAAATTGCCCGCGACAGTTGCCAGCAATTAAAATCGTTTGGAGAGCTAAACAGTAATGGAAAATTAAATTGTCAAACAATTTGCCGTTGCATTTGAAATGCTTTATTTAATTAATGCAAATGAGCGTGATCGGGGCGAGATAGCCATAGATGAAAAGAGCCATGAGTGACGCATACGGAGCAGCTGCCGACTCTGCTCAGCTGACCACCCGGCTGAGATAATCGAGAAAAACGTGCCAAAAGACAGATAAATAATAAAAGCAACAACCTCACAAGTGAGAACTGAAGCTTAAGAGATACAAAGAGAGAAAGAGAGAGATAGAGAGAAACTAAACCAGGTCTAGCCGGCAATGCAAATCAATCAAAGCCGATGAAGTTTGCGCCACTTGGGGTGCTGCATCTTCTACAGTGTGGAGTCGATATCAAGTCATCTTCTTAAATTCTTAAATTCCATTTATTTAAATTAAAATTGGTTTAGAAATACTTTATAACAATTATTGCATTGGTGCATCATATTAAGTCTTCACTGTATATCTAGAAACTCACAATTTCAGTCATTACCATCAAAGCAGAGCGTCTTGGAAGCTGGAAAATTGCAAACATTTCAGCTAATTGGCGAACATCAGCAGAGAGAGAGAAAGAAACAAGAGACAAGGATGGACGACTCTGTCGGCTTGGCATTTGTTCAATTAGAACGTAGATTGGGGCGAAAGGAGGGGCGGTAAATAGGGGGAGTGGCAGGGTGTCTGCTGCAGAGGTAATAAGCGTAGAAACAAGAAGTTAGTGTGAAATGAAAAGCCAGCCAGGCAATAAAAAAAAATAGAAAAATTAACAGAATAGAATCTTTCAGATATTCAGATACTTTGTATCTTTAAACTACTAATGCAACCACTAATTTACTAAGGAAATAATCAAATTTGTTGACCTTTTTTTTTGATTCTTGAAGCAATCTTAGGCCCTACAACAACAACAAAGAGCATAAAAAAAGAGGACAAACAACAAAAAAACAATTAAAAACGCTTGAAAAAGCTTCTTAACAGAGATGTTCCAATTAGGAAACCCATTATCCAACCAGAAAACTCGAGCGAAATGGGGGGAAAAGCTGCGCTCAAAATCAGATGCCCCACACAGACACACACACACACACAGATAAATCATTACGCGCAGAAAGGCAAAAAAAAAACAGGGGTGGAGGTGGGGACACTGGGAGGGGACTGCAAGCAGAGACAACATGAAAGAATCGCAAGTAATAAGAACACTGCACAGAAGAAGAACCAGAAGAAACGGAGAAAGGAAGAACCAGAATGCGCCACATGCAGGGCAACAACAAAAAACAATAAGCAAGCTCGGCAACAACAACAATACAATGGAAAAGAGGAAGAAACATCGTCGTTGCACCTCTTTTTCCCCCAAAAAGCCCCATGCCCCAACCCCTTTTGTTGCCCACTCATCTGCTCCCCCTCCCCCTTCCCTTTCAATTCCATTCCGTTTCGTTCCGCCCGGCAGTTAAGCGCAAATCAATGACCTACGACATCAACAAGAGCGCGTCAAAAACACGCAGTAGTGGGGAGAAAAAAAAACATAGAGAGCCGAACCCAGCAGATAGCAGATAGTTTCTGAAAGCCAGAAGAACCGAAAGGTACTAGAGGGAGAGTAAGAGGGAGAGAGCACGTGGCTGCAGGTGGAGTGCAGGGTGAGACTAATGGGGATGGGGGGGAAGTTTGGCGAATTGCGGTAGTTGCCGTTGTCTCCGATTCATATCCTATACACCTACTACTACAAATAGATTCCAATACAGTGAATACTAGGTACAAGAGAATTCTACAAGGTCTTCAAATATTTATTTTCTTTTTCATATTATGTATGGGGCATAATTATTACTATTATTGATAGTTTTACTATAATTTATATCATAAATAAATAAATACCTTAATCGAATGTCTTCTGTCATCTCTAACGGGCATAAGAAAAAAGTAGAGTAACAATTCCAGACGCCACAGGAGACGAGGACGAAGGGTCAGAGGGGCCCAACAACAAGGGCAGAAAACTCAATAACACAAACTTTTGCCAAAGCTCTCTTTTGGCACGACTTCTTCAGTGTGCCGCCCCCCTCCCTACCACCATCCCTTCCACAAAAGCGGGGAAATTGTGCAGGAACGTACGAAAGTTTCTTTTTTGTTGTCGTCCTCCTGGTAGTCCTGGTCCTTGTGCTTTCTTTTTGCCCCTCTTCGCCCATGTCTATCGCATAAATGCAATAAATATTTTCCTCCAACAGGATGTGGTGGAAAGAGTATTCAGAGTTCTTAAAATCAACATTTCAGCTTAAAAATACATAATCGATTGCAAGTCCGCAAAACACTTTCCACAAAGGAAGTGAAAAAGGAAATTGCAGGGCAGAGGTCTTAACTGAACTAGCAGGTCTGGCGATTGAAATTCTTTAATTAAAATTGCTTTTCCTTTAAACAATTGTGACATAACGAGGAACTTCTTCGCCGCTCATTACATACTTTCTGCTGCTGGAATTCTTTCATTTATAAATAACAGCTAGTAGTAGTTTCTGGCTAAAATACCTGGTAGCTAGTAGCAGTCTCAGGCAGACAGGTGAGGAGATATAAAGAGGTGGTGCGTGTCGGTGTGCATGCTGGTGGAGACGTTTGTGTGGCATGTGCAATGTTCTGGCTTTATAAGGTTGAAAAATTGCAACCGGAATGGGATCTATGTATCTGGGCCCCGCCTCTCGTTCTTCTAGTCCCCCTAGCCTAGTCTTACCACATTTATCTCCATTAGTAGCAAAGCAAAGACACGATTAAAGAAAGAAGAACAAAGAACCAGAAGAAATAATGGTCGCAGAAGCTAAAGACTCATTTCCCACGAAACGAACTTCAATCATCTATTCAAAGGCGAAAAATGTATCTCAATAATACTATATTTTAATTTCTTAAAAGAAGAAAAGTTTGACAATGAAAATGGAAAAGTTTTAGGCCAAAAAGAATCATAAAACCCTAACAAGGACGAGGGTTATTGATTAACCTCCTAGCAAGAAAATAACATCAAAGTAGAATGGTTAAAGTTTTACCGTTATTTTGGCATAAACTCGGCATTTAAACCTAAGAGCCCTAAGAGCCGATTAGGGCCACTTTACAATAATATTTTGGTAACCTTTCTCAATCGATTTATTATCTAATTGGCGCCCATACTCCAGTCCTTTCTATAAATGACCGCTTTGAAGAATTATGAGTCACTTATGTATCTAATTGGCGCCCAACTCAAGTCCTTCCTATAAATGACCGTTTTGAAGAAATATGAGTCACCTTAAATATAGTTCATAACCTTCCAAGCTAGCTATCCTTCCAAAAGTATCTAAAACCTTAAACATTAAAGCCTAAAACTTATAAATGTCATCTTACCGCTGCATTCCTGTTGGCAGCCGCCACCACCGAGTTGTTCATATATTGATTTTGGGGCGGCATCATTGCCGCTCCCATGGGCACCGTCGTTTGGCCGCCCATGTAGACAAAGTCCTGCGGTCCACCGGCGCCCGGCGGTCCCAGCGGCGGCGGCTTCGGCATTCCGCCATTCATGCCCGGATGCATGCCTCCACCATGATGATCGTACATGCTGCCGCCCCCCGATTGGGTGTAGGACGACATGTGGCCCAGGGCAGCTGCGTGGCTGAGCAAGTTCGAGTTGTACTGTCCGGGATGTTGTTGTTGCTGCTGCTGTTGCTGTTGGTGTTGGATGCCCAGACCGTTGCCGTTTCCCAGGCCATTGCCTCCGCCCATCATGTGATGGGGATGCCCCTGATTCTGGGCCTGTTGCTGCTGCTGTTGTGGGTGAGGCGGCTGTTGCTGGTGCTGTTGATGTTGCTGCTGTTGTTGAGCGGCAACTGCAGCTGCTGCCTGTGACATCATATGGTTGTGCTTGGCCACCGCCGCTGCCTGCTGCATGGCTGCCATATTAGCGGCTGCTGCCGCCATCGAGGGATGGTGTAGACCTCCATTCGTGCCAGATCCACCGTTATTTCCTCCCCCACCACCAGCTCCTCCGCCATTGCCGCCCATGCTGCCTAATCCACTGCCCATTCCGATGGTTCCAATGGCTCCGGGTCCACCATTACTGCCATTACCAGGCGGGCCACCAGGAGCTGCGTTGACGGGGTTCATAGGCGGATTATACTTCCATTTGTCGGGGTTCTGGAGTGAAGAAAGTAGAAAGTAAAACCGTTAGATGTTAGTAAGTTTCAATGCCAAACTGTAATCTGTTTATGCAACCAGAATTTTGGCACCCGACGACTGCGACCCTGCGACCTTTGAAGGTCAACAGAATAGCCAATTAGGAATACTTACATCAATGCCATGGCCATCGTCGCCGCAGGCCCAACGCGTTTGCTGTTGCTTCTGAGCGAAGTGGGCCGCAAATTCGGCGGCAGCTGCATCATGCAAGTTGGATCCGACGGCACCCACACCTGGACCACCACCGCCAACGCCCACACCCACTCCCCCGGGGGAGGGACGCTGCTGGAAGACATAGCCTACGGCGGCGGCAGCAGCGGCACCTGCTGCATCGGCGGCATCCTGCGATACGCCACCTCGAGATCCTACCACAATGCCATCCGAACCCACGCCAACGCCGACGCCACCGCGTCCATTCCGATCATCGTTTCCACCCAAAAACTTCATGTGTTGTTGTTGCTGCTGCTGCTGTTGTTGTTGCTGTTGTTGGTGTTGCTGATGAAGTTGCTGGAAGTAGGGCGGTGGAGGACCGTAATGTTGGGGCTGCTGTTGGATCTGATGTTGCTGATAAATTGGCGGCTGCTGTTGCTGGTGCTGCTGCTGCTGGTGTTGGTGATGCTGCGGCGACGGCGTCGATATCGCAATAGTGGGCGCGTTAAGGAGCTCAATTTTGGCGGCTTTTCCTAGCTATCGCAGCTGATTATTTTTGCGCGTATTGCCAACTTTAGTAGTTAAGTTTAGACACTGCTTGAACACCACATAACATCAATAACTTCACGACGACGTCACGAGTACTATTCACAAATCGAATTCTCTTCTCAAAATATATATTACACCCCGTTTTTTATTGCGGTGTTTGTTGTTGTTAAAGAGAAACCACACTTTTTGCTTAATATATTTAACATTAATTTACAGGACTTGCTGGTAACATTCGTACATTTTCTCAAAAAAATTGAATTTGATCGATTTGGGGGGTGTATTATTGGATTTCCTTGTTGTTGTTGGTATTTTTCTTTCTTTTTTTATATTTTTTTTTTACATAAATTTACACAAAAAATTATGAATAATATTTTACACAGTTGCACAGTCGTTTTAGTTTCGTTTTTTTATACTTTTGGTTGACTTAATTGAACTGAACTTTATTATTATTTTAATAATTACGTATAAGAATTGGTTAAAACTTGAATTTATTTTTACACAGATTAAATTTTGAGAATTGTGGTTGTTGTATTTCCGTTGTGTTTTAATGCGATTGTTTATTAATTATAATTAAGATGATTTTAATTTACACGTCGTTTTAATGATGAAAATATACACAAACTGCAAAGATAAAGAGGAATATAAAATTAGATTAGATTTATGATCGATTTTATGAGACCCTCATCCCACTGTGCGAAGAAAACTTTGAGCTGGTCATGGTAGAGAATCCGATAACAGGCAACGCCAGCACAAGGGGCGTTTAAGTATAAAAACATAACAAATTCGTCCAGAAAACTGAAAGACCAGCAAGACAAATACTTGCCATGATTTTCTCATTACGAAAACAATAAACAAAGTCTATATGGGGGTGGGGTGGGGGTACACAGGAGCCAAAAGAAGCCGAAAGTCTATACAAGTCCAAACAAGAACAACGCGAAGCTGAATCATGCGCGAAAAATACGGTAAATGTAGACAACTTTCTAGTTAATCCCGAATATTCAGATACACTTACTTGGTAATGTTTTTTCTTTGATGTTAAAACAATAAATTTAAAACTATTTATTCAGGTTTGTTAAAATAAATGATATTGTGAAATGTGACAGAATCGTCAAGGATATATTTTTAAAAGAAATTTTGATTTTTATCCTAAATGGGTCATTATAATCTGAGAGAAAATAATCTTCAAGAATAAGACCATCTAGAATCTAGATAATTTATCATTCAGATTGATGATCGAGTAGATATGTACTTATAGTATGTATATATTGGATGAATTGCAAACTTCTGGACAGAATTATAACACCCCCCGGCAAAGCGAAACAAAAAAGCTAAATAAGAGGAGCATGGGGTTGAGAGTGAGTGGCGGCGACAAGAGGGGGAGGTTTAAAATGGAAAAACACATAAAATTAACATACACACAGAGGGTAACAACAACAACAACACCATGCCGGCGACGACGACGAGAATGGCGAGGAAAAGGAGGCAAAAAAAAAAAGAAGACGAAAGGCAAGGCGGCCGCAAGTTTTGAGGTTAAGTTTCAGTGAAAAAGAGAAGAATGTGTGACGATGTTTACGAGAATCTCCTTCTCTCCGTTGCGAGAAATTACGAGGAGCAAGTGCAGCATGCGAAAGCAGAGAGAGAGCATTACAGGGGGGCCCTGGAAACCCGCACACTCGCACACATACACAAAATCCGCACATTCGGGAATATAAAAACAAACATAAAGATAAACCATAAAGGAGACTTGTAAAAAAACAAAAGACACAACGAACACAAGGAAGAGTGGGGGTGGGGGGCGTGGCCCTGGCCCCCCCATCGCTGAATAATTAATCGAATTATTAAGCATTTGAGCGGCGAGTTGAGTTAACCTTGTGTGTGATAATACGGTTGTTATGCGTTCTTATTGGGGAAAATTCGTGTGTACAAATGCAAGGCGTCCCGAGAGAGCGGCACGGCAATGCGAAAAAGGAGAGCGAAACAGAGGGCGAGCAGGAGAGCACACGCACACACGCTGTATGTGTATGTGTGTGTGCGAGTGTGTGTGCAAATGTAATGCGGAGGAAGAGGAGGAAGCAGAACCCGAGGAAGAAAAAGAAGCAGAGCAGCCAAATGGCCGCCGCTGACAAGGAAGAAAATGATGAAACAAGGAAAAAAAAGGCAACAAGAATTAACAAGGAACGCACAAGAGCTCAAACACACACACCAACACTCACGCACAATCGGACAAAATATTTCACCGAAAAAATCCTATCAATTATTCAGCACCCTTTAATTGATTTTTACCTTTTTCGGGTAAAATACAGAAACTAAATTCGCAAACTATTTATACATTTTTAAATATAAAAGCGGTCTGGAAATACACACACACACACACATAAACACAATAGTCGCAGGCCGAAAAGGAAACCGACGATGACAATGTAAAAAGAGGCAAAAAACTGTCTCGTCGGAAAAAAAAAATCTTTCGTATTTTTCGGTTTTCAGTTTTCAGATTTTTGGATTATTTGATTTTTTTGGACTCTGCGAACACTTACACATGCACTTAAAAAAGCAGACTGCATTCGCGATGCGCCTTCGGGTTTCTTTTGATAGTGTGCTTCCGTATTTAATTTATATTATTTAAATTACAATTATTTACACAGGATGAAGAAGAATCGGCTAGGAATTCTTCAACGTCGCCGCCGCAGAACGATAACAAAAGCGAAATGCAATAACACAACGTTCTCTGGCCCAGTGTTGACAAATACAGCCGAAAAAAGCCAGATATTTTGTTTTTTTTAAGTTCATTGAGAATTTGGTTCAATTAGCATCCCCAATGATAACATTTCTACTGTGTATTTTGGAAACTATATTTATACGGAATATTTGTGCAAAAGTACCAAATTAACATGAAAATTTGGTCAAAAATACGATTATTTCCAAAAATATTACAGCCCGGGAATAGTGTTGCGAAGCGGGCTGAGACAGCAGAGAGCGAGAGAAAAACGAGCATGCTCACAGAGAGTGAGATAAAAGAGAACTATTATAAGTTAACAATTTAATCGAAATTAATGTTTAGAACTTTTCCGAGGAATGAGAAACAGGCTGGGAGAGAGGGTGTGGGAGACCGCTCTCACAAACACAATTTTTTCAACATGCGCGCAAAATATTTATATAAATTAATTACACTTGCATTTTATTAAATTGTTCTACTATTTCAAACAGCCAGACTGTTTACAAATTATTTATCAATCGATTTTAGGGGCATGCAGAATTTGATTAGACGCCAGACTCACACACACACCCGCACTCATACATGCAAACTCAATTGTGTTTGTTTTGTTTTTGTTTGCGGCTTTTTTTTATCAACTCCTGCTTTTTGCTAGGGAAAGAAGAAGAAACAACGACCCAAACGCGCTCGAAAGACGTGATTTCATTAATCAGGCAAGCAAAACAAAAAGATATATAGTTTAGCTTAGCATTTCTCGCGTTTTCATATTTTTACCGAATTTTTGCACACACCTTAGCTTATTTGAAAAATTTACATATTACACGCCGTTCTATATCTGCTTCTTACGGACTAGGGATGGCATAAATTTAGTTTTATATCGAAATATTTTTTCGATAAGATATCGTATACCGATATTATTTGTATATTTAGATACTTCTTGTTTGGTCACACCTGGCTTTTGTAACTGCGCGGAAATTTAATTTCCGGTAATTTTTAAATTTGTAATTAGATATATTTTAAAACTATTAATATTTTCAAAATACTCAATTTCAAGCAACGCTTGAAGATTGTAAAACATTATGTAGAACTTGGTAGATTAAGTAGAAAGTTTAAAAAATACAAAAAAATATAGGTACTATCGATAATTTTTATTTCCTGTTTTGTCTGGCAGCACTGTAAAACCGCGTTTGATAGGCGCGCAGTTTCAAAATGAATCATGATCTTAATTTTTTTTTTTTTAAGAAAATATCAATTCCCTTTTTTTTTTTTGTTTCCCCTTATCATTAACGAAAGAAAGTCAACCATCTTTTGTCTAAGTTTATTCAAATTTGCGAACGATTGAATTTCTTCAATCTAATCAAATTACACTTACTACAAATGAAATACAATATATAATTCGCTTTCTTAGCAAATAAAAGGGAAAAATTATATGGTCCTTAAGAAACTCTTTCCCCAAAAAAGAGGCATTAATGACGCTCTGCATGTAAATGCAAAATCGTTATATTATCGAATGAAAAATAAAAAAATTATTAAACATGTGACGAACTATGGAATTAAAATTCTGTTTTCCATTTTCTTAAAATTAAACCAAAGTAAACATAATTTTATTGTTTTTGGATTTGTGTGTGGGGTGGGGAAGGGTTCTCAAAGGACCAACAAATTAATTCCTTTGATTTTGTGTGTGCTTGTTAAGGTTTTATCAATCTTACTTTTAGATAATGTTTTCCTTTCGACTTGTATATTATTAATTTTTTTGCGGTGTTTTTGTTGGTTCTGGTGTGGAAATGTTTTATTTTTTTGTTTGTTAGTTTTTATTTGTGTAAATTTTTAAGCTGCTACAGAATCGGCATCTTTGTAGTCATCCGATACGTATTCGCAATCGTTATCTCCGTCAGAGGAGGTCCATTTGTTGCCTTCTGGCTTGGAGGATCCTTCCCACTGACCGTTGCCCTCTTCAGTTACTTCCTTCTTATTGTTGCTGTTGTATTCGCCGGCATCGGTGGAATCGGCTCCGTCCTGCTCGTCATTGTTAGCTGCCTTTGGCGGTCGTCCCCGCTTGACTGCACCATCCTCCTTGCTTGACTTCGACCCAAGTGAGGGTCGTCCTCGCTTCTTCGGCGTAACTGCCGTATTCCCAATTTCGTTCTGCTCCTCATCTTGCTCCTCCCCATCCTCGTCGTTCTCACCGCCATCGCTAGTCGGCTTCTCAACATTGGCATTGGCCTTTGGTCGGCCGCGTGGACGTCCGGATGGGACGTAGGGCGATGCTTTGGTTCCGCCCTGCGCTGGGCGACCCCGCTTCTTGGGTGAGGGCTCCTCGCCGTCCCCATTCCATTCCCGTTTCTTCGGCCTGCCCTGTCCGCGTCCCGTTCGCGAGATGTTCAGATTTACGGCTCCGGTCGATGGTCGGCCAACTGGGCGCCGCTCCTCATCGTCTTCGTCGTCGTAGTCTTCAACGCTATTATTACCGTCTGTGGAGTAGACAAGTGGTGGTAACGATCCTTAAAAATAAATGCATAACGTCGGATGTTTCTTTAAAAACTCAATTAAGGCGCGAAAAAATCCGATCATGCGGAAGGGCTCAATGAGTATGTATGTATGTATGTATGTATACCATTAAAAAAAATAATATGTACGTGTGAAAAAAAAAATCCGATCGGTTTGGGATATTTCACTGAAAGTACAGGCTACTTGGACTTACCGTCTTCACTATCGCTGGGCTGGTGCTTCTTGGGGCGACCTGCCTTGCGTCCTCGCTTTCCAGCGGGTGACGACTTGGCGCCGTCGTTGTTAGCATTGTTTCCGCTGCCCTTTGGACGCCCCCGTCCCTTCGACACCACCGGCGGCGGCGAAGATGCATCCTGATCGTTGGAGTCGTCATTCTCCCCATCGCCGGATTCATCGTTATTTTTCGGCACTTTGGGTGGACGACCGCGTTGTCCAGTACCACCACCTCCGCTGGGTGCAGTGGGTGCACCAGTCTTAATCTTGGCGGGACGACCGCGCTTTCGGCCGCTCGGCGTGGGTGCTGGGGTTGGAGTGCTACCAGGAGCCTTTGGGGGACGACCGCGCTTCTTTACCACGACTTCCTCCATTGCGGCTGGCTTGACTTTTAATTAAGCAAGCGAATAAAGAAAAATCCTTGTTCTTTTCTCTACGTTCTGCGCCTTTTTAGCGGCGTCCCTTTGCACACGCACACAGTTGTAAGAAAACAGAGAATGCGCTCTCTCTTTCTCTCTCGCAAACAAGCACACACACCGACAAACGTTTTGGTACTCTTTTTCGCTTGCCTCTCTTACACTTTGTTTTTCATGAAAAACGCTGAAAACTATAGGAAAACAATTTAATTAGGCAAAAAAATACATACAATTAAATAGATATTGATAGGGGAAATTTTCTAAATTTTTTCTGCACCCGAAAAGTACATACTTCGTTGGTAAATTTTCTTTTATAAAATACGCGCACGCTTCACTTTTTCGCAGTCCACTTCTTCCACCGTTTTCGCCGCCTATCGAAATGCACCCGAATGGGCTTCGATAAAATGATCCAAAAAATATAATAAACTTTTCCCGGATTTTTCCAGGTAGTCTTGACGCCCTACTATTGTCTTCAGAAGATACGGACTAAAAAGATTTTACCTTTTTTCCTACCTTTATGCAGCAATTTTCCCTTTGTTTATTGAGGCTGTACCGGCTTTCTTTTTATACTGTTATCGATAAATAGTGTGACTGTTATGCGGGATTTTCAAATTTCAAAAGTACTTACAAAATAAAATAACTATTTATATAAATTATTTTGAATATATATTTTTATATATTTTTAAAAATGACCAAAATATTTAGAAAAATATATGGGAAAAAATCTTGAACAAAAAAAGTTGGAGACCAATAAAGATATTGGAAACAACTTTATATGATGAATAGAAACTAAAGTTCATATACGTAAACAAAGCCTACAAGTTTAAGGCTTTAACACTTTATAGCCGGGCTACTTAGATATGGGGAAATTTCTTTAAATTTTGATACAGAAACAAGGTGGCACAGTTGACAAGCAAATGTTTATTAAAAAGTTACATATATTGCAGTTAATTAGGCTAATCACAGTTGAATAACTTAATACTATGAGCGGACGCTTACTTCCACAGCTTGATGACACCATCGCGGGATGCCGAGGCTATGTAGATCTGGCCCTTGTCCTTGCACATTAACAAATCGGTGATGGCATCATGGTGGCTCGCCGTGGGCATGTCTGGTCCTGAGCGGGGATTCTCCTCCGTTGAGGTGCGCAGCTGCTGCGAATCACCCGTGCTGGCCATGGAAATGATCTGCTCCTCGATCACCTGGCTGCCATCAATAAGACGGGTTCTGAAAGTTAAACGGAGTTAGTAAATAGCTAATCATGGCTTTTTTCGGATAAAGTGTCCTACGTGTAGTTGAATGCTATATCGGACATGTTGTCGTTGGCGGCCGGCACCCTAAGTGAGGAGTTCTTAGGATTGGCTACATCCCAATACCGAATACGCTGGTCCGAGCTGCCTGTGAGAATAAAGGGCGATCCATCGACTACGCCACTAAGGATACCGCATGCTGTAGCTGGATCACTGGGACTTCCGCTGGAGAGAGCTGCTGTTGGACTCGCCCACAGCACGGTTTGTCGCTGACCTGTTTCAATGTTCCACACAGATACCTCATTGTTAGACTGAGAGGCGGAGATCAGATAGGAGGGCTCAGTGGGATGACACGCCACTTTGCGGATCCAAGAGTCGGCTGGATGTTTGATCTCGGCAATCGGAAGCCGGAAGCGCAGATCCCAGCAAATGTGCTTTCCTCCACTTGTACCAGTGGCTAGCCAAGAGCCTGTGGGGTCCGCACATATAGTGGTGATCACGCCGTGCCTGAGCTCGTTCTGAAGTCGCCAGGCACTGTGCTGCATTCGGGTATCCCAGGCCACAATTCCGCCATAGAGAGTGGCGTAAACGATGACACTTTGAGTGGCCTGGTCGTAGGCATGCATGTCCACCACCGGTCCATCGTTGTGGTCGCTAAAATAAATGTTTTTTTAATGATTTTTATTAAAAATGGTAAGTGAGTTACGTACTTTTGATCAAGCGCCTGCTGCAGAGTCATCTTGGCAGAGTTCCGATCAATCCGCATCATCAACATGCTGCCATCTTTTCCTCCCACTGCCAGCGACTGACCACTGTCACAGGCGGCCAGCGCATAGATTGGAGTATTGGCAGAATACACCTGCCGGGACTTGTTTACGCCCTGGTTCCCATTTAACTTGCTGCAGTCCCACAGCCTCACAGTTCCATCAATGCTTCCGCTGGCGAATAGAGATCCATGTGGACGCAGGGGTGCCAGCTTGATTACGGATTCCGAATGCTCGTGCAAATGGGCCACCAGAGTGCCACTCATCCGCCATCCAGGTGGGTAAGGTGTCACCAATTTGTCATAACTGCAGCGTTGCGAAATGGCCAGCACGTTATAGCGTCTTTTGATCTTCGAAGTTAGGGACTCGAGGTCCTTGCGGCATTCGGAGGATCGTTCCAGCCAGCAATTCCTCTCCGGCATGGTGTACTCCCCCAACGAGGTAGCAGCACTTACTGTCGTAGTGGGCACTCCGAGTACTACCGCGCCCGAGGCAGGACTGCCGGCTAGTCCCCCTGCGCCCAGCGGAGTGATGACGGCATCCGAGGCTGGTGATATTAAAGTGGGTCCATCTATGGATCCTGAAAGAAATGAGGTTTACATGAAGTTTCAAAAGAGTAATCTTTATTATTCATTAAGGTCACTTCCAAATGATTTAAAAAATAGGCTTAAAAAATTTAAAATCTTTAATTTAAAAATTAAAAGGAAGATACAACTTTAATACTTGGTTTATCGTCAAGATATATAGTTCTTAAGGTTTGTTAAAATTTCAGCGTAAGAAAGTCCAAAGTCCAGAAATAAAAATATCTGAGGAGTTTATTTCAAAAATTAATTCATTTTTAGGTTTTAAGTGAAATGGAAAGTTTTAAATGAACAATAAAATATATCTTTAAAATTAATGATGCGGTAAATAATTTAAAATTGTAAACTCACTGTTTTCCGATGGCATTTTTATGGCCTTGTCCGCCAGTGGATATTCGTGGCAAGCCACTTGCTTACGGCTGACAATGATGCGTCCATTTCCAGAGGCTGTGTCGTCGAGATCTTGGAGAGCTTTATGTTTTAGAGAAATAAGGAAAGGCTTCATTGCCAGAAGCTGCATCTCAATGAGATCTGTCAATCCCTCAGAGGAGAGGCGTCTGAAAAGCTGCCACAAAACGTCATAATATGATTACAAAATTTAGTTAAAATTACTTACATTTCTTAAGGTCTGTCCCATTTCCTCGTACTGAGGCAGAGCGCCGGGTCTGGTTTGCGCACGAGCTCTAGCCCGATCTTCCAGCGCCCCGATGAAGTGGTGGATGTCCTGGAAGCGCAACACACTATCGAATATTTGACGTGGAATTGGTGGCTGCAAACAGTCCAGCAAAATGTGAGCCTTTTCCACTTGGATGAGTGGGACTTTGAGAAAAGCTCCAATCGCAGGCATAATCTTGCACTGAACATCGATGGCGCTCAGATTGCGAGCAGTGGTGGCCACCATGCCGCAAATTTCGTGACGAACCCACAAATTCGGGTGGCACAAGTAGCAGGCAGTCTCCTGGACAATTTCGGTCACTGCCGGTTTCTTTATGTGGCCCAGCTCGATGAGAATGGTAACTGCCCGAATGGCCTTTGCGATTACAAACTCTTCGCGATCGGTGAAACCTTGCTGCAGGAGGGGAACTAGGATATCGGAGGCTTGCCAGCCAACATAGCCAGCCACTCCGGCAATGTTGTCATAGAAGGCGCCACGCAGGTTCTTGTCTTCGTCGTTCAGGAAGGTCATAATGTGGGAAAGGATCACATCGTTGGCCTTCTCTTTGCCAAAGAATGCGCACAGATCACAGATTCCCGACTCCATGAGGGTCTGCTTAACCACCGGCTGGGTATCTGTTAGAAGACTTAGCACCGCTTGCCTAACAATATCATGGAGGGCATTAAGTTCCGCTTCATAGCGCGGAGTTGGCATTTCGTTGGGTGCATTCCTTTGGGTCTCCTCCAGGAAATAAACGGCACTCTTGGCCAGAGCGGCAATGTTACGAGCAAAAGCCACCCGTACAATCACGGCACTCGCTTCGCTTGCCAGGTCCGTAATGAAGGGCAGAATGTACTCCGGAAATACGTTGGCATCGCTGCGGGGAATGTCCTTTACCATGCCCAGGCAAGCGGTTAGAGTTTCAATAGCCTGAACTTGCACTTTAGCTGGTGACTTTTGGGCCAAATGGAGCTAGAGATATTAAAATTTTAAAAATTCTAACATTAAATACCTTTAAAATATATATTTTCAAAATAAAAACTCACAATGTATGGTAAGATGCGATCCAATATTGTCTCGGATGTGGTGTACTTGGAGAGCTTCTGTAAAAGTTCCAGAGCTGCTATCTTTGTATTTGATTGCTTCAGGCCTCGAATGCAAGAGGTCACCACAGTAATAATCAGAATAAGGCCATCGTGTTCCGGCGGAAGACGAGCACACATTGTTGGATCCTTTTTCTCTTGTTCAGTGTCAGCGTCCTCGTCCTCCGGTGTCAGATCCTGCGCCTGGGTCAATACCTTGATGCAGTGTCCAATGTCCTTGTGAAGGCATTGTATCTTATCATCCGGCGACATGATGGGAGTTGAGGAAAACATTTGGAGATATGACTGCAGAAACGAATAGAAATACTCGGGAAACAGTTTTCCACGCTCCTGATCCAAGTAGTCCTCAGCACTTTTACGGTTGATGGAGTGTATATCGATCATGGATGCCAGCAAGTTGCGTAGCCGATCGTTTTCGATTCCGGCGAGATGTTTTTCCACAAGATCACGTTCACCACGCCGGTAGGCCAACAGTTGAGAGAGCTCGAAAGGAGCCGTACCTTCTGTCCACAATTCTAGCAAAGCACAGCTGAAAAATTCGTATATGAGTAATATTTTCGATTTTAATTAGACTGATATATTACCCTGCTGAAAAGATATCCATGGCTGGTAGCAAGGTATTCCCGGCATAGCTAGGCGCTAGTCGTATGATAGAATCTGAATGAATCACAGACATATTCCCGTTGCCACCATCGTCATCGGATGCCAGCGTCTTGACAAATCTCTCTGGGGCTATATAGCATGTTCGCCTGCGACTTGTATCAAAGAAATAGGTATAGTCAGCTGGATTATCCTCCGGCAAATATGTGGGCTTGAACGAGGCAAAGTCTGAAAGTAGAATCCAGTTCCACGAGGTGATCAGAATGTTCTCCAGCTTGATGTCGCCGTGGCAGATCTTTTGCTTGTGGCACTGGTTCAAAGCGCACAGGATCTGGAATGTGATCCATTTCTTCTCGAGCACTGTGAGAAATGGTCGGGTAGATACACGATCGTAGAGACTGTGCTTTACATATTCCCGCATAATATAGGCAGCCTTGTCAATTAGCTAGAATGATTGATAAAAATTATGATTAATTAATTTCAAAAATGAACATTTCAGCTATCGAAAACCTTATCTTGAAGTTATTTGAGTCAAATGTAGTAATGTGATTCATACATTTTGATGAAAACATTGAAATCGTAGGATGAAATAACATTATTTTTGTTAAAATTTAATTAGTAATTAATATTGTATGTAAATTCAAACCTCCACTCGTTGAAAGGGCAGACAATTGACAGCATTGGCCAGTGTCAGTGATTTTTTGATGGCCTCCAGTCTCTCCTTGTGATCTTCCAGAGGCAGGGTGGGATCATGTTTGACAAACACCTTCACCACAATCAAACCCTCATCCGTTTTGGCTTTGGCCACTTTGAAGAATCGAGTGCTTCCCATGCTGTGGAAAATGTTGTGGGTGTCACTTCATATATCCATGTAAAGGGGTTTTTTCTCACTCACTTGGAACTAAAGGTGATTTCGTTGCCAAACTGGCCGGAAAAGTAGTGCTCCACCGCATAGATTTGCGAGGGCGCAATGCCAACCAGTTGATTCCCCATCCTGATAGCACTTACACTAAAAAGCGCCCCAAATAAACACTAATATTATGGATTTCTTCAACAATAACAAGTGCAAAATGTTGGTTTATCTTCTGCGTAGCATAACAGCTGTTCAACTGTAGGGTTGTAGATCCATCGAAATGTCAAATTATCGATATGCCTTGTATTGAAGCTTAGTTTTTTTATGACTTTTTAATTTGGCCCTAATAAAGAATGGAGGATTTTATAGATATCTACGATTAGCTTAAATGCTTTTTCATTTTTATATGTTTTATTCATATTTTACTCTTTTTTTTAAGTGTTTTGTAGTTCTTGCATTCGAACCATGTTCGAGTTCGTTTGCAACCAGAGTCAGCATAGTGACGACAAAAAAAATAATCTATCGCTGGTTTATCGATAACATTTCCTAATTTAAAAAATACTTTATTAATCATACTTTGTTTTTTTATGAGTTCATTTCGTTGTATTAATCTAGTTAAAATTACTAAAACAACTTATTAAACAAAAAATACAAATAAAAGGGTGTTATGTACTTATATAATAAAATAAAATAAATAATAAAATAAGGGAAACAGTTAAAATTTGCAATAAAGATTTAAAATCTGGTTAGAATATACAAATCTTCTCCTGGTAATCCAAATCGGGTGAGAATATACATACAAACCACCCCCTAATCATCGTTTTCTTGGACTATAATTAAAAAAGCTCCAGAAAATGTGTTCTAAGTCTTAAGCTTAGCTTGTCGAATCCATTGGGTATAAATTTATGTAACTGGGACACTGCAATCCATTTTGTCGAATAAAATCGAAATGGGCCATGACCAGCCCACAATTCGAGTCCGGGTGACAAATGAGCCAGGTATTCAATTGGATGGCCGGCAGAAGTCCAAATTAAATGGGTTTCTTTTGTTGAAATTATCGACATTCAAATGCTCTTAAAATATAAATATAAATAATTATTTAGAATATATTCTTACATCTTAGAATACATATTTATAGTTAGTATTTGTTTTATAAAAACATTTCTTTTATTTACTTAAATTACAATATTATAACAAAATCCCAACATTATCAGCATACCCTTAGAAAGTACTTCCATTAAAAAAACTTCTGATGAGCTTATTTACATAAAAAGTCCAACCTGGCCGGCCTAAACGAAATCGTTCAAGTTGGCTCTGAATCTGACTATGAAGAAGAAGAACTTCCACGAAGAGAACTTTCAAAGCGGACGGAGTGACGATCGTGTGTAAAAAGAAAGTAGGTGGGCAGGTAGGAAACACAAACAAAGTGCCAACCATAGAAACAAATGCACTGCAAATTATTTTTGACATTTTGTTTATCTTAATAATTATTATATTATTATCTATTATATGAAAGAAAATATACCAGAGTTGATACCTGACATATTCTTTTATACATCTATTTTTTTAAACAATCTTTTACTTTTTTTCTGTGCAAATCGTTTTTTCTGTCTCCTCCACTTTACTTCATTTCTTTTTCACTCGTTTATTTCTGGATTTGTCCAAAGCGCAGGCGTACAGAATGCCATCGGAGCGGGAATCAGTTGAGAGAACCTGAGGTCGGCCGGCTCTCCCGCTCCCATCGGATCCGGTGGCTTAAGAAGTGTTACAATCCCGCGCAGCGCCACAGAAGAAAGAAAGTTTTCGCCTGTGCTGGCTGCTTTTCTCGTCGCTCGTCTCTGGAGTACCATACCTGCCTTTGGTACTACCTATAGTACTACCACCATTCCAGTGGCAATTTACAAGCCATCCGTGTGCTCAGTGGAGCGTCTTCCGCGTTTGTGGCTGCGTCGCTTAATTGGCCCAAAAGTATCTCAAGTGTGTGATTGTGAAAGTTCCTGCTAAAATGTACGTGCGACGTGCTTGGCTCTTGGCCTGTTTGCTGTGCCTTCATCCCTATGCGCCCACGCTGGCCGAGGAGGAGGACTCCAATCCGTTGTTGGACATGGCCTCCATGTTCTTCCAGGAGGCTCTGTCCAACCAGAACGGTGGTGGCAACAACGGAGGAGGTGGCGGTGGAGGAGCTGGTCTGGCGGGCGTGGCCTCGCTGCTGGGCACCTTCATGCAAGCCAACGGCAAGGGAGGAGGTGGTGGTGGCGGGGCTATGCAAATCCTGTCCGGCCTCGGCAGCCTTCTGGCCAACAATGCCCGCGGCAATGGCGGACAGGGCGGTGGCTTTGATCCCTCCATCATCGGAAATGTTCTGGAGATGTTCACACAGGGCGATGACGAGGAATCCTCGTCTAACCAGAACCAGAAGCGAAGCAACAGTGGCGGATCCGAGTCTGGAATCGGTCTGGACACCATCCTCCAGGTGGCTTCCGCATTCATGAACACCCAGGGAGGTGACAAGGCTGCCCATAATCACCAAAAGAGATCCGCTGGCGAGGAACCGGAGACCGACAACGGACTGATGAACCTGCTTCCGCTGGTGATGCAGGCAGTAAGCTCCTTTGCCGGTCCCGAGGGTCAGAGCACCCAGGAGAAGCACAAGAGCCACGCCTGGGTTCTGCCCCCCTTCCTGGAACACATCCACGTGCTGTGGGATCACTTCTCTAACTCGGAACTGGCAGATGCCCTCTACGAGAAATCCGGAGTCAACAAGATAATGAAGGTGGAGTCTACATAGAAATATCTCTATAGATAGGATGAGGGGATTATAATATAAAATTTCAAAAAACTATACTGAAAATGAAGGAAATATTTTAATAATTCTAGAAAGTGCCGAATCAGTTTTAATTCTTTAATAAAATATGGAAAGATATGGGGTAATCCAGAGAGAAAATAAAGAAATAGTTAATCATTTTTAAAAAAGATTATAATAGATAATCTAACTTTTTAAAATCTTAAGAAAAATGTATTAAACTCTATTTAGAAGAATAGTAATTTTAAAGCCTTTTTATCAGTTAATATTTTATTTATTTAATACCATTTATTACAATATTTTTCAATAACACTAATCCTTATATCCTCCTCTTCTAGGGCTTCAAGGGCAGTGACGGCAAACTGGACTACGACAAACTCTTCGAATCCCTGAACAACCAATCCTTCCGCCGCCGCTGGATCAAGTCAGCCACACTCTACTTGGCCGACTGGGCCAGCTATCTGGCCAATCCCGATGTGTATCTCAGGTGAGTTGCGACGGGGCTTACATACGTGGCTCAATGGGGTGACCAATATGCGTGTTAATTGCCGATCACGTTCTGGTTGCCAACGGTCCGAATGCAGTTAGCACCTGGATGCGATTCTCAGTTGGATTCTCGGTTCTCAGTCCGATTCCCAGTCCGAAATCGTATCCAAACAGCTGCTCCGAACCTGTGCTAACCAATTCCCGTTAGCGGCAACCCGTTTTCCCATCGATGGGGGCTACCTTTTGACCCACTTTTCGGTGGGGTTTCGGTGTGGTGGTGGAGAGCTTTTAGAACGTGCCTGCTAATCCAACCGGCCAACAGTCCCAAATCCGAGTCCGATTCCAGGCTCTCCGATACAGTTACAGTTGATATGCAGAAGATATGGGAAGTCAACGGCATCGTTAAAACAAACAAATAAATAAAAGCGGGCCAAAACCGGTTTGAGTCCGTTCGAGCCAAGAGAAATGGGCAAGGTACACTTGACCAAAATGCATTGTTTATCATTGAGATATATTTACAGAAATTATTAAAATGAATTAGTTAAAATGGGATTTAAAAGCTTCGTTCAAAAAACATCTAAAAGTAGTTCATATTTATTATTGTTTAAGTTTTAAGTCCATTTTTATTTCGAGTGTAAAGACTGAGAGATTTTTGCATGACTTTAAAGTAGGTCAGGCTTCTCAGACTTCTAGTCTTGTTGATTTTTTTTATTTTGTTAGTTGTTGCCCCATCATTGTTAGATGGCCAATAGCAGCATACTACTTCCTCTTTCTAGCGACCCTTTCACTCGACTCGACTCCACTCGAGGTGCTGCGTCATCGAAACTCATCAATTTTGTCCGCTTTTTCCACTTTTTCCAAACCACACACAGGTACTTCCAGACGGCACAGATCATGTTTAACGGCCTGCTGAAGTCTCAAGGTTACCCGAAGCAGACGCACTTCGATCCCGCCCGTCCAGGGGAGACGATCTCCAATCTGTTGGACCACGTGGCGAAGCATCATCTGAACGTGAAGATCGACTCCCGGCAGTACGTGAAGCCAGCGGTGGGCTATGCCAAGGAGCTCCTGAAACTCGGCCAGGCCCGTGGACTGTTGCAGTTCAATGCCACCGAGATCAGCGACAAGCTAACGGATACGCTCAACCTGGAGGTGGGTAGTGCATTCTTTGATCTGGGAACTGGGGCTGTGTCTGGGCAATTAGCTGGAGATGTTTATCTCTAAATAGAGAATGGAGTTACTATCTTCAAGTTAGAAGAGGAAATGATTTGGGATCTGCCTGATAGACACTCCCATCCTTTTAATCTCTTTTGTACTAATTACTGAACTCGTCACAAATTAAATAAATTAAACCACCTTTTTCTCCCCCACCTCCATGTGGATTGAATCGTATCTAACATTGGTCCAAATGCCAAACAGGTTATTGAACCGGTGTTAAAAGTCCACCGCGCCTACAGATACATCTCGAAGACGCCGCAATGCGATCGTTACGTGCTCTGCCAGCTGAATGCAGCGGCTCTTGACCAGCAGCAGAAACTCCAGCAGCAGCAGCAGCAGAAGAGTCAACAGCGCCAGAGTCAGACATCGGCGTCCGGTTTGATTGCCGGAGTCAGTCCGAAAATCGTTAAGATCGGCAGCATGGGTGCTGCTATATTCATTAGCACGGAAACCGGTACGCCGTTCTGGACGCTATTCGGTGTGATCAATGCGCCATACAATTGCGAGGTGAGTACTCCACATCCACATCCCTCATCCCACATAGCAACTGCAGCTTTCTAACTGCTATTTTCTGCAACAAACAACAGGCCAAATATCCAGTCGATTGCAATGGTTTCCACGAAGGCGAGGCCAAGGTGACCACGGAGTACATCCACAACGAGTTGTAGACGCTGTCGCCTGTCGCTCCAGGTGCAGATCGGGACCAAGCAAGGGAGGATTCTCATTAAGACGACATAGCTGTAATTGAGATTTTGTGTGTATATAGTATTACGGATTGAAATACAATTTAAATTTAAATTTAAAAAAACTTGTTGAAGCATTTATTTAAATGTCTAATGGTTACCTTCATTCCCCCAAATCTTTTCCAATTTTATAGGACAATTTTCAGATCCATTTCATCAAATCAAGGTAATTTTCAAGTCCAAAAATCAAGTTGAACATAATTTAAAAATACCCATTATCTTGAACTAATGACTTTTACCTTTATAAAGTCAACGAACCATGAGAGAAAAGCTTTCATATAATACAGTCAAACATCGATAAGTAAAATCTTGTTAGTAAAAACTATAGGGGCTAAAAAAATTCAAGAAGAACACATGGCCAAATACCTTCTTAATGTTATATATATTCGTAATTTGTTGGTCATTAACGAAAATATCAAAAACTACAAGCATAGTTTAAAAGATCATTAGAGGCTTTTCTTTGAAAAACCAGTTCATCTTGGGAAACTGGCCTGGGGGGCATTTTCACCATTTTCATTTCGATGGCTCATTGGCACTTGCACTTGCCACTTCAGCTTCAGTTTGGTGAAAAATTTCGGCCTTAACGGACGTAATGCAGCTGATATATCGCGAACTAGAGGCTGATATTGTCCGGCGTACTAATGCAGTCTTTCCGGCCCAAAATTGCTTTGTTGAGGTGCTCCCCGACCATCTAATTATACCCCGAAAATATGTGGAACTGGGAGAATCCATTCGATCTCTTCCTGTCTACGAGGATGATGTTTGGATGGTTTCGTATCCACGCACTGGATCGACTTGGGCCCAGGAAATGGTCTGGCTGCTTGGCCATAATTTGGACTATGTGGCTGCAGAGCAGGACCTGCGAATCCGTTCGCCGCTAATTGAGCTTTCGGCCTTGTTCAGTACGGATCACCATGAGACGGTTTCGTAAGTAGTATTTCAAAATTATTAAAAAGAAACATTAGTAAGGTGGAATCAACTTTCTCTCCATTTGACAGCAAAGCGTTTGGAAATACCGTGGATCTGGTTCGCAACTTGCCACGCCCCCGGTACGCCCGATCGCATCTCTCCTGGCAGCTGCTGCCTGAACAATTCGAAACAGTGAAGCCCCGGATCGTGTACACTGCTCGAAACCCCAAGGATCTGTGCGTGTCCTATTACCACTACTGCAAGCTACTACATGGAATCAATGGCGACTTTGAACAGTTCGTGGACCTGTTCCTGGAAGGTCACACACCAATGGGATCGTATTGGAAGCACGTATTGCCATTTTGGAAGCGCAGCCAGGACGAGAATGTGCTTTTCATCAAGTACGAGGATATGATCAAGGACCTGCCATCAGTGGTCCATCGCTGCGCTCGTTTCTTGGGTGTCCCAAATCTGTTGACTTCATCCAGCTTGCAGAAGCTCTGCGATCACCTGACCTTCGACAAGATGCGCGAGAACAAGGCAGTCAATCTGGAGAAGCTGCTCCCGGAGTCATCATCGAAATTTATTCGCAAAGGCCAAATCGGGGACTGGCGCAATCACATGGGAAATGAGATGTCGGAGCGGTTCGATGAGTGGAGTGATAGACACATTCGTGGAGCGGGATTACGATTCGATTATGAATGAATTTTATTATTCAATTAAATTTGTATTCTTTATTTTTGTATGGTTTTAAGTGTATTTGTTTATTTTTGGCGGGGCCTCTTTTCCATTTTTAAATTTAGCGGCCTTTTTCGATAACTATTACTGTTAAAATCGATAATAAGTTATCTGTTAATAACAGAGCTTAAAATCGTTCGTACAGAAGGGCCATCCCTAGGTTGCCGGCTGAATTGTTTACATTTTGTTTTTAATTTGTGATCTTTATTTTGGAGCTCCACGATGACCTGTGATACCACCGAGGCTCTGGCAGCCCACATGTGTGAGCTGGTGCAGTTTTATATGCTGCCTGAGATTAAAGAAGATCTGGACAATGTGCAGCTGGAGGCGTCACAATTTGAGAGCTATCATTCCTTGCTAATTCAGGATTTGCCAAAACTCTACGACATGGTTCAAGAATTTCTAAAGAAATCCGATGATACGGGTCACGAAGAGGTATAAGTGACTACTAATTCATTTAAAATAAATAATTATAAAAAAGTTCATTTCAGTTAAGAATAAAGCTGCTCCTGCTGCTTTGTGAACTTACTGCTGCTCCCACAGTATATCAACTTACGGATGGAAAACTCTTAAAAAACGCCAACGACCTAGCTGAGAAGCTTTCCCAAAGTTGGTGGGTGTCCACGGACTCACAAATTCTTAAATATTATGAGAATAAACTGCACAGGGATAGCTGGAAGCGACAACTGGGCGCAGTGCACGGTTTTGCGCGATATTTGGAGGTTATTGCCGGGAATAAGTATAGTATTTGTTGAAATTACCTTAATTATTCATTTACTCACAGTTGAGATACACAGAGAAGTTTAAAATGCCCATCCAAATGCTAACATTCGCTTTGTCGGTCGGATTGAATGTGCGGGAATGCTATGATCCAGCCTACAAACAGCTTGCAGTCAAGATCTTCACAGTGATGCTTAAATATAGTGTACGATTAGTGAATAAAACTTTCAGTAGCTAGATTAATGTTCTTTCTTTAAAGGATGTCAGTAATATTCAAGAACTAAATGTTCATAGTGTGATTTATGAGAATGCACTGAAGGATGCTTACAACATGGAGTCTATTGAAGCTATGGATGCAGTTTGGAATTGCTTGTACCTGTGCCTTGACCATTTCAAAGATTTGGATGCCTTCACGGTAGGTTTATAAAATGCGAGTCTTATTTTATATATCCATTTTTATTTTATAGTGGAATCAATGCGACGATATGCTAGAGCGACTCATCCGCAACGTGACTATGGCCTCCAGTCCCAAAACCTCCATCTGTATGGTGCAGTTTATAATCCAACTAGGGTACTATTTCACCATCAACCGCACCGATGTCGAAGTAGCTCTAACCGCGAACCTGAGTGATCCAATAGAACTAGCAGCCTGTCGAGATGTGTGTCTATCACTAAGCGCCAGCACAAGTTATCGTTGGGCCAAGGCCATTCTCCAGATGCTGGTCCTGGAGTCTGAGAAACTTCTACAGAGCCCTGAAGTATGCGTGGAGCTCCTTGAACAAATCCTTAGATGCTATTTGGTTTGCATTCTACCAATCCCACTAGAAGCTCTGCGTTACCATTTGCCCGAATTTTATAGTAAATTTGTGGCCGTTTTGATGGAATGTTTGACCATTCACGAAAGAACTCCTCCGGTTTTACAGGTAATATTCAAAATTTCAAAAGTGAAAACCTTAAAAAATAAATTTCCCTCTTAGTTGGTGCAAAGGTTTATTGAAACATTCATCTATCAACTGGCCAATTGCTCGACGCAGAAACTACACAGCGACCTACAAAAGTTTATGGATGATTTAAAAACTTTACAAAATAAAATTACAGAATAGATTGGATGTTGTATTTATTTTGTAGCCTTTTCTTTGATGGATAAGTCTCTTTCCCAGCGATTTAAAACCGTTGTGATGATGAAACATACTTGTTCTCCATACGCCGCTAGATATCATGTATAGTGTGCACTAAGGTGGATACCAGCACGGAATGCAACATCAAAGTCACCATGCTAAACTTTCCTCCTAGAAAAAACCCTTTATATCCACGCCTCTTAAATATAGTTCGACAAATGGCCCACAAGGGAGCTCCCCGATATGAGGTACAATTCAATGACAAGGTCACAAGGATGTCCAATGGGGTGAAAAGAAAGGCAAGTAAGCTTCCAGTCACAGACATAGCACTGATCTCGTGTAGGAATTGTTTACCCCGAAAGTCTTGTATATATTCCAGCCCAGACATTACTAGTTTGTTGACAGGAAACCAAAGCATTGCCCTGGTTGCGTTGCAGATCGAATAGATCTGCCATCCATAAAATACATACGCAAAGCCGCCTTTAAGATAGATGCAGCGTAGACTTCTCCAGGTATTCTTGTAACTGAAAACCAAAAGTCAATACAATATTATATACATTTTTGGAAAATGGTCTAGGTTTACTTGCGCTTGCTGTAGATTTTCCGGGAGAGATCAGTTTGCCGCATAACCGCCAGTTTAGCAAAGGGAGTAGCTATTAAACCGCCCACAAAGTTGCATACTCCATGCACTGAAATAGTGTCGTAGACTTTTAATCTTTGGATATATTTGTGGTCGGTTAGTCGGTGGTACACAAAGTATGTGGCTGTCGTTTGAACTCCACAGCGTACGGCGGCGCTATGAAAGCCAAAATAGAATCCAGCCGGGCCGGAGCTCAAAATTAGCTTCAGGATCTGAGGTAATTTTACCGGAGGTACTTTCAAAGTCTTTGCTTGCATATTTATTCGAACTAATTCCAGAGGATGGGTCAATAATGTGGCCGCGAAATTCATAATAAATCCCTCAATAAAGTTTATTTGTCTATATTTCTTCTTCCTTGGGCGATCCGGGTCATGACTACTCATTTGGCTGCTCAGTTATTTTAGATTGTTAAAATTATTTCACTGGGAATGTGTTTATATGCTATGGTTACTAAAAATTTGTATTCTATGTTCCGTTTTGAAATGGAAAAGAGTAAAATTTGATGCGTCTAATTATAAACAGCATTCGATTTTTTTAAAAGAATACACGACTAAAGGGTTATACTTTCGAGTTTTCATATTTTTGAAAAATATTTTGTAATCTTTTTTCCTATTCTCTAATACATATATTTTCTTTTACTGAGTCGGCTTCTTTTTATTAAATTTTATTGTCAAATTTTCCAGGAGGTCCCCGTCAAAATGTAAAAATACATGGAAAAGGAAATGTGGCCCCAGCAAAGCTATATCTTGATCACAACACATCCGATTCTTAGACGGAATACCTTAATCGATTTGTACATCGATTCTCCACCAACCTGCATCAAAATCCAGGAATAAAATATTTTTTGTCAAATTTTCTAGGGGGTCCCCTTCAAAATGTTGAAAAATGCATGGAGTCACAATCCGACCCCCTGTGGAGCCCATATCTTTGTCAATTCTCATCCGATCCTTGATCGGAATACCTTAATCGATTTGTACACCGATTCTCCACCAATCTACATCAAAATCCAGGAATAAAATATTTTTTGGATTTTTTGTCAAATTTTTTAGGGGTCCCTTTCAAAATGTTGAAAAATGCATGGAGTCACAATCCGACCCCCTGTGGAGCCCATATCTTTGTCAATTCTCATCCGATCGTTGATCGGAATACCTTAATCGATTTGTACACCGATTCTCCACCAATCTGCATCAAAATCCAGGAATAAAATATTTTTTGAATTTTTTGTCAAATTTTTTAGGGGTCCCCTTTAAAATGTTGAAAAATGCATGGAGTCACAATCCGACCCACTGTGGAGCCCATATCTTTGTCAATTCTCATCCGATCCTTGATCGGGATACCTTAATCGATTTGTAGATTGACTAATCTCTCTACAAATCTTCATTAAAATTTGTGAACCAATTTATTTTTAGATTTCCAAACTCTTCAAGGGTTTTCTTTCAAAAACACGAAAGCGCATCCGATGGACGTGTTGATAGATATTTTAAAGAATGAATGAAAAGGGCTATATGGTTGCATAAAAAGGAGAGAATAGAAGAATATGCATTTATATTTTACTAGTAAAGTTATTAAACAAGAAGAGAATTTTTTTTTAAGTTAAAACATTAAACTATTTGATAAACCAAAACTGAAAAAGATTTCCAGAACACTTTAAAATCATAAGACATTTGTTGTAACTACTCGCACTCAGCTCTCAGCTTTACAATCTCCAGCTGGGTCTTTTTCGCCTCTAACATTGTGACCGTGCGTTTCAGCTCGGAGATCTCGTTCATCTTGGTGAAGTATTCGGACTTGGCCTCCAGGTAATCTGTCTCAGCCTTAAGAAGGTCCTTTTGCAGTCGATTTGCATCGGACGCCGGAAAGGTAGCTAACTGATCCAAGTCATTGAGGTAGCCGACGAAGCTAGATCCTACATTTCGATCGTTGTCATCCTCTACTAGGAGTTTATCCAACAGGTTCACAGTGATCGGATCGTTAGTTTCCGATATCGGTGCTGGGGTTGGGGGACTTGCAGGTTCCTCCGTTGAACTCGTGTCTTTTTTTGAGAGACTGGCAAGCTTCTCGGTAAGATCAGCTTTAAACTTTGGGCAGGACTTTCTGGAAAGCATTTGTTTACAAACTTTGCTAAGCGGGAAATAATATTTGACATACATACCTGTGGATGATAAGCCTGTCAATGCTCGTGTTTGATTGGTATTTGTTGCAGTGAAGACAGAGAGCACGGTATTTCTTTGAGTCGCCGTCTTCCTTGTCGGCGGACACGAATCCAAGCATACCCCATGTAGTATTCTTGTAATTACCGCGAACCCTTTGGGGTTTAGTTTTCTGATCTTTATTTGCCACCAACATATTCTCTACATCCAATTAATTTACGTGTCGCGTCTTTATGGCTTGCGTAAAACTGTGTCGATGATTCAACAGTTGTTATCGATAGTCGTTCAAATTTCAATTTAAAAACAAATTTAAAATTTTGGAGAAAAAACATTTTTCAATTAAAAAATACAATATTTATGTTTAAATCAGTCATTTCTGCCCACACATTCTTTAATTTCAGTTAGTTCTTTTGACTTCTGTTAATAAATTAAATAAAATAATATTTATTTTGTTAATTTATAAATTCCATTTGATTTATTGATTTAAAATAAATAAAAATCAAATGTTATGTTTTCTCCCCCTCTTAGAAACATCTTTATTTTTTATAATCAAAACAAAAAAATTTTGGTTTATAATGGGTAAAATATCGATATATTTCCGGGAGAGTTGTTTGTGTTATCGCTGTAAAGAAGCCATTCCATTTTGCACCACAGTCGTAAAAGATGCCACGAAAGAAATCTGAAGATTTTTATAGAACTCATGGCTTTACTGCCAATTTGTCTAATGGAAAATACTCCGCAACATGCCACTACTGCGACAGAGTTTTGCAAAATACCGCGCTTTCGCGCCTATCTTTACATAGGTAACATTACATTCTTGAAGTCATGGTTTACATACGTAATGTATAACCAAAATTCTTTTAGACAAACTTGCGATCAAAAAAGAGGTAGATACACGGAGTCTACCCGAAAAAAAAGCGATGAGACGGACTCCTATGATGATGCGCCTAGGATCAAGGTACATTTACTTACTAAAGGTTCAAACGAATTATGTACTTGGCCTTCATATGGCATGTTTACTCTAGTCTCACCCAAAAAACTTTCCATATTCGTACATAGATTCAAAAAATTTCGAGCGCCGAAGATGACGATTACGACAATGCCACTGAGGGAAAGGAAATTATTGTAAAGGTAGGATTAAATGTTCTCGATATGGTATATCAGAAAAACATAAAATCTTTTAATCCAGATCCAGCAAATTCTTGACGCTGCCGATGAGGAGAGTGGAGCGAAACGCCCGACTATCATAAAGTCCGAGATACTGCAACAAAGTGATCCCAAGGGTTTGAGTCAAGGACAGCAAGTCGAAATACAGATTTCAAATGAAGACGGCGGTGGTCAAGACTACATTGAATACGTTAATGATAGCAAAGAGGTGACTATTTTAAACTTAACATTATTGTATTGATATATCTTTTAGCTTATTTCGCAGCACTACATAATACCGGAAAATCTGGATGACTCGGGCCAAGAAGCAACCACTATTGTGCACAGGCCTAAAAACAATTTAGCCTCCTTGCGAGCCGAGAAGGCACGAGCGGAAATTAAACAGTTCCAGAGCAAGACAAAGTTTCTTAAGACGGAAACGGAAAACCTGAAAGTAGTTCGAACACTTACGCTTTTAAGAATTCAAAAGTTGCGACTTGAAATTGACGCTCTGCGCGCTCAAAATTAATTTTAAGTTAATGTACACTTTTACATGTCAAAATTCAGTTAACTATTTATGTAAATCGTGGGCCTTGTAGAAATGTATAGTACACATTGCCAAATGTACATATGTGTATAGAAATGTACGTATATGTAGTACAGAATATGGAAAAGCAATTAACTATCGATAAAGTTATTATTTCAAACGTTAAACATTTTTTAAAAATTTCCTTTGAGAAAATTTGAATATTTTTCTCTATTGTTTTTAAAAAATAACTAGATCTTTTTAATTTCGATCAAATAAAACAAGGTTAAGAAGTGTAAGTTTTACATTGTTTAGTTAATATTATTTTGGCCTTCTCCATTCGAATTTTACTTTTTTAACTTATTTAGGGTAAAAAATAAAAAAAAGTTTAACTTAAACAACTGTTCCAGAAACATTTTCTTATTTTTTAAGAAATGCGATATATTTAAAAATGTACTTGAAGTCTCAAAGTATCGAATACTCGATAACTATTCGTCGCAACCCTGCTCATCACATGATAGCTAGAGAGAAGTCGGGGAGGAGTAAAGGGTTTTTCTTTGCAGTCGTTCGTCATATGATTAAAAGTCCAGCGGAAAACTGAAAATGTTGCGGAGTTGCGTGGTTTTTTCGCTGTTCATTGCAGCCAGTAAGTAAATCTAATAAGCGAACGTAACTTTCCAGTCTTTGAAGTTTCGGAAAGCAAGAAAAAAGTGAAAAATTTGTCTGCAAATACAATCGATGGGGGTGGTGACTTCTGCATGCGCAGAATATGGAATATGGCTCCTCATAAGATAAGCTATTTTCAGAAACAAATTAATCACTTCTCCACACCTTACTTTATCCCCAGTTCATGCTGCGGGCGAGTTCTCGGTCCTGAACAGCCCCAAGGCGATCACCTTCAAGGGCAACGATGCCTTGGAGAGCAACTACCTCGGCGATGTTCTATATGCTTGCATGGGCAACTCTGTGATTGGTGACTCAAACTGGAACGGCGTGACCATCAACGATCCCTTTAATCTGGCCAAGGGCGTTATCGTGGTCCACGTTAAGGGCACTGGTCACGTGACCACCTCCGGTAATGTGAAGACATACGAGCTGACAGGATCTCGCACTGATGCCTCGTTGAATGCCCTGGCTGCCGAGCTGGAGGCCTCCAACGAGCCCGTCTGCGACATCAACTTTGAGCAGTTTGACGATGGTGTAAGTGAACTTAAACATGGATATTCTATCGGCCTTTTATTAAAGCCACTCAAAATAATCGCAACAGGTCCAGGCTTGGAAGTCCTGCTTTGGAGACTTCGAGGTTCCCGCCGCCAAGCCCACCAAGCACTTGAGCCCCACCCTGCACTCTGCCGACAAACAGTTCCTTCTGGAGATTGGTCACATCAACGGCGCTGCCGACCATCTGGCTGAGATGGCCAAGCCCTCGAACGTTTTGGTTCTGCGCGTCTCCGTCGATGGAGTTGCTAAGGCCCATGGAGAAAAGTCCGTGGCTATGGAAGAGGCCAACAAACTGCTCTCCGCCGCCATCAGCCGTCTGCTGGCCGCCTCCCAGAAGTCCAGCGACTCTGTTCTGTTCATCCAGTCCACAGAGAAGGATGTGGCTGCGTCGCGGGCCAAGCGTGATACTTTAAATGCCGATACCAAGAACCCCTTCAATCTGGCCACCTATTACGGCAGCGACTACCCCGTGATCTTCAACATCATCCTCTGGTTCATGGTTGTTTTCGGCCTGTCTTTGCTGGCCATCTGCTACGCCATCGCCGCCATGGATCCCGGCAGGGACTCCATCATCTACCGCATGACCTCCACCCGCATCAAGAAGGACAACTAAGCGGGAGGTGCTTTGGGCGGTGGCCCACTTATTCTTTGTTATTTCGTCCCCATTTTAGTTAAAATCTGCCAACTTGTACTTCAATTCAAAGAAAGAAAGAAAAAAAACAGAAATCAGCGCCGTAATTGTGTGTGTGTGTGTGCGTGCAATTGTCGCTGTAGTTGGCTAATATCTTTAATATAAGTATTAAAAACTTATCAGTTTTCGATGCAGTTGCGGCTGAGCAATAATTCCATAGTAATTTGTTACATTTTCCTGTTTTGTTGTACTTTTTAGGTTCATATATATATTATATATACGATAATGCACAACATACTCGCCAAGTCAGTCAGTTCTTTGTCAAACTAATCCATCATTGTGTAAATTATCAATATTTCGAGCGTTAAAGAGTAATGTTACAAATATATAAAGCCTAAAAAGACAAAATTCTTTGGTTTATTTTGATCATCTGGCAAGGGAAACAAAATCGGGAACATTTCATACCTTTATTAAGTTTAAATTTGGAAATTTTTTAATTATAAAATATCCTTTCTTGAAAGGATTAGTTACACATATTTCTTTTCAGTCGGAGATCTACACGGGATCAGTAAACTAACTTAATTTTCCTCGAAACCATCTGGAATTCTATGCTCCCCAGTGATCATTGGCATTGTCATATGGCGAACTACTGCCTCCACTCCAGGCACAGCACCCAGCTCCATTCTGACCAGTAGAGCTCTCCCGCAGCATGGCCTGAAGGTGGTTTATATAGTTAATGGCAATCCTAAAAATTAAAAAATATTAATATAAACCACTGGGAAATATTACACAGATTATGTCACCCACCTTAAGCTTTCAATTTTGGAATACTTCTTGCCGTTGGGCTTCGAAATGGGCAGCTTGGAGCGCAGCAAATCAAATGCCCGATTCATGTCCCGCATCCTGGTTCTCTCCCGATCACAGGCCGTTCGCCTGTAGTCTTTTTCCATCTGCAGAGCTTTCTCCCGCCAAGCGGGATTGTGCTCCTTCGAGATTTCCACTTCGGAACTACTGGCCACGCTGCCGCCTCCGTAGCTCATGTACATCGGTGGCGGGACCAGTTCACTGGGCTTGGATTCATCTAGCAATCTAGCTGGAGAGGCTGTTGTCATTTGACCAGCATGCCACATCGACACTGGCTGTGGGATCACACTGTAGCTGGGTGGCAGCAGGCCCAAGTTGGGCGGCTCTTTCTCGTATCCACCCATCAGGGTGGGCGAGTAGTTGTGCGGATGAGCCGGAGCATAGGCCAGCAGCCCCCCGCCATCGGGGGTCAGGGTGTAGTTCAGGTTTACTGCCGACTGCGAAGTACCCAATTCGAGGAGGACGGGCTGCTCCGCATGCTCAGCCTCACCCTCCGAGCCGCCGCTTAAATATGGTCCCCCCGTGGATGTTGGCACGGGCACCAAGACCGGAGGGGGATCTCCCGGAGCCGAGCCGGCGGCGGCAGCGGCGGTGGAGCTCAGCAGTTGATCCGTCATCGTTTAAGCCGATTTCCGAATGACCGATGCAGCGAAAGTTCTCACTGGACTGCAGGCTTACCTGGACTCGATTTTTATTTTTAGTGCATTATAGGCTACCGATAGTGATGAATGGCTTTCCATCGATCCGATCCGAGACGTGACTACTCATCTAGGTATGATGAGGACCATCCACCTATCATCCACTAAAGAGGCCACCTCTCTTTGTACGTGTGTCAACAAAAAAAAATAATGTGATCTATGGCAGGGACAACTTGTCGTCGAGAGAATCCTTTTGTCTACCTGACACGACACACAAAGCGGCTTAATTTCTTGGCTATTGTGCCACCGATCGAGGCGCGTGTGGCAGGCTGGAGTTGCGTTCGACTTATGTCGTCCCTCTCCGGTATTGGGATCGTCGATCAGCGATCGCCACAACTTCAGTTTGAGTTTTTTCTTTGGATCGCTATATACAAACACCCACACTGGAGCGATGGCACATAAGCGTAGCGTGTATTTTCGACGCATGTAAACACAAGTGTTTTAACTTAATTAAAAAAAATACATATCCATATCCATAAGCCCAGTTATGAATATACTTCTATATGAAGGTGAGGAAATAATACGCTGCATACCCCTGCCAGCGAGCAGGCATGGCCTAAAGGTTCCCCCCCAATTCTAATTTTAAAACTAATTCGTTTTCCGTCTAATCCCGAAGTACAGTAGAAGATCAAATGATGGGATAGCTAATAAAAAATTAAATATTATTATGATTTAGAAACTCAGATAAAAATAGTATAAAAATATAAATATTCTTCAAAAATATTGAATACTCCTCTTAGTCTCAGGTTCCACTCAGGTTGAAATCAATATATTTTTATATTAAGAAAAATCATATATTTTTCTAGTCCTATCAAAGTACATTTACTGTGAGCCTTGCCCGCGAAATCCAATTCATGACTCTGGTTTCGGATTACTCCCAAACACACATCCACACATCCAAAATGAAAAAAAATTACTTACATTTTTGCGAAGCCGGGAGTTATTTTCTTAGCTGGTTTACCAGAGAGCGCGATTTGCCGGGAATCGGAAATGAATATGAGCCATGTTCTCCGTAGAGTAACCTAGACTTGAGACTGGCTGCTCTCCGCTCTGCTTGGGCACTTGCAAGTGTCAAGTGGCCATTGGAGTTAACAAGCGGAGTTTTTTTTTACAACTCCCAAATGTGGGTCACTGCGGTGGCAATTGCAAATCGAAGCCGTTTATTGTTTTCTGCTTTATAAAAATAAACACAGTGTGTAAAAAATTAAAATAAATAGCGAGTACATTGAAGCATTAAGTGGGCGCCAATTGGGCTCATAGCCACCGGCACAGATCGATTCATTAGAACTATATACATAGGAGTGCTTTAATCGGCTCGATAGTGAACTAATCGCCCTTAGTTCGATTTAAGCTAATTTCATAAAAAACATTTATTTAAATCGATGTCAATTCAAATGCAGGTAACTCAGCGTAGTAAGACTTTTAACTGCCGAACTGCAAAGGTCGCAGTTCAAAGAACTTGTTCAAAAATTCGTCAGTAATACGTTTGCGAGCTGCCTGATGCTGCTCCACAATAGGTGTGAGAGTCTATAAAACAGAATTAGAGAAATTTATTGTAAAGCCTTTTAATAATTACATAACACTATAACTCACCTCCACGGCCAGCTTCTTAATCTCGCCCGTAAGCATCTCGCCTTTGCTGTAAGCCTGACGAATCTTCTCTAGTTGAACATCATCTTCCAGGAAGAATTTAAGTAGCTGATAGGACACATCAACATCCGGAATACCACCCAGTTTACGGTGTTCCTCCACAGTAGCGCGACCGCCAGAGAAGGCGTACTTGTTGATTTTATTTTTGATCTGCTTCGGGGTGTCCGTCAAGAACACCGCCGAGTTCTGATCACTTGCCGACATTTTCGTTTTGGCACCTTGCAGTGCGGGGAAGAAGGTGGAGTGAATGAGCGCACACTTCGGGAATCCCAAACGAGGAGCTACGTCGCGGGTCATGCGGAAGTACGGGTCCTGGTCAATGGCGCACGGAATAAGACAATTCACCTTCTTGTTGCCAAAGATAAACGGGAAAGTACTGGAGATGGCGGGAGCAGCTTGAGCAGCAGGGAAGCCGATCTTGCCGATAATGTCAGAATCACCAAAGCCGAAGATTCCCTTTACTTGGTTGAAGGTCACGCATTTTTGAATGCGAATGATGTTCTGGTACATGGCTGGGCACTTGCTATAAACACAAATATTGAATATTTAAAATTTTAACAAAGTTATAGAAAAAATGTATTCATATACCAACCCCATGAACTCCAAGTTGTTGAATATAAATGTCTTGTTAACGTCAAAACCCATTGCAACAATATCCTTGGCATTCTCTCGTGCCAACTTAATGGCATCCTCCACCTTCAGATCCTTCCATAAAGTCTTTTCATCGTCGGTTAACTGAATAACCAACGGTACATCGAAAGTTTCCTGCAGCCACTTGGTCATAATAAAGGGCACCAGATGACCCACATGCAAGGAACCAGAGCTAGGACCACGACCAGTATACAAGTAGAAAGGTTTTCCACTTTCCCGCAACGAGAGAATGGTGTGCAGATCCCGATGCGAAAAGAACATGCCACGACGGATCAAGTGGTGCGCTGGCTTACCAGTGATTGTTTCGAAGCGAGCGATAAGATCCGCATCGATTTTGCTTGACCCAAAGCGTTCTGCAACGTGTCAATATTAAAGGTTTCCAAAGGTTATTTTGAGGAACTTTTGAAAAGGAATCCACGTGCTTACTTATCAGTTTGTCGTAGTCGACGCCCGCGTCGTTGCTACTAGCTACATTCCACGGATCCACAACATCTTCAGCAGGTGCCTCCGGAACTCCCTCTTGCGCCAGGGCATTTGTACCCGTTTCCACCTGCTCTGATTCCGGCTTGCCATTCAGTGTCAGGGCCTCCACGCCCTCCGTTATCGTCTCCTTGGTGTCCGCCATAGGAATTGCTTATCGTCAGTCTGATTGTTGTGATTTTACGAATAATTTAATACTGGCCAGTGAAATTCTCCCTTTCACATGTGAAATGAGGCGCTTATTAGAGGTGGTAGACAGTCGATTTTATTTGTTGTTGAAATTATCGATAACTGTTAAGGGGGTATGTTAATTAAACAAATAGAAATATTTTTATTTTTAAAATTGAATAGTATAATAATGCAAATACTAATAAAAATACGTACAAAAAACATAGTAAATAAAACCTAACACTTTTAATAAAACTTTAGTTTATGTACTTTAGCCGATGATAAGTTATCGATAAGCTTTTGACAGCCCTGGTAGTCAGCTGTTTGAAAAATGCAAATATTACTAAAAATGCAACAGAATTTAGTGCAATATTTTTAAATACACCGGATAGATAAACCACCTTCACGATGCCTATTATGTACAATACGGGCGAGTGGTTTAAGGTGCGGCCAGACTACTATAGGTAAGCCCAAGTTGAATTATCAAATTTTCGGCAATTATACGCCCCTTTGAATTGAAGAAAAGTGGAGCTGCCGACGCCCGATTGGCCACTGGATCTGGAATTGGAGTACATGCTTTTGGCAGCGGCTCCGTATGGAGGTCCCTTGGCAGTCACTCGGGATACCACCAAATTGGTGCCCGTCAAAGGTTCTAGCAGACCAATGATTCGTATTTTTGACACCACCGGAAAGGAAACAGGTCATATTTTGGTAAGTTTAGATTTTCTAATGATGTTAAATAGCTATTTAATCTTTTACTTTTTGCAGTGGAACCATGGAAAACTTATTGCAATGGGTTGGTCTGATACGGAGGAGCTGATTTGTGTTCAGGAGAACGCTACCGTGTTTGTATTTGACATGTTTGGGAAGGAAAAGGAGTCTTACTGCATTGGCGACGAGGCCAGCGTTACCAAAATTGTCGAGGCTAAAGTATTTCAGTCTTCTACGGGTACAGGAGTTGCCGTTTTAACCACATCCGGTCGAGTCTTTCTGAAACAAAATAGCTCCAAGGCAGAGCGTCGTCTACCGGATATTCCCAGTAATTGTTGTTGACAATGAATTCAAGAACTATTTGATTTGTTTGATTTTGTATGTTTTAAACAGATTCTAGCATTAACTGCTCATGCTGGGACATTGTCACCGAAGGGCGCAACAGCTACTGTCTCCTGGGTAGGGATCGAGAAGTTATCAAGCTATTTCCCGATGAAAAGCTTCCCACCATTACCGCTAATCTTTTCGAAAAGCCGCACGATCGAATCATCAAGATCTCTGTTTCTTACAACCACCAGCACTTGGCATTGTACACAAATACTGGGCTTCTATGGATGGGTAGCGTTGATATGCGACAAAAATATTGCGAATTCGATACAGGGCGCAAAGACATGCCCCTCCAAATAGAATGGATCATGAACATAGACGACAGCGAGTCTGATGCGGTGGTCATATCCTACCCTTCCTATTTGCTAATCGTAAATCGCAAAGCTGATCGTAGCGACTACCACTATGATCCTGTGCTGTTTTTGGTTGCGGAAATGGATGGCGTTCGAATTATCACTCCGACGTCCCACGAGATGATACAACGTCTGCCCAAATGCGTGGAGAATATATTCGCAGTGAATAGTCAGGAACCGGCGAGTTACCTCTTTGAGGCTCAGAAGAAGTTTGAAGAGAAATCCTACAAATCCGATGAATATCTAAGCATGTGTCGGGATAAGATGCCTTTGGCCGTGGATGAGTGCATTATGGCAGCATCCCACGAGTTTTGTCCTGAGACCCAAAAGAGTTTGCTTAGGGTGAGCTTGAAACGCTATTTAAGATTATATCCAATTAAATGGTTCTATTTTAGACGGCCCACTTTGGCAAAGGTTTCATTTTAAACCATAACCCTGATGAATATATGCGTATTATGAGGATATTGAGGGTCCTCAACACCCTGAGACACGAGAGAATCGGAATACCACTTACTTTTAAACAGTAATATTTTAAATTTAAATCTCTAACAAGTTTTTAAACAAAATTATATTTTTTAATTCAGATTCACCCACCTTAATCCTGAAGTAATACTTAGCCGTTTGGTATACCGTAAGCACTATGCCGTTGCTATTCAGGTAGCAAAGCACTTGAACCTACCAGAGTCTTGGATTTTGGAGCATTGGGCCTACGACAAAGTGCTCAATGATTCTAGTATGTGGCAGTAATGTGTTTCCATGGGTTTAGTAAAACCTTTTGCTTTTCAGATGACGCCGAAGTGGCTCGCAAGATAACTGAGCGGTTTAAGAACCCCTCGGTCGAGGGTATATCCTTCTGCAATATTGCAACAAAGGCTCATCTAGCGGGCCGAGATGAACTGGCCAGTAAACTTCTTGATCTGGAGCCTCGAACATCGTTACGTGTTCCCCTGTTGATCAAAATGCGTAAATTCGACCGGGCTGTGAGCAGTGCCACACAGTCTGGGGACACTGAGCTGATTACTCAAGTGCTCCTTGAGATGAAGATGCACATGATGCTCTCCAATTTACACGTATGTTTTTAATTACATTTAATCACTGCCATTAATCACCCGTCGATCTACAGATGACTATTAGAGATCATCCCCTGGCATTAAATATGTACAAGAAAATCATGCGGGAGTCTAATCGGGCTGGCCTTTATGGAATATACAACACAGAAGACGACCAAAAGGCCATCGCAGAATATCACTTCGAGAACGCAATCGAAACGAAGAGCCTGGAGTCGAACTTGTCGCCGATTGTCAATGCCTACACCCAGGGTCGATGCACTTTGGAAGCGGAGCTGTGCTCTGATTACAGTCGGCTGCTCAAGCTGCAAAAAACATTCGAGAGCAAGTACGGTGGCACTTTCAGCGGATTATCGGTGCACGACACTATCTTGGAGCTTTTGCATCTTGGCCAGCTTAATGAGGCGGAAAAAATCAGGAATAGCTTCAAAGTGCCCGAGCGTCGTTTCTGGTGGTTGCGCATCCTCACACTCTCGGAGCATCAGAGGTGGGATGAGCTGGAGAAACTGGCCAAGAGCAAGAAGAGTCCCATTGGTTACGAGCCATTCGTTGATGTTTGTTTGAAACAAGCCAACCCCGCAGAAGCCCGGAAATACATTCAGAAGTGCAGAGACAGCCGGAAAGTGCATTGGTATATCCGGGCAAAGTATGACTATCCATTTTTTTAATGTTTATTTCACTTAAAATAAATCCTTTCCTTTTTGTAGCTTATTGAATGAAGCCATTGACTGTGCATTGGAGCAAAAGGATATACATAGCCTCTATGAAATAAAAAAGAAGGAGGATGTTGTTAACGATGGAAATCTTTTGAGCAAAGTCTGCAACTGCATTGCCGCGCTGGAGTCTAGAAAGTAGGCGGAACATTCCTATATGCTAAATGTTTTGAAAATTAATAAATATTTATTGATACCTATGCATACCATAACGTGCGCTATTTCCCTTTGAAATATTTTCAATTTGTTTTGTTTTTGAAGGACATTTTATTATACATATGTTTATGTAGTTATGTAATAGATCACATAAAGCAAAAAGAGAATATTTTACTACATTTTTGTTTCTTGTGATTGATGCTTCATTTTGTGGCTTGAGTTGTATGATGATGTGTTAAAATTCCGCCCTATTCTCTTTAAAAAGCTTCTGCCAGAGAATCTCCTGGGTTACTCCTCGGGTACAGGTATAGTTTTAGTTGATTTGATGTTAATGTCGATGGTTTATGTTTTGACTTTAGTTAATTCTCTACGTATAGTTACGATTTTAGTAAATTACAATTACAATACATTATATAGTACATAGTAGGTAGATAGAGTATTAACTAATTTATTTTATTTTATTTCTTTTTTTTTATAAATTTTTATTCAAGAGTAGTTTTATTTATTTTTTTTTGTGGTTTCTGTTTAGCATACATATATTTTTAATATATTTACGAACATAACAGCAGTCTTATATAAGATGACATACTCAATTTATTGTTTTCATTAGAGGGATTTGAGTTCATTATCCGTTTTTGAAAGTTTTATACTGTTTGGAGAGTTCTGGCAGGTCCATATAGATCACTGGCCAAAACCCTCCATATAAAGACAGATCCTTGCTTTCTACATACATTTATAAAAGTTTGTTTGGCTAAACTAGTGCGATCCGATCGTACGGATCGCTAAGCGTGTTTTTTTTTTGTTTACCTCAATACATTGTATTATAATGGATTAGTATGGATTGGTAGCTAGGGTTATACATTGGTTATGAACGCAGAACTATTAAGATAAGGTGCGAATATTTTTTAAGACGCTGGGCGTCTGCGAAATGCGGTCTGAAGTTTATTTATGTTTCTGTTTTTGGCGACTGACTACGTAAATGTATACTTGTAAATATTTATGATGATCTAAACATATATGTATGTATATATATATTAAATTTCATTTGATTTTTGTTCTTTTTGAATGCTTAAGGAACCCGATTCTGATAGGATAGGAAGTTCGATTGAATTTTGAGGCATGCTATGAAATACAATCATTAAGAGTATGCACAAGAGGATATTTGTGTTTGTAATCATATCGTATATTTTGTTGTATTTTGTTTTTTTTTTTGTTTATTTTGTTAAGGGAGACTTTACATTTAGGGACGTTTGAACACTAAAACTATACAATTACAATACATGCACGGACACACTCACACAGCTACAGACATATGTTGTTGTGTATAAATAATAGAATAATTTATAATTATAATACTATAACTACTGTAGAGTTATTGCGGCTCCTCAGCCTGTTTCGCAGCTTCAGTTTCAGCTTCGACGGTTCGTGGGCTTCCCCTTAAATTTTTCGCTAACTAGTTTTTACTTTTTTTGTTTTCAAATATTCGACATTCCAATGATTTATTTCTGCATTTCCAAGATCTTAAATGGATCATATTTTTAAATTGGCTCACGCGAAATTGTCTTGGCAAGTTCGGGACCTTTAATTTTCCTAAGAGAACAATTACTTCTCTGATTTTTTGTTTTTTTAGCCAATTTATGATATTAAATTTAAACCAACTGGTTGGGGAATCCCAATAACCTTATTCTATTGAAATTGTACAGAGGAAATCTTCGTAAAGTTATAAATAGATGCGTTCCGGGCATTCCTCCCTCCAGTCGCCTTCAATTTTGTGGTTTTTTTATGCAATTATGAAATCAAAAATTTAATTTAACTACAATAATGACTAGTTGAAGATATATCTTCAAATATATTTACTAAATCGTTTAATTATTTTTTTTCTTATTTTTTTGTTTGTGTGTATTATGTGTATTTTTTTTAATCTTTTTCTTGTTTTTTTTTGTAGAGTTTAAGAATTGTCTAAAGCCGATTTTAGAGAAAGTTTTCTGTTTATATACACATTATGGATTTATGGTTCAAGAATTTCCTTTTAAAATATTGCTGAGATTTGTTTTTAGGTTTTAGGATGTGGATATAGTGTGTAGATGATACATAATATTTTGCAAAATGCATGGAATTTTTTAATTTTATATGTTTTTGTGTTTTTTTTTTAGTTTTTCATTCGTTTGGAAGCCAATGGAAATTCTTGCTTCTTGGAAAACTTCTCTAACGATTTAAAGGCGGCGCCTGCTTGAGACCCTTCCTCCTCTCCATCTCCATCTACTCCCTCCATCTACTCTTCTCAATTGAATCCTTTTCCCATCTCCCTTATTGACGAATCCTCTTGCTCCGCCTCTCGTCCGGTTTATTAGTCAGTTAGTTACAACTTCATCACAGCCAACTCGGTCGCTTTCAGCGGCGCTCAGCGCATCATCTTTGCGTCTCCAATTACATCCGATACGATACGATCTCAGACGGTCTCAATTGATCGTTTTCTTGAAGAGATTGTGGTGTATGTGCTCGTTCTGCATAGCGCACATTTGGCCCACAGCAACGGTCCGCAAGCCACCGCCTCCGCCGCCGACAACCTCCTGCTGAATGGTGGCACCATCGCCTCCCGAGGACATCGACATCGATTTGGAGGCCCGCAGATTGGAGAAGAACTTCTCCTTGATGGCCAGCGCCGAATACTTGTGCTCAATGAATGTGGGTGAGATTTGCATCGGCGTGGTGCCATGATGGGGATGGGGATGCTGGGAGCTGCCGGCGGTGAGTGGTGGTGGTTTGGGAGACGCAATTGCTATGGACCTCTTGGCAGCTGATGCGGATACGGGTGAGGCTGATGGCGGTTTGCTGCTGGAATCGCTGCTGCTGTGGTTGCTGTTCTGATTGCTGTTGGTGTGGTTGGGTGAGCAGGAGTAAGAGGTTTCTGCAATAGGTAGAGAGAAAAGGAAAAGAAGTAACGAAAAACATAAAATAAAATAAAAACAAAACAAACGAAACACCGAAAAGAACCCAAGAAACTGTTCCCCAAACAAAAAAAAAAAACTTATGACAGATAGAGGTATAGTTAAAAAATATATGAGAATAGGGATATAAAATATTACATATTGCACTAAATCGAGAGTAGTCTTAAAAATTATGAGCAGACCCGGTCGCAACTTAAACATAATCGTGTAAATGTGTGGGTGTGTGTGTTTCTTTATGTTTTTATATATATATATATCGTACAATTAAATTCAATTTGCTAAAGCTTAGAACATAAATAATACTTTTTTTTTGTTTTTAGTCGAATACGAATAGTACACTAGTCTGAGATTAAATCAATTTTAGTCGGTGAGTGGCCTGATGGAATTTTAAAATCTTCAAATTATCATAATTTAGCATTATATCCATTAAATTTTACAATTTTTTTAAGTTTCTTTTTGTTTTTATCTTCTAATTAAATTAAGAGGAGATCAGACGTTGTAAATAGTTTATAATAATACAGACATGATAGTCATACATACAAATCATAGTGATCCTAATGAATTGTCTCTTTTTTTTGTTTTTTGTTAAATAATACAAAATTAAATATTGCACAATCAATGCGATTTGTGTGGATTTAGATTGGAAATAGATATATGATACAATGGGAGGATATCGAATCGATTAGATTTGGGAGTTTCAATTAAAAACACAACTTATGTTCCTGGTCTCTAAGCAAATAAGCAGTCTACGAAATGTTTCCAAATGGATGTTTTGGTGAGTGAGTGAGTCTGACTTGGCTGACTTGGCCCTCCCCTCCCCCCTTAAGCTTTAAATCCTAGACAGCCGCCGCCTACCGGCCTAGAATGTCTACATAATGTACTCCCACCATTTGCCCTAACTTTCACAATTGTCGTATACGGATGAGGAGCTTGTCAATGCGGTGGCTTGGGTGGCTGCGGTTCCAGCGTCAGTTTACGGTGCATCAGTAGCTGCTTGAGTATAGGCTACGTCTCATCATTGACGGCGCCAGCGCCCACAGCTTCAATGCCCGCAGTGCCTCCGATCTCATCCTTGTTCTCTGTGATGCTGGCTATCGCCGCCGCCACGCTCTCCGAGATGGCATCGCTCTGGCCGTCGTCGGTGTCCATTGGCTCGACCAATTCCAACTTGCCCTTCTTGGTCAGCTGCTGCTGGGGTGTGGGCGAGCTGCTCTTGCTGCTGTTGCCGCTGATGCTGCTCGTGGGACTGATGGGCAGTACATGATGCTGCTGTTGCACCTGCACTTGCTGCTGCTGCGGTACTTGCTGTTGCTGCTGCTGCAGCTGTTGCAGCTGGGTCGGAGTGGCCGGCTCTTGCAGCAGCAGTATGTTGGTCTTCTTGGCCAGCGAAGCCACTAGCGCCTGCTGGTTGGCATTCCCATTCCCGTTGGTAGTGGTGGTGAAGGTCAGCGTCTGGGTGTTTTTGGTGGGTGAGGTGGCAGGTGTGAGTATGCCCAAGTTGACCAAATTCGGCAGCGGTTTGTTGCCATTAGTGACCTTGTTGCCATTGAGCTGCTGATGCTGAACGATGTCTACGGCGGAGCCGCCGTTGGCCACATTGGTGGCCAGCTTGAGAATCTTGCTGGCCGTTGCGTTGGCAGCCATAAGATTGCTTACCGATTTGGCAGCCGGTTGATTGTTGGTTTTAATGGATACTAAACCGAGTGTGCTGCGCATTAAATTGTTGTTGTTGGTGTTACCTGTTGCACTGGGGCCGCCATTCTGTAGGATCTGCTGTGGCTGCTGCTGCTGCTGCTGATGGTTGGACACGTTGGTCAGCGTGACCACATTACCGGCACTAAGCTGTTGCAGTACACTGCCGTTGCTGGTTACAGCCGCAGTGTTGCCGTTGCTACCGTTAATGGTGTTGCCATTGGACAGACTGCTGCTGCCACCGTGGCAACTGCTGGTACTGCTGGACATATTGCTGATGCTCGACGGACTTAGGGATCCTATCGATTGTGACGGCGAGTTGCTGCGCTGGATGACTGGCGGCGGGGGGTTGGAGCTGTTGCTGTGCGAGCTGTTGGTGCTGCCAACGTTAGTGGCTGCCAGAGCAGCGCCATCGGCCACCATCAGTTGAGCACTGAGGACACTATCCGGCTGCGAGTTGTGGGTATGCAGAGCATGATTCTTCAGACCCTGTGCCGTCTTGTAGCTCTTGCCACAGTGGCACTTGTAGCCCTTCCGAACTCTACAAGATTTTTAAAAAAATTAATAAATGTTCTTAGACATAACTTTGCTTTTAAGGTCACCTTCCGTCCTTCTTGTGACCATTCTTTGAATGGTACTTGATGCCATTGACGTTCTTGTAACGCTTTTTGCATCCTGGAACCGGGCAGGCGAAGGGTTTCTCATTGCCAGGCGTGCCATTGCTTCCGCCACCGGAATGCCTAAAACACAAGAAACACAATAAGGCCAGGCCTTAATAAAAATCAATATTTCTCGACTCACCTGCTGCCATAGCGCATGATGAACTCGGAGCTAAACTCCTCAGTGGTCCACGAGTCATTGCTATCCTCCGACTCTGTGACTACCATTTCGTCTTCGTCCATTTCGCTGCCTGCTCGGCGAAAGAAGCTTTGGATTATTATGGATTCGGAATGAATAAGTAAGTAATCTTGCCTGTTGGGGTGGTGCTACGGTTGGACGAGGACATGCTGTAGCTGTGGTGCTTGATGGCCAGCTTCCGCTTGAGCTCCACGTTGCCAGTGCCATGGTTGGCGTTGTTGGAGCCGCTGTTGGTGGTCGGCGGGGCGGTGTTGTGAGTGGCCAGGAAGCCAGCCTCCTTGCGGTTGTCCTCCGTATAGAAGCGCAATATGTAGCTCAGGGGCAGGCAGGCAGGCTGAGCCTGCTCCTTCTGTTCCACCACCTTAGGATCATAGTCTGAAATAATGGGAGACGAATGCATAAATAAAGTGCCTCCAACCTGCTAAAATATTGATCATAAATATTCTAGAGTTTTGCCCTCGAAACCCCAAGATACAATTGTCGAGAACGAAAAACCTGAAATCATTGCAGAGTGAAACAAGATTAGCTAATTAAAAATTCCCTTTTGCGTCGAGAATCTGAATTCCAACCGGAATGCGGGCCAAGCCAGAACGGGCCGAACCTGCATCCAAAATTCGTGCAACTGCTGTGTTTGCACTGGAACAAGTTCAGAGACATGGTACGGAGACGGAGACGACCCACAGCCCGGGCAATTTATTATTAAAATGTCGAAATAAGTAAATAAGCGAGAGAGTGCACGTACGGGATGGGATGGAACTTGGCATGGCGATGAATTTAGTGTCTGGGGGTCTACTGACGTATTTTCCCAGGCCAGAGGACCACATGGCTAATATGGCGTTATGGGGGACACTATCTTATCGGTTGAACAAGCATAAGCCGAAAGCTCGCTTAATCAGTGAGTGCATAATAACAGGTGCCTTCGTTCTCCCCCTTCGGTGTTTATATGAGTCCCAAGTCTGTATTTGTTTTTTGGCCGCATGTGTGCGTGCAACCTAACCTCCATGATGGGAGAGCGCACGCTTTATTTCTCAATTAAATCATTTTGGTGCGTAACTGTGTCAGCGAGACCATTTATCATGTGCTCCTCGAGACACCCTGCCTCACCGCCCCCCTCATTGCAGTGTCACGTTAACGCTTTGCTGCTAAACGCTAAGCCAAACATGCATCGATCAGTTGGGGATCATATTCAGTATTCCTATTACGTATTACATGTAATCCTCAAGCACTAGTTGGCACTAGTCCACGATAAGATTGCACTTTAGTTGCTTCGCTAAACATATGCCGTAAATTAGATATTATGCGGAACATATGCTTTCGTTTGGAACCGATTCCTCCGCCGCCGCCGCCTCCCCCGTAGTGGGCGCTTATCAGGGCGAAAGGCGATTAAAAACATTTGCGGCAAAGATTGCGGTGATGTGATGCCTACGTGCCAGGCAATCGATTGATGACACATACGGGGACACATTGCGAATATTACGCACATAATTCCACGTACTTTAGTCGCCATATTTATTAAGTTTCGTATATTTGCAATGAAAACCGGGCTGCTATTAAATGCAATCACCTTTTCGCCAATGGGGCGGCCACGCCCCCATCCTTCCATCCAGCACTCCGCTGAACACTGCGTCATTTGTGGCGGTCAAATAAGTTCAGCTTGCTCCGCCTCCATTATTGTTATTATTTTGTTTGTGATAACCTTTTCGATTCATTCTCTCTCCGATCGGGCTCCGGTTCTCTGTAGGTGACACTTGCCCACTACTTGCCCCTTGTGTCTGTGACTCGGAGTGTTTATCAAATCGAGTATTTTACAAACAACTTTTTAAACAAATATGATCTAGCTAAAGTATACATATGTACGAAAAAGCCCACATATACTTGTATGTACTAGTACGACGCATATCGTACGTTTTTGTATTTTTTTCCCCGCAGATGCCTTCGTATTTGCCTCTCACTTGTGTGTGAGTCATGCACTTGTTGCAGAATTCGAAAAGATAACACATTTGTTTCGGTTTGTTTTCATTTCGATGGCAGGAGGTTGGTTTCGAGCGGCCAGTCGTCGTCGTCTGAAAACTTTCCAATTGCCGTCCAAAAGGCATTACTCGTGAAATTTGATAAAAACACAGAGTCGTTGGACTGAAGAAGGCATCGAATTCAAGTTGACATTGCAATTCCAGCTGGTGCCTAGATCATGTTATATATTACATTTCACAGATGGTCTAACTAGCTAGAAACTATGACTAAATATGACTAAGCTTTGGTATGACTCCTTTATTCTTAACTTTAATGTTTAATACGATTTTGAAATTAAACCCACCTCTTATCGCATCGGGTTATCGATATTCAAGTGCAGTGGAAGCCCCCACCAATTAGGAGAAAAAAAAATTGGGGGCACAACAGGTGCCTGGCAACTGTGAAAAGGACAAACCTGAAGGTCTCGACCGCCTTTTGTTGCCATGCCAACCGAAACGATACGAGGCGGATACGGATTCCGATTCGGATTCGGAACTCGAACGAACAACGCCCAAAGAGACGTTTGATAAGGAGGAATCCCAGACCAGAACAGACATCCGTGCACACATCGAATGTCCTTCAAGATAATGAAATAATGGCCTGTTATAACCTCCAGCTCCTCACATAATGGGGGGGAACAGGGATACTGGTACGGGGATGCGGGCTTTTGGGGTTTACGGCAGCTGTGGTTTAGTTTAGGGGTGGCAGTTGCCATGTGGGCGTTTGCTCGAGAGCTTTATGTAATGCCCCTGGACAAGGAGGCGTGGGGTGGTGGGTGTCGAGGTGGAAATGCCTGCCCGGGCAGCCGCCATTGCTGCTGCTGGATATCTGTGTGTGTGTGTGTGTGTGTGTTGCCGTTATCACGCAGCAGTGGCAACAACAAAACAGCTGCCAACGTAACTGTAACTGAGTCAGCTGAGCCACCCCTGCACACCCTTCCTCTGTAACACCCCTCTGTGTAAGTGTAAGCGAGAGCAAGCAGGCACGCATGTTGGAAATAAATAAAGCCCCGCACCACCACTAACCGTTAAAGCAACCCCCAACCCCTCCAGCACAACCACCGGTCAAAGGCGTAGGTAGGTAGGGTCCTAAGGGGTAGCTTCCGGTAGCTAACAATATTTTTAAGGCATCTTTCCCAGAAAACTGGATGGGTTGACAGACTTTTAAAGCAGAAGTTCTAGTTTTAAATCCCCCTACTCCCCTTTCCTACTATAAAGCCATACCCATGACCAGCACCGGACTTAGATGTATTGATTTTCCACCCCAACCACCCTTGAGCACCTGGATGGCTAAAATTAGAATTTGTTTATAGGGCCGGTGGAAGTCCACACTCGAAACATGATTAATTGGGCAGTGGGTATACCCCTATATCTATGTATAGAAACTGTCACGTGGATTGAATGGCATTGTGCGTGAGTGGAAATGTAGGAAACTATAGCGCATCTCCTATTTCCCACGCAGCGGACGCAGAGACACCTGTCTCGAAATCGAAAACGGACGCGGACGGGAAACCAAAACCCAAGCCAAGCCATGCGGACAGGTCAAAAAAAGGGCGCCCAACTCGCCGGTTGGCAGTGCAACAACAAAAACAAGATGCTGTGCTGGCTCACACATACATGCATGGCCGTTAATATACAACCACAAACACACCGATGTTATTGAATGGATCACCGGCTTTTTGCTTGCTTTGTTTTGCTTGTAAGGCCCTCTCGGTCGCACCCATGCCAGCCAACGGCGGCGATCATGGAAAGAAGAGCATCGCATGCTGTACGCGCTTGGAATTGGGCGTGTGTAAACGCACACTGGTGTACGTGCGGGCACAGGTAGGCTTAGGGGCAAAGGTGTACCGCCTGTGCCTATTGTGAACGCTGTCCAGCATCGATTTTGCCCCAAATGCATTTCAATTATCATTTTAGCACACTAGAGCCGTCCAAACTGCAATTCATCCAATAAAAACAACATTTAATTCACCACGAAGCCACATTACACTCACTAACGCACAGTACACGCACACATTGGCCGAGTTTGATGCCGCCGCCGAATGTATATGGAGTAAATAAATAGAATAAACAAAACACACCGACATATCACGCGACGGGCTAATGATTATCAGAGGGCGGTGCGCCAAACTCCCGCGTAAATAGCCCCCATTCACCGCTCACCTATGTGGGTGTCCTCGATGTGTGATATTAGATCGCTCAAGCTTGGAAATGTGATGCCGCAGCCATTGTATTTGCAGACGTTGGTCAGGAACACGGCCATATCAGTCGTATCAGTCGAGTCGGGCTATGTGACTGCTCGTAGTTATGTAAAGTTGTTCGGGAAATACTGTTGGCGATGGATGCGCGCCTATCGGGTGCCGCCTATCGATAGTCAGCAGCGGGGGCGGGACATGGTAGCGATAGTTTGAACCCTGGATTTGATCTCCTTCAGCTTTATAAACTAGGTTCTTGATTTTAATAGATTTATCTGTTAAATGCAGCGAAATTCGAGTTATCAGATGAACCTCGTGGCTTGCAGTTGTTCTATTATGGTTGTTGTTGTTGGCGTGTTGTAGCTGTGGTGTGTTTCGGTCTCTGGCGTGCCCCACACACACATACACTCATGCGCAAGAGCTGCTGCTGCTGTTATGCAATTGAGGGCTGCAACGACATATAAACAGGTCGGGGGTCGGGGTCGTGGGCAATTTAGCTGGGATCCAGGAAAATAAGTCAGGATAGAGCCACCTGATCTACTTACAGCATTCTGGGCTTCGAGTGTGTGGCCTTCACAGTTGCGGCGAATTAAAACACAGTCGAACCGACGTGACGCGACACGAAGCGTTATGCTGCTTGCGGCTGTGTTAGTGTTCGTAGCTATGGTGAATAGGCCAGAAACGGGCTAAGATATCGATAGGCGATTGCTGAGGAGGAGAATAAATGGATTCGAATTAACTTTATATTTTAATTCTTTATTATATTTATCCTTTTTTAACCTAAACGGATAGTTTGCTTGGAGAAAACCTACCAGCAGAAGCCAAAAGTAATTAAGTAATTAATTCTTCGGAAATTTGATGTAAAAATAATAAAATATAAAGCTGAAAAATAACATAACAAATATTAGTTTCTATATATCAAACATTTAAACAAATTTCTGTTATTTAAGGCAACAAGACGCGAAAATCGACACCTGAACATGCTATCAATGTGAGCGCGAAAACCATAATAGCCAGAACTACTTTTCCTGGGCACACTGAAAATACCGATAGCCCGCTGTACAACACTTTTTAAAATGGAAAATTCACCTTACCGAATCAACCCTGCACCGGGCCATGGCAACTCTGGTTTTAGGATTGCTACCACGAACTCAATTCCATTTTTTCGACTAAGCGAAACTGGACATTTAGATTTCTTGTCTAAGAAATTTTCTTTTTCCATTCTTCCATAGATTGGATACCGTAAAAGGCCTTAAGACGTCTGTGATAAAGCACCAAGACCGGCAAGTATTTCCAAGGGTCATTTCCAGTTCACCACAAATTGAAGGGTGCAGACTTGCATTTGTGGGGATAAATATTAAAGTGCAAAGAAATCATTCAAGAGCATTGCAGATTTAAAGGTAGTTCTATTTTATTCGCGGCATAGGCCATTTTAAAAAGAAAAACACCCACGATCGGCTAAAATAAGAGATCCGATAGGGACCGCGACGGTCATTGCGCGCGCACCTATCGAACCTATCGTCTTCCAATCCACCACACTTGGGTCTTTGCAGAGCAAATTCGCGCCCCGTGTTCAATACGGTTTCCACTGTTGTGAAGGGTTTGTTCGAAGTGAGTCGACGGGGTCTGCGCTCCCATACATATAATTTTCTTGCCAGCCAGCGGAGCACCCCCCTGGTTGGATAATCAGTGCCATCCGCCGAAAGCGCCTCAGAATGTCAGCGAAATCTTCCTGAAATCGTGTGAATTGTGAATTTTTCTCAAAACGTGTTCAATGAATTGTCGCCATCTTGCGGCTCACACACACATGTGACAGTTCGTGCGTGTGTCTGGAGTCGTTGCGTCACTGAGAAAGTCGGAAAATTTAGCAAAAACCCTTTGAAAATCCACAGAATTAAGCTTAATTCATTTGCCAGCGTTAGAATTCGTCGGCGTTTCGGTTGAAGAAGCGGAATCAAATTTTTTTGCACATTACGTAACTTCTGAGGCGGCTGCGGCGTTTGACATTTGACAGCTGAGAATCCCAACTATTGCTCGATCTAACCGACATAACGTCTATATCTTTTGCAGAGCTCCGTGCGCTAGCTTCAATTTTGTCGTAAGCAAAATCTAAAAAAAAAATCAACCGAAGATGTTCGTGTCGACAGTCTCTCGCATTGCCCCCGTTGCCAGGAGCGCTGTAAGTATTATTCGATTGACTCTGTGTACCTTGCGGGAGATAAAAATGTTTCCATCAGAGAGATTGCATAATGTGAAAAAGTGCATCGATTTTCCTTTTGCATCAAATTTCTATGCTGACGACCGCTTACATGCCGCTGTGGTGAGCTTCCACTGGCGCGGTGAGAAAACACGGACGGCACACAGTTACATAAGTTAAGGCCGAGAATTGAGGTTATGTTCATGTTGCCACTGGAAGCAAAGTATTAACTTCAATTAAGATCATTTCAGAATTAAAATGTAAGAAATGTAGAGTTTAGGAAGTTTTTAAACCCACATGGGATTGTGTAACATCTTGTTGCCAACTATGGTGGGAGTCTTTGGTTGAGGTTAGAACTGGCAAAAGCTTTCCCAAGTTGAGGGGGGAGGTGCAAATTTGCTGTAGAGTCGCGGGGAGGGTTAGGGGGTTTGAAATAATTACTGATTTGTTTATTACATTATTTTTTGACAACTATTGGAGAACGGATTCCTTGAAACAGCTGAGCCCATCAATAACAACAGACACTGCCAAAATGTCAGTCTAAAATAAATTACTTAATGATTGCATAACTTGGCATTAGCCTACAAAAGAGACAGAGCAATGAACTAGTGATATAAACTATTTTTTTGGTAATTAGTTACTATGTTTTTAATAAATTTAAGCCAGCTATAGATAATCTTCTATTGGATATAATTTTGCAAAATTAAATAAACTATATATATTTATTTTTTTTTAAATGTAAACATGTCTTAGGTTTTCGCAGCTCCTCATATTTAAAGTTCATTGATAATTAGAATTGAATCTGAAAAATGTGCGCTATTTCTTTTAACATTATCATATCTCCAAGGAATCTCGCAAGAAATCACAATAGTATATCATTTTTAATATTTTATATTCATCAAAAACATCTTTAATTTTCAGCTCCTCGCCAACTCCAAGCAGTACCTGCGACCATTGAGCAGCGCCGTCATCAGCCAGAGCCAGACTTTGGCCGCTCAGAACACAACTCCCGTTGCATTACTGCCACAGATCAGGTCATTCCAGACCTCGCCAGTCACTCGTGACATTGATTCTGCTGCCAAGTTCATTGGTGCTGGTGCTGCAACAGTCGGTGTCGCTGGATCCGGTTCGTATTGGTTTTGTTGTCATCTTTTAAAACTCTTAAACTCCTTTACCAGATGGAAGTCCTCAGCGTGTTTGTCTCATCGCTTACAGTCAGTTACAATCTAGCATCTGGGGCACACACAACGAGTATCTGATTACTCTATAATTTTGCCCCGGGAAGGTCTGAGAATCGGCCAAGCCATGTTGTTTCGCTTCGTGCGAGGCTATATTTCCTAGCAGGAAACCTGTGTGATTACAGGGCGAGAGTACCAGAAATCCTGCCCAGGTGTTGCCGTTGCCCGCAACCGCCGCCTGTGGCATTGAAAGCTTTCGTGGCCAGCGTTTTTAGTGCGATGTGCTTGCTGCCTTCGGGCAGAACTCAATTCAGACTAATCTGTGACTGACTACCTAGTGAAAAGAGACAAAATGCGCAGAGGAAGCCCCTAAGAAGCTGTGTTTATGTTCTGAAACAAATATAGGACATAAATACAGCTTAAAGCTTCGGCTTTGCCGATGTTTTGGTTTCATATCATACTTTAAATTTTACTAATTGCGATTTTTCTTCTTTTTTGACAACAAACCAATACAACAGGTGCTGGTATCGGAACAGTATTCGGTTCCCTCATCATCGGTTACGCCAGGAACCCATCGCTGAAACAGCAGCTGTTCTCCTACGCCATTCTGGGCTTTGCCCTGTCTGAGGCCATGGGTCTGTTCTGTCTTATGATGGCTTTCCTGCTGCTCTTCGCCTTCTAAGCGGGCACACATTGATTGCTCGACCTTGTTTCCTGCGATCCTGCGTGCGAGTGTGTGATTGTCGTCTATTGGTCGGCAGTTGCATCAGCATACCAGCGGTAGCAGAGCGATAGTAACCAACAACAACAACACAACAACTTCAAGCAACAACCAGAACAAACAACATCAACGTTCGTTTTTCGATTATTAATGATATAATGATTGATTGATTGATAGCTAACAAGAACATCCTGTACCACTATCTAATTATAAATACCAACAACCACATAATATATGTAATTTTGTTTTTAAAAAACACTCAACCGAGATCATAGTAGTCGCCTAAGGAGCGGAGAACAACCCACACACATACTTTAAGTTGGAGAACTAAAATATCAGCAGTCCAAGGAGATAGAATTGGATAGACGACTTGACACATTCACGATCACGATTAAAACGAGAAGAAAATCGAACGGCAAAGATTAAAATTAGATTTTAATTGAAGCAAGCTTCAAGCTCTTAATTCGGTCTTACCAGCATCCTCGGATGGAGTCTACTGGCCGCACCCCTTGCTTACCAATCCCGGCGTAGAATCTATCGCGTCCGCTAACCAAGGCTCTCTCTCTCCCCCCTGCAGTTCTTGGAAATCGAAGGAAAATCTAGCGGCAGGCTGAACGTGAAAGATCACTCCGCTATGTAACATCTTGAATTGGAAGCGAGTGCACGGGTGCGGTCAAGGCTGAATCCGGGGATTTTGTGTTGTACCCCATGCGCGTTATGGTTCTGCATATTTTTCAATTTAAGTGGCGTGTACTGAAAAACCTATTGTTTCAAGAGTTTTGTATCAGTTTCCTTAATGTAAACGCTAATTTTATTGCCACTTAAAATATATTACGGATATGTACTAAAAGTAGTTGCAACTGACTTAAGCTGAGCGAAGTTGAATTGTGAAATAAAGAAGTGAATGTGTAAATGAATTTAAATATAGGCGTTTTATTGAAATTTAAATACATATTAAAAACCCCAAGTGTTAGCATTTAAGCCATTTGAATTGAGGCGCTCAAAAAGCAACTCTGATTTAGTCATGAATCACCCTGTACTACTGCGTTGCCAGATCAGTGTGTCTTTTGGACCAATAATCGATGTTTCTATGGTAAAAACCTTCTTGACTGACTTTTTTTGGGAAATTTTTATAATTTCGTATCCCAATAATATTCATTCTGACCTACAAGTATATTCGTTTAATAACAATTCATTATCGCATTCAATATACATTAAAGTATTTAAATACTACAAAATCGATATATTTATGATTAAATTATCGATAGTCGCATACATTTAAACATACTCTATTGACATCCCATGGCCCGGCACTTATTTAAATGGAAAAAACATTGTTATTTTTATAAAGATGAAGACTTGTGATATTTGCAGCATTAAGACACATGAGTCTGGCGATGATCCATATATGTTCGGCCAGTGGAAGACTCTTAGTAATGTGACAGTGCACTATTTTTGCCTGGTAAGAACATGAAATATAAATCTGGCGACGCTTAATTTATAAATATTATTCCGCAGTTGCTCTCCAATAAACTTCCTCAGCGTGGCGATGATTCTGTAGGAATACTTGGCTTTCTTCTAACTGATATCCGGAAAGAGATAGCGCAGGCCCGGCATAGAAAATGCGAGTACTGTAATAAAATGGGAGCCAACATAAACTGTCATAAATGCGACGACTGGTATCATATGCCCTGTGCCATAGCCAATCGCTGCACCATAGAGTTTAGCGGAAATTTCATAAGCTACTGTGATACCTGTCGACCCCTGGATGCTTACAAATCGCAAATACTTAAGAATCCTCCAAGAAAACAGCCTTGTGCCATTTGCTTCGAGACCATTCACGTTTGCTACCTTCACTGTGTTAGCTATGGCGATTGCTGCCGGCTTGGTTTTGCCCACATGATGTGTATGCGAAAGTACGCCATGAGTTCCGGGTACTATCTACGTTGTCCTTGGTGCAGGAATTCCAAATTCCGGGATTTAATACGTCTGCAGTCCATTTTTGTTCCTGATCGGGATGCCACTTGGGAGCTAGAACCAAACGCTTACCGGGATCTACATCGATCTGTTTTTCGATGTGACCAAGAGGTGTGTATTTGCCCGAAAGGTAGACAGTTCACGAACAAATCATGGAGCATCTTGATGTGTAAACTGTGTACTGTGTCAGGAGTGCATTCGAAATGCTTGGTAGGCACACAAGAGGTTAACAGAAATAGTGACCCACCAAAGGAATTCAAATGCACCATATGTGTCCAAATCATCAAATCTAGGTCTGACAATTTAGAGACCTCGTTGTATATTAGAAAGACGGCACCAACAACTACCGAGAGCGCTACAATTGGGTCTCAGGAACCAATTTTCTCACCCGAAGACTGCGTTGATCCAGTGACTTTCACTCAAGGAATCGGCAGTACGCTTTCAAATATTTCCCCGCTATCGCCACCACCCACATGTAATAAAGAAAAGGAGCGCTTGTGGATACAAAAATGCTTCAATGTAAGCGGAGAGCCTTATTTATACATGGTGGTCTACAGGACAGATGGACTGAAGTGCTTGGGAACATGCACATACAGATTTCGTGAAGATGATCCACGAATCTCGGATAGCTCTTTTGAAGCATTGGAACTAATAGAAGTCGGCGAAGAGGACATTTGGTTTTGTGACGATGATTGCCGTTACTGGGAAGAAAACGAGTATTTAGCTTCTAGCCAAACATAATTAAGTCTTAATTTAACAGATGCTTACAATTTTTAATAAAATGTTTGAGTTTAATTTGATTTAAAAAAATATATAAAAACAAGGTAGCTTACAGATTTTATTAAAGATTGATGGAGAATCGATCTATAATTCACTTAAGGTATTCTTTTTAAGAATCGGATAAGTTTTGGCAAAGATATGGCCAGCCGAGGAGGCCAAAATGTTTTGTGGTTTTGATGAAAATTGATAATCAATAAAAAAAGTCAAGGTTTTATTTGTTAGAATCAGATATGGCAATTTTTTGCGCGTTGCAAAAGCAGACTTTAAATTTAAAAATATATTTAAAAAATATTAATTTTATAATAAACACAGGGTGACTTTGGGAAACGAGTGGACACAGGGGGCCCAACTTATCGTTTTGGTAATAAATCCCATACCCAATTCTCCACACGTGTGGGTTTGTTTTGTTAATTTTCCCTCATATTCATGGATTTTGCCAAGAAGATTCTCGGTAAATATGGTTGGAAGGAAGGCGACGGCTTGGGAAAACACAACGACGGTATTGCCGCTCCCCTTAAGGCGAGTCTTAAGTTCGACAACGCCGGGCTGGGAGTAGACCGTGCTCAGGAATTTAACGACCACTGGTGGGAACGTTGTTTTAACGAGGCAACAAACAATGTAGATGTCCAGGTTGGGGAAAACGGAAAGATCACAACATCCCGCAAGGAGGGCGAGGAGGCTGTGGAGATATCAACCAAAGGATTCTCGGCCCGGAAACTAAAGAAAGCCAAGGATCAACATGCCAGCGACGGAAAGGCAACCTATGATAACTTCCTGCAAACGTCTTTATTGACCCAAGGAGGGGGCGAGGTTGAGAACACGGAACGCATTCGAGTGGAGGATATAGCTGTTTCCAAAGTAAGTGTGCTAACGGATGAGGAGCTCTTCAAAGCATGCGGCGGAAGAACTGCGCACAAAGGTGCTCGTCACGGTCTCAAACTGAGTGGTAAGATAGCGCGTCTGGAACAGCAGGAGCGTGAAATGTTGGAGAAGCTGCAGGCTAAACAAAACCCAGTCCAGACCAACAAAATAACCAAGCCGGAAACCGAGGAAACAAAAGAAGAACCTGTGAAAACAAAAAAGAAAAAGTCTTCCAAAGAGAAATACTCGGAGAATGTTTCTGAGGATCAAGTAGAATTATCTGTGAAATCTAAAAAGAAAAAGAAAGATAAAAAGCTAGAGAAGTCCCAAGATGAATCCTCTACCGATCTTAATCAGGAGACTGAGGAAAATGTGGAGGAGACTCAAAAAAAAAAGAAAAAGAAAAAAAATAAGGATAAGGAAACTGAAGTCACGACAGATGCTGTAAATTCTCCAAACAAAAGAAAAGCAGAAGAATCCGCCGAAGAACCAGTGAAGTCCAAGAAGAAAAAAAAGAATAAGCATGCGAAAGAGGAGTAACAGTTTAAGGCTAGAATAATTGCTAGAAAAATAAATATTTGTATTTAAAATAACTTCTGAAGTTGTTAAACTGTGTTAACCTACTAGCTGTGTATACCTGACCCAAATTATAGTTAGGAAAACTGAAAAAGAAGTCAAGTAGCGCAGTTAAAATGTATGTATTTATGGTTCTAATAAATCTATACAAGTCGGGGGCATTTATAAACTAAAGTTAACGCGGGTCACTTAATCATAGATTGGATATCCTCGTGGATTATTTTCTGCCCTTGGCCTTGATGCGCCGCGACTTGCCCATCCGCTTGTTGACCGAGGCCCCGGCCTTGACTCCTCGCTGGCGACGAGACGACTTCTCGCCATCGAGTCCAGCAGAAGAGGATTTGGTGTTGCGCTTTAGGCCCTTCTTCTTGCCGCCAAATCCGAACTTTTTGTTGCGCTGTTTTCGTTTTTCAGCTGACTGCTTCTGCTTTGATTCCAGAGCTTTGGCATCCTCGAGGAAGTCCAGGTTCTTGAGCTTGCCCTTACGGAACTTCTTAAGTTTGTCAAGCATGTCCTTCTTTTCTGCCTCACGCTGAACCTTGGTTTGCTTGGCCAGCATTTTGCCCATCTTTCGCTGCTCCCGAATCTGCTTGATGCGCTCTGATTTGGCCTGTCCCTGTTGCTTGGCCATTAGATTGGCTCTAACTTTCTGCATGTGCTCATCGGACTTGGCCATTTCTGCAAAATAATCATCAGGTCTTCGTGTTTTTACTCCCAATTCATGCAGCCTGGGAATTCCTTCCAGAACAGCGCTCTGTGCCTGTCGATGGAAGAGCATTTCACGCTTGAAATCGTTTAATACAGGATCTTCTTCCGGACGAATGTAGGGCAGTTTAGCATTTCCTTTGAATAGATTGGCGCGTTTTTGTTCGTGCTTCTCCAGCTGGACAGCCAGTTCCGGAGCAAGGGGAGCCAGGGTGTTGATCATGTCCAGCCGCTCAACCCAGGGCAAGTCTAGGTGAATGTCCTTTGCCTTGGCCAGTAGTTTAGTCTGCAAAAGTAAATGCCCATTAGCAAATGATTTATGATACGTGCCGTCAACTTACCACATCATTTACCCTATCCCTCTGGCCATTAAATTCAACATTCAAGCCAGGTTTTAAATCACCACGTTCGAAAGCCGCTTGTAACTAAAAGTGAAACGTATTTTGAAGTTGCTAATAAAGTTGCATTGATGCCAATATTTACCTCTGCATCTGAGTTATCCCCCGAATCATACCCCGAGGCGTTGTCATCCGAGGCGTCCATTTCGAAGTCTGACATGGTTAAATTAACACAATTATTAGCTGCTTAAAAAATGAAAACAAGTTCAACACGTGCGGCCACTTAGAGATGGGAGTTTTTCCCACTAAAACCAGACAGAGTTGCCACATGTCGATAAATCGATTTCTTTGGAATGCACTTGGCCAGCCCTGAAAAACCGCAGTCTGCCAACGCTGATAAAATATCGATATACTGATAAATAAGCAACAACCGTACTTTAAATTAACCGCATATTTCGTTTACTTCTTTGTTTATTTTTACAAAATGTCTGCAAGTTTAGCGAATGTGTACGCAGAGCTTACGCGGCGGTATGGGGAAACCTATACAATTACCTATGGACACCCTCCCACATATTTAGCTAGTATAGCTGGAGTTTCGGAAACTGGAAAGAAGATGGTTCTTGTTTTCAAGGAGGATCGGAGTGGCTCCTCATCCAAAATTCAACATGTCACGCCCAAAAAGGCATTGCCGAAGTCGGAGGGCACTTCTGAGTTGGACCTGACAGGAAGCCCATTAAAGGACGATTGCTTAGTTGATGCTATTGCTGATCTGTCGCTGGATTTGCAACTGGAGCATTCTAATCCCTGGAAGCTGGAGGAAGAATTCCAAAGAGGAGTCCCTGTTGACCAGGCCAGGGGAATTATTTCTACTGAACCTTTTCAGCAGTCAGAGGGAACAGGCTCAGTTTGGTTTCTGTGTGACGGAGCGGATTTGGGTCAGACGCAACTCCTTCAGTACGAGTTCAACAAGAGTCACTTTTCACGTGGAATTCTTAGCTATCACGGTGTTGTTCCTGCCTATATGGTCACCTCCCAGTTTCTGGTGAAACAACATTCAATGGTCGGTGTCCGCGCCCCAATGGAAACCACAATCGAAAACAGCTATCAGGTAAATCCTCAAATGACCTTGCGATGCTCTTGGACAACCAATGCGTCCTTGCCGCTTCTGGTCAACCTGCATGACTGCGAGGTGGTTCTGAATCACACCTTCCGGGCGGGTGAATGCACTCCTCTGACTCAGGACTTTATGAACCAGCTGCGTATCTTGGTTTATATTCGCGAAGATATTGTCTCCTATCACAAGGATATGCAACAAGGAAAGTCCAGGGATCCGACGTACAGATGCGGTACTGGGATTGACATGGACGAACTGCGGGAGTCCATCAATAAGACCATGACGGATGTCTCTGGGTTCATGGATCCATATATTAACGGCCATGCAGAGTTTGATATCGAGGAGGTGGTGCAGCGGGCCAAAGTTCGACGGCTTACCGATCTTACAGACAAGCTTTGGGAACTTCTTAAATGTAAGATATGTTCAAGATAAGTTAGTTATAGTTAGGCCATAATATTAATCTTCATTTTTGGTTTCATTAATTTCAGCTTGTGCCTCCTATAAGGATCTTAAAATAGCCTTCGGTATGCTATTCCAGTGCGCTGCTCGGTGCAATATTGTTGTACGTAACTTGTTCTGAATCTTTACCGATTTCCCTGCTAAGTTTTGAATATATTTTAGAACACTCCCACCAACAAAAATCGTCTGGCAGAAATAATAACCGAACTATCCAATCGGCGTCTGGCCATGCCATGCCTCAGTGGCGCAGAACCTCTGGAGCTGTTGTTGGAGATTGGTCTGGAGAAGGTGCTCAAGGATTACGAGTTTATCTACTCGGAAAGCAAACTGTGCAGTACTCACCTGCTAAGGGACACAAACGAAACGGTAAATGACGAAGGCTCGCCGCAAAATGTGCCACAAGTGCGAAAATCCTTGCACAATGCTGTTAGGGGGGATCCAGCGGCCGGTGCAGGAATGCGCAAGACATTGCTTCACCACAACGCTGGTGCGAAGGCAGGGAATGCTAAATATGGCAAAGTCGACGATGACTCCGGCTTCAAAAACAGCCATTTCGACGAGCAGGAGAGCCTGGAGCGGGTCTCCAAGTTGTTTCAAATACACTGCACCCTGGAACATCTGCTAATGATACACATTAACTTGAACTTGCCCAATGGTTAGTACAGGCTTTAATCTTATTAAACTACAAATACTAAAATCCTTATCCTATTTCTAATGCTAGTTTACAGTGATGTTTGCTCAGAGCTTTTAAAGAAAGCCCCCAAAATAGTAGATGCCATTGATGAAAATGTGAGCGATGTGATGGACATCCATTTGTCGGCTCTGTATGTACGTGAACATTTGGAGGGCAAAGAGCCCTATTCCAGGCACATCAGTATGCGATCACATAACAAATTCCGCGAGATTAAAACCACTTTTTACTTCAACTCGGAGAATATATGTCCACCCGAATTAGCTAAATGTTTTCAGTGCGATGGTGAGCATGAATATATTATACATTTTGTTGAAAAGTTTTTTTAATTAAATAATAATTTATTATTTCCTATTATAGATAAGGAAATGGTCAAAGAGCGTACCTATCATTCCTGGCTTTATCGCAAGATTCGTACTCTAAAGTGAGCTAAGCTAAGCTCTAGTTATATAAAATATGTTTAGTTCCAGTTCTGTTGAACAGCTTAATTCAAGATTGTATTTATTGAATCATAAATATATTCTACATTTCCCTTAATTAAAGTTTAATAAAATATAACCTTAAGTTCTGTATTCGTTTTTATATATCTTTTAAGGGTCAATTCAATTTGAATCACTTGGCTTGTCGGACATGACGCTTTTCACGCTTTCAACGCTTTTCCCGAACCCCCAAAAAACCCAACGGCGCACACCGAAATCATGTTAAACGAATTCCTACAAGTTTTAAGCCGACCCAGAGGCTGTTGCCGTTGCATTGACTGGCCAAGGCACAAAATCTTGAAAACCCGGCCGAAATCCGCTTCCGCCCTGCTCGCACTTTTTGTTGGCCATATTCTTTCAAAGGCCAGATGCATAGACCACATTATTTTGTGAAGTAATGCTGCAAATGAGGCAAGAGAGCGTGTGCCCAATGGATATTGGTTGTTACCTATTTGCTGTGCCCCAAAGTGGTGACGGCGTCTCGTCGCCGTTCCTATATGTTACAATCCAATTAGCCTTTCGCGCCACTTCGCCAACTTGAATACTAGGCCCGTTGACGATTGATTTGCATTTCGTCAGACGTGCGTGGAACGCGCTGCGGTTCGGACGTGTTTTTTTCCAGCCCTGCTCCCCTGGCAAACGGAATACTCAGTCAAGGAGCTAAGGATTATTTCGTGTGTGTCCTGTTTAAAGAAAACCAACTTGAAGTTGCAAAGTGAACTGTTAAGCCGAAGAAAAAACCGACTGTTTGGCAGTGGAAGTTAAATTGAATTAAGTGTATTCTAAATGCCAATTATCGCGTCTTTCTAATCCAATTATCAGCAACAAAATGGTGTGTTTTAGCAATTGAATTTGCCTATGTCCTGTGTATAGTCTGTAATTGGGAATAATTAAATATTAAAGGATATTGGATAGGCTAGGCTGTGCGGGAAGCCTTTTAAGTGCGTCTGCGGCTAGGTGAAGCCGTTGGGGAGAAGGCTGATCGCTCCACATCCTGTGAAATGAAATATAACCCTTTGGTCTAGTCACCCCTGAACTAACTTTTCTGAAATTTAAGTTTTTTATCCTTGGAAACTTCTTTTAAGGTTTCTTAAGGATGCGGAAAAACTAGCTACTTTTTTTTTTAAGTTTTTTTCCTATTGCCATTTTTCAACCATCAAAAATCTGTTATCCTTTTCATGTAGGGCCTGGAATTCTTCTTTAAATTTGGCTATGCCTTCTTAACGATAACCCTAATGATTATGATATGGATGTCGCTGGCTCGCGCCTCGATGTTCGCCCGGGAAATGGAGGAGACACACTACCCGCCTTGCACCTACAATGTCATGTGTACCTGCTCCAAATCCTCCACAGATCTGGGGATAGTGCACTGCAAGAACGTTCCCTTTCCAGCACTGCCGCGCATGGTAAACCAATCCAAGGTAAGGGATGAACTAATTTAATCCTTGAATATATATTATATAAAACAAAATTATTATATTTTTTAATTTTAATAAAAATTATCCCAGGTTTTCATGTTGCACATGGAAAACACAGGACTTCGCGAAATAGAGCCATACTTCCTGCAATCGACGGGGATGTACCGCCTCAAGATTTCGGGAAATCATTTAACAGAAATTCCTGACGACGCCTTCACAGGTCTGGAGCGATCGTTGTGGGAGCTAATCCTGCCGCAGAACGACCTTGTGGAAATACCCTCAAAGTCGTTGCGACACTTGCAGAAACTGCGACACCTGGATCTGGGCTACAATCACATAACGCACATTCAACACGACTCGTTCCGCGGACTGGAGGACTCGCTGCAGACGCTGATCCTGCGCGAGAACTGCATCTCGCAGCTGCAGTCGCACAGTTTCTCCGGCCTGCTCATACTGGAAACTCTTGATCTGAGTGGCAATAATCTGTTTGAGATTGACCCCAACGTATTTGTGGACGGTATGCCCAGACTGACCCGCCTCCTCTTGACGGATAACATTCTCTCGGAGATTCCTTACGACGCTTTGGGTCCTTTGAAGAGCCTTCGCACTTTGGATATTTCACACAATGTCATCTGGTCGCTGAGTGGTAACGAGACGTACGACATCAAGGCTAGCACTAAGCTGAATTTGGATAATCTTCACCTGGAGTACAACCACATCGAGGTTCTGCCCCCTAACTCTTTCAAATATTTTGATACTGTTAATCGCACCTTCTTTGATGGAAATCCTATACATACTCTGAAGGTAAGATTATTTATTTTCCTTAAATACTTTAATTATATTATTTTTAAATTATTTTCTATAATACTTTCTTTTATTTTTATTTTACACATTTCCAGGAGGATGCTTTTAAGCCAGCTCGTATTAGGGAAATCTACATGAGGTACTGCGGCCTGACTAACATCTCCCCGGTGGCCTTTGATAGTCTGGTGAACAGCCTGCAGATCCTCGACCTGTCTGGAAACAATCTCACCAAGCTGCATCATAAGCTCTTCAACAATTTCGATGTCTTGAGGTGCGAGAAAATAAAAAAAGATACACCCTTATGTGTGCAGTTACCCCGATTTCTCGTAAACATCGCGCGGGGAGGCCTAATCGGATTGTCAGCAGCCACTAGGGCTTCTTCGGTCCCCCAGTTCATTTATGTGGGCTAAGTGTGTGACCCTATTTGAAAGGGAAAAGCCCCTCAACCAGGCAATCATGCAAAATATAGCCTACACTGGAGGAAAAGAAAAAGATTAGATAATGCTTAATATTTGAAATACTTTTTTTTTGGGGCTGGTCCTATTTTTTTTAGAGCCTGTATTTTTTTGTATTTAAATCAGAAGCCTTTATAATTTTAAATACTTTTTTAGAGTCATCAGCATGCGGGACAACAAGATTAAAATCCAGAAACCGACGGAAACATTCAATGCCGTGCACTACACGCTCCTAAAGTTAGACCTCAGTGGGGATCGCAATGATCCTACCAATCTGCAAACGTTGCGCAAGTAAGTGACCCCAGCACTAAATGAATATCCTGCTCCCCACACACCCTTTACCCCAGAACAACGTTTTGTATTTATTTGCAAAAAGTATGACCAGAATAAGGAACATGCGCTCGCTGTCCATCTCTCGTCTGGGATCATCCTCCGTGGGTCCCGAGGACTTCAAGGACTTTGGTGTGGAGTTGGAGGATCTACAGATTACCCGGGCCAGTCTGTCTGGAATTCAGTCGCACGCCTTTAAGCATGTGAGGGGTCTGAAACGATTGGACTTTAGTGAGAATGGAATATCCAACATTGAGAACGATGCCTTCCATGAGGTAAGGTTTTATAATTAACCTTAGTAATAGTAATAATTTTATTTTGTATTTTTAGATTGGACATTCATTGATATCCTTGAAAATGTCGCATGGATACTCCGGAAGCGCCTTGCCCGCCGAAGCTCTTCGTCACTTGACATCCCTCCAGGAGTTGGATTTTAGCAACAATCACATTAGTAGCATGAGCGACACTAGCTTCCATTTCCTCAAAAACCTGCGACTCCTCGAACTGCATGACAACCGAATTGAACAGGTCTTGAAGGGCACTTTCCAGGGCGACATCCATTCAAAGCTCGAGGAGATCTCACTTCGTTTTAATCATCTGACTTCCGTTTCCCAGCACACGTTCTTCGATCTCGAAGCTCTGCGGAAACTGCAACTGGACGACAACAAAATTGACAAAATCGAGCGAAGGGCCTTCATGAATCTGGATGAGCTGGAGTATCTGAGTTTGAGGGGCAACAAGATTAATAATCTGGCAGAGGAATCCTTCCAGAACTTGCCCAAGTTGGAGATTTTGGATATGGCCTTCAATCAACTTCCCAACTTTAACTTTGATTACTTCGATCAGGTGGGCACATTGTCGAACCTAAATGTTAATGTGAGCCACAATCAGATCAGGCAATTGATGTACAACTCTTCCTGGAGTGGACGAAATGAGCATGGTAAAGATATGTAAATAATTTATAATGAGTGGTATTTTAAAAGATGTTTTTCTTACCTTTCAGGCGGCATGTACCATTCGAACATCAAGATATTGGATTTGTCTCACAACAATATATCCATTATACATCCTGGCTATTTCCGACCAGCTGAGATATCATTGACTCACCTACATCTGGGCTACAATTCGTTAATGGTTGGTATATGAAAACATTTACATTTCTTATAAACTAATTAATATATTTTAATTATTAGAATACCACACGTGATGTTTTTGGAAACATGCCGCATTTGCAATGGCTAGATCTCAGCTATAATTGGATCCATGAGCTTGACTTTGATGCCTTCAAGAACACAAAACAACTGCAATTGGTGTATTTCGGTCATAATTATTTAAGTGATATCCCCCAGGATATATTCAAGCCTGTGCAAGGACTGCGCATTGTAGACTTCTCACACAATCATTTGAGAGGTCTGCCCGATAATCTCTTCTATAATGGAGGCATGGAAAAGTGGGTTTTATTATAGTGATATTGAAGTTCAAAAATTAAAGTGTATTTTTTGCAGGTTGGATGTCTCGCACAATATGCTGTTGAAGATTCCCTCCTCTTCGCTTTCCAGCTTGGCTGCCTTGACTCTCTGTGAACTGCATTTGTCCAATAACTTCATCTCCACCATTCACAGCATGGATCTGTCCAATAAATTCAGGGTAAGTTGCCAGTCTCAATTAAATTTTCTATCTAATAATATTTTATAATTTAATGTTTAGTCTCTCCGCTACTTGGACATCTCCTACAACTATTTGCTGAGGATTGACGATGCCGTTTTCGCCACCATGCCCAAGCTGGCAGTTTTGGATCTTTCACACAATCGAGATCTGAAAGTGATGGACAAGTCGTTCATGGGCCTGGAAAACTCTCTGATTAAACTGGGTTTGGAAAACGTTTCTCTAAGCACTGTGCCCGAGATTCGATTGAAATACCTCCGAGAATTCCGCTTGGGCTACAATGAGTTGCCCTCCATTCCACAAGAGTTGGCCCACAATATGAGCAATCTGAGAATGCTGGATCTTTCCAACAATGACTTGACCAATGTCCCATTGATGACCCAGTCCCTGCCGCATTTAAGGTGGGCTAAACCATGGTTAAAATTTAATGTATTAACTAATTTATATTTTCTTTTAAATTTTCTAGACGTCTAATGCTTTCCGGAAATCCCATCACCTCCCTGAACAATAACAGTTTCGATGGCGTAAATGAGGACCTTGAAATGCTAGATATATCCAACTTCCGACTGCATTATTTCGAATATGGTTGTCTGGACTCGTTGCCGCATCTGCGTTCTCTGAAACTGACGGCTTATTCCCACCTGGAGCACTTTAATATTCCGCACCTGCTGCGTCATCACTATAATATTCGCCAATTGTGGATAGAGGCGCCACAGCCATTCACCCGGATTGTGAAGAAGGGTTCTGGTCCCACCCAGGAGATGCAGACCCTTCAGCTGGGTAATCCCACCGATTTGCAGCGCGAAATGGAAGGTCATCTGCCCTCCAAGCTAACAAACATTACGTTCAGTGGTCCGCAATTCAGTAACCTCAACGAACGCATCCTGCGGGTGGGTGTTGCATCCATGCTTTTGGGACTCTGAATAATGAATTTATTTTATTTTTAGGGAATGCGTTCTCCATACCTTTACATGCAATTGTTCAACACCTCGCTGCAAGCCCTGCCACCAAATTTCTTCAAGTATTTGGGTCGAGTGCGAAACATTTCGTTGGATATTCGCTACAACAACCACAATCTGAAAAAGATTCCGAACCCAAATACGGGTGCAGTGCCTTATCTGCCAAATAGTGTGTTCCTCACCGACCTGAAGATGTCCCACACGGATCTCAACTGCGATTGCGATTTGGGGTATGATATTTAGGAAATTTTCCATAGATTGGTAGTGTTTCTAAGGTAATCACTTTTGTAGTTGGGTGGAGTTCTGGCAGCGCAAGAGACGCCAATACATCTGCTCCTCGCAGACCTGGACCGACACCGTCTTCCGCACGTTCATGAACTCTCCTTGCCAGGTGTATGGAAGACACAATTGCGACGATCATGACGATGATCTAAGGGAGACCCGATGCGAAAACAAGGGTGGTCAACAGCTAATGGAGGTGAGTAAATAATACAGTATATATAAACCATGATGTTATAATATATAATTAAAACATCCTTTTTGTAGGCCCTTAAATTCGATTTGGAATGTGGCTGGGATAACGCCAATTGCCGGGAAGCTGCCTTCGTGGTGGTGATGGTGTGCCTAGCCATGGTCTTCTGGATGTGACTTTTGCACTTTGCATATAAGACGTCCACCGAGTTTTATAGCATTCTAGAGCAAGTCTACGGCAGGCAGGTCATTTGAGTCCTTAAGTCCTGTCGTGAAGAGTTTAAGCGTGATGATGAGACTTTTTTCACTTCTATTCCCGTGTCTGTTGATTTAATTCTCTTCCGTATACCTTCTCTCACCAATCCGCTGTGTAGAGCCCATCTTTAGAGTCCTTGGTAACGCCTTATATGTAGAAGTCCTCACCCTCACCTTCACCCTCCATTTAATCAGTTCACCTGATCTCAACTCGCTATCATCCCATGTATGTATATTTTTTATAGATCTCAGATTAGACCTTATTCTTAATCCAACTAACTGATAACCTCGTCTTAGCCACACTTTATCCACCAATATTTTCTGTACTTCTTTTATAAGTTAGGTCACTTGCGCTGCTTAAACAATTCCAAATGAAAGTCTGTAAAATGTTTCATAAACATATAATAAATATTTACGGTAGGTTTAGTTCGCCCTTTTGTCGTTTTTTACTGCTTCTTTTTTTGTAGGTTGGGGCATTAAGTTCTTTTATGGGTCTGCCAGTAAAAGTCCTGGCTGGCAGCAACAAATTATGTTCACAATTGCCGGACCACCCTGGGCCGGTCAGTAACAAACAATTAAAAACTTTTTGCTTAAAGTTTTCCCCTCAACCGACGTTTTTTCCATTCGATGAATTATTATGTAAAGCGGAGAGCGCTTTCTTCCCTTACTTGTATTTGTATTTACATCTTTTTTTGGGTACTTAAGAATTCAGATCATTTTTGGGACTACAGTATTGGCGAAAAATTTCAATTGAACTTTTAGTTACTTGCTTATTCTTTCAACAAAGCAAAGAAGCCTTAATTCCCCAATAGACCATACCAATTCAACGTACCAACAAGTGTATTCCCAAGTTCGTATCTCTTGGGTCAGTCTTGGTTTTCTGGTTTTTACATATTTTGGCAGTTTTATTGAGCTAAAAGTACTTTGTGATATACGTATATGGACAGGCTGTGGCGGAGGTGGCGCACTAAAGTTCAAATGGGGCTGCAACAATCTCATCAACTTCCCGTTTATGCACTTTTCCGATTCCGGTTGCCGGGGTGGGAGCTTCGCAGCGACCGCAGTAGTGGAGCTGTTGAGAGGAAAAAGCGGAAAAGTGTCGGGTTTTCTTGCTATATACCCAGTGGCTGTGGCAGTGCCTGTGGCTGGCACTGTTTTTACCTGTTGGCCAATTAAATTTTCAAAACGTGGCCGCACAAAAGTCCAGGCTCCCATATTGCGATGCTCTTCCTGGCTCCAAACGAACGCTGCACGGTGAAAAAAATAGAAAATGCATAATGACAAAATTGAATTATTTAAACAGCATATTAGTTTTTAAGTTGGTTAGTTATTCTTATGAATACTTGTTGTAAATAGGTCCATTAATAATTTAAACTTAATTTAAATTTGATTATTTTCCGTGATGGTGAATAAAGTAAGTGGCCAACTTTGTGGAGGGGACTTACATTTTACGTTGCCGTACTGGGCCAACTGAGCCTGCAGCTCCTGGAAGGGGAAGGGGCTGAGGGATTCAAGGCGCACGATGGCCGTGTCATAGGCCTTCCGCTTCTCCCTCTCTTCGGCCAGGATATAGTAGTGCTTTCCGCTGCACAGGATCACCTTTCGCACTTGCTCCGGCTGGACAGTGGTGTCACCTAATGGGAATAAATGGTTTTAATTTAATTAAAAAAGAATGTTTGTTTGGTTATTTTATTAATTATGAAGGAATAACATTAAAAATCCAGCAGCTTACCCAAAACATTGTGGAAAAGCGTTCCCGGCTGGAAGTCCTCATGCGTTGATGTGGCAGCCGGAAGTCGGAGGAGTGTCTTCGGAGCCACGACCACTAGGGGTTTCCGGAAGTTCCTTGCCAGCTGGCGACGCAGGACATGATAGTATTGGGCGGGGGTGGTGGGATTTACGATGTGCACGTTGACGGCATCGCCATCTGGAGCTGTTTCCTTGGAGTCGCTGAGTTGCAGGAAGCGCTCGATGCGACATGAACTATGCTCCGATGCGGCACCATCGTATCCGTGGGGAAGCAGCATAACCAGAGCATTGGACTCCATCCATTTGGCTGCCAAGGATATAAAATTATTTCAATAGTCCTTGAAAAGTAATAATATTACTCACTCTCTCCTGAGACAATAAAGGTGTCGATAATGATTTGAGCTCCATTGGCAAAATCTCCGAATTGCGCCTCCCAGATGATCAGATTATTGGGATTATCGATGGCCATGCCATACTCGAATCCCAGAACTGCTTCCTCCGATAGAATACTGTGGGCCAACTCCAGTTTTCCGCCATTTCCGCCCTCCATGCTGTTCAGGGGTATAAACATCTCATTCGTCTGCTGGTCCACCAACATGGCGTGGCGATGGGAAAAGGTACCCCGACCTACATCCTCACCACTGATCCGAACATTGTGACCCTGGTACATGAGACTACCAATTGCCATAGCCTCCGCTGTGGACCAATCGATTTTGACCCCGTTTTCCAGTTTCTTAAGACGTCCGTTAACATGGGTTTTCAGCAGGTGAGGGTGAATGTTCTATATAGCAAGAGAGAAGGATTATAAGCCAGGATTTGCAATATAATTTTATGAAACCTACAAAGTCTTCGGGAAAAGTCACGCTCTGCTGGCCAATGTAGTGCAAGAGTCCGTAATCCAAGCCGGTATCCCAGTAGGTCAGTTCCTTGGAGGGCGCAAGCTGCAGCTCCTTCCATTGCTTTTCAAAGAAGGATGGCGGTGGCTCGTATGTGGGAGCCAGGGCCAGCTCCTCGCCCAGATACTTTATGTAGTCATCCCGTATCTTCTTGGCCTGAGACTCTGACAGCACTTTCTCGTTGGCCAAATGCTGGGCATACGAGTCCGGCACGGAACCCCGCTGATGGACAATTTTGTACACCAATGGATTCGTAAATGTGGGGTCATCCAGTTCGTTGTGGCCCCAGCGACGGAAGCAATTGAGATCGATAAAGATGTCCTTGCGGAACTCTCGCTGATACCTGAAGGCCAGACTTGTAATCCTGGCCAAGGCCTCGGGATCATCGCCGTTCACGTGGAAGACCGGAGCTTGTATGGATTTGGCCAAATCCGAGGTGTAGGCAGTGGATCGACCACGATCCCCCGGAGTGGTGAAACCCACCTGGTTGTTGACAATCAGGTGCAGACTGCCACCAACTTCGAAGTGCGGCACATACGCCATGTTCAGGCACTCCTGATTAATGCCCTGCCCGGCGAAGGCCGCATCTCCGTGGAGGATTACGTTGAGCACATGTTGGCCAAAGGGCTGACTGTCCGTAATTCCGAAGGCTCCGTCACCCCTCGTCTGCTGCTTGGAACGCGTCTTGCCCATGGCCACGGGATTGGCAGCCTCAAGTGGGCGGTAGGATAGAAGGAAACGGAACAGGACGATAAAATCGGGAATCAAATTTCAAAGTTTGGCATGTGTCGGCTTACCTCCAGATGCGAGGGATTGCGTACCATGCTGAAGTTAAGGCTCTTGCCCAGCACCTGCAGCTGCTCGGAAACATCTGTGTGCGATTCAGTTCAAGTTTGATTAAATTAAGCATACGCCGTGTGTGCTTAGGCAAGCAAAGCTAGGTCCTAAGGCAGAGAGTGTCGACCAGAAGGTACCCACTACCCATTATATAAGAAGCACTTATAGCACAACATAAAATATAATTATATCCCTAGAGTCCCCAGAGGATTCCCCCATATTTTTTTGAATACCCTGTAACCCCAGGCACATCTTCTATAAAAACCTTACGAAAATTGCGGGAAAAGTTAAGTTTCACTTACGGAAATGACTTATGACGTCGGACATGGCCTCGATGTCTTCGGCGAACTCGGATGCGCCGCTGAGTTTGCGGAAAACTTTGGCGGGCCGCATGTTGAACAAGGCGGCCTGCAACGGTGTGCGTCCTCTGTGGGGCATCGCTAGCACCACGTGCTCAATGTTCCCTGCCAATTCCATTGTGCAACATTTTTTTCCCAACATTGTTTTCGTTGTCGTTGTTTCCGTTTAGGTTGTCGCAGTCGTTGTTTTTGGTTGATTTTTTGGCCGGGTCGGTTGCATGCGAAAGAGAAAAGTTTTGGGGGCAAAGCAGATTAGGGTTAAGTAAGCGTGCCGTGATATGTGAGCTCCTGACGAGGGAGGCCATAATTCTGGTTAGGGAGAAGGCGTGATACGGTTTACGATAAGATGGGGATATCGTTTTGGGCACCAGAATCCTTGCACCGGGCGACAAACTTTTGGCGGGCTGAAAAGGGTCCGCGATTTTGTGCCGCGGTAATCGTGTTTGAGAAGTTCCCCAACACGCACGGATTCGGATGAATGATGTTAAGTTTAGAGACTGAGAGAAATTGAAGATAAAACTAAGGCTTAAAGCCAGTCTTGTTGAGATTAAAAAATAAGATTAAGTTAACAGAATTCGCGATAAAATGGTAAGCTCTCCGATCTACGAGTTTTTAAGGGCATTCTTTTATTTAGTCTAAAATCTAGCATTAATGAGAATGCTTAAATTTTAAATGTTTATTTTTGAGTGCTCACCTTGGACGCTGTCTCGTAGCAGCTGCCAGAAGAAGGCTAGCATGGATTCGGCGCCCTCGCCTCCGTACCGCTTCACGGTGGGAAACTTGAGTGCCATGAAATTGTCCCAGGCCTGCGACTTAATTAACAGCTCGGCGATTTCGCAACGCTCGCTATTTTCCAGCTGATGCTGGTCCAGGGTCTCAAAGTTTTTGGCCAGCCACTCCCGCTCCTCGATGTCCTGTATACAAAAAAGGGTATCAGTACATGAATTTTAACTCAAAAAAGACAATAACTAGGTTGAAACATTCAGAAGACCAACACATAATTGGGTTAATTTAAAAATGCCAGCATTTTTCTGCAAAATGCTCCCCACTTACCTCCACATAAGAAAACTCAGCACTAACTGAACGGCCACAGTAAATGTCCTTGAGCAGCTGCTCCAGCTGGGCGACGTTCTGGGCCACCTGCGGACCACTTAAGAGGCCAGCGGTGCGCACCGTCTCCTGTGTCTGCAGTCCATAAAATGCGGGACTTAATTCCTGCAACTCCTGCTGGCTGCTCCGCCCCGTTCCAACGAAAAGGCACAAGACAAATATACAGGACACAGGACATTAAAAAGAAAGCAAATGGCCGGCAGAAGAAGGGAAAATAAAATATGACATTTGCCGGTATGATTTTTAGGTTTAGGGATGGGCAAAGGGATTGGGTGTTTATGTCCTACCTTGGCCTGATGCTGATAGGATTTACGGTTGCCAATTTGTGTCCGTGCTGGCGGAAGGCCTCCACCCATCGATAGACATTGCCCTGCGAATTCCTCGAAGCCCGCACATCCTCGGCCACTGGAATGGAACACATGCGTAAACAATATAAATTTCGACTCACGTTATAAATTATTTAAAAAAGGATTCACGTGCAACTCCCATTCCCATTGCCATTGCCACATTGTGCGGCATTTTGAATTTATTGGCCTTTTACTTTTATGATATTTATTCTTTGCTTTTTACGCTCCGCTACATTTTGATGAACTAGCTGCGAGGTATATGAATTTTTTAATAATATTTGGCACTCAGTAGTTTGGCATTTAGTAGTTGGAAACATTTTCTTTCAAAATTTATGCAATTCCTGGACAATATTTCGGTGATAAATCAATTTAATGTTAAAGAGTAGGAGCACCCAAAGCCAGACAGATATTGCGAATGATGAATTGTATTTGCGGTGACAACATTTCAACTCGAGAGTGTAAATATTATTGGAGCTCAGCGGCGTGTCCTTTGCCAAAGGATAAAGGCTGCCTTGACAGGGTTACAGCCAAAGGACGACTGGCAAACAAGGCTCAGGTGGTGGAAATAAACCAACTTTCATTACTTGGCATGGCCAGGATATAACTGGGAATAATTGATGGCATTATTATGATATGAATAATGATATATCTAAGATTTAGTTTTAAAGTTTAAATTTAATGTTTATTATTTATAACATTTAGTCACTTTAGAAAAACCTAAAGGACCTTATTATTTTTTCATGTGTACAGAGGCCTCCTGTGTTGATGTCACAACCTGACGCTATGATCCAGCAGCAAAAACTCTTCTCTGGTGACCAGTCACAGGCTCCCGAATGGCCACTGAATCCGGACAACTGAATCCGGAGTCCGGTCTGCTGGCCACGGGTGTCGATAAGCCCTCAACTGTGCTCACGACGGATGCTGGACGAGCACAAAAGAGTTTCAATTTTTCGGCCCTTTTGTTTGCCGGACTTTGATATTTTGCCAGGCTCTAGGGGACAGAGGCCGGCATCCTGTCGTGATACTTTGGGTTCTCCATGTACAGGAAATCTTATCTCTTCGGCTCTTGTTTCGCTTAATTAGTGAAGTTTCCTATAGAGGCCTTGGGGGGTCGCCCAGCAGGCCGTCGGTTCTAAATATAAAAACTCTGCCATATATTAGTTTAACTTTATCAGATTTCAGAGTGAAAACAAGTGATAAGCTAAAAGCCAAAAGATTACCAGTACCCAGTAACTCAACAGGAAGGAGGCAACATTAAACCCATAAAAAATATTCCATTACCTAGGAGTAGGAGATTTTTTTACAGAAACGAATATGGGTATAAACAATGAGATTATTTAAGTTACTTGATGTTACTGGTTACTTATAGTAAGAAATGGTCATTAACTTATTTCATCTTTTTTACATTTTAATATTTAAGTTTAAAAACTAAAATTCTTTAAAGCTGGGTCCCAACTAGTTGCATCAAACATGTTCGAAGCGCACCGTGAGCTCGTTTATTTTAGTTTGATTTTCGATTCTGGTTTCAGAGCTTACCCACAACAATTTGCTTTTGATCTTTTGTTCTATTTGTACTTGGCTCCCTGTAGCTGTTGTGGTTTTTGTTATTGGTCAGCTGCTCGGGTCACACTGCCCATTGATAAATTGCCGGCTTGAAACACATTAAACACGCCCACCCAGTCACAAACACAAAAACCCACAATAATGTCACTGGAATGAAAACTCCTGTGGTTTTCTTTTTGTTTTGGGTACATTTCCACTGCTCATTTCTGATCTCGGTGGCAACTAACCGAATGTTCTTATCGATGCGATTACTATCTCGACGGATGAAGCTTTTATTATTGAAGTCTTGGCAACACTTTACCTTGGTAATCCCGCCGTGCTATGGGCTTATAGCCCCATACTCCCTTCTCGCTGTGATAGTATCGTGTCAGGGGGCGTGGCACTTTTCCAAGCCTGGCTTCCGAATGCGCAAAGTAACGCAGCATGCTGATGGATTCAAAATAGGCGTATCTGCCGGATCACCTGATAAACACTAACGCGGGATACGCGGTCGCTTGCCTCTTGCCGAAAGAGAGTTCCAAGTAGAACTAAACTGAATATTATTTTGTTTGGAGTCCCGGACCCCCAAGTATTCCGCATGCTGATAAGCTGCCCAAAGAGAGAGTGGAAAATAGTGTACATACATGGTACATAATAGGGTGTATCGATTTGAAGAGATCATGTCAATTTTGTGTAGCATACTTTTTAAGGGATCATGGAGTGTGCAATGTTATTTAACAGTCAGCCATTAAAACTCTGTTAACGATTAAAAAAAATCTACCAGCACTAAAATCATACAGCACTACTATGATAATGGCTCCAAAACATGGTCTTAAAATGTTGGAAATTTCGAAAAAACTTCTTATCTAAGCACTAAGGCTGATAAGCAGCAGGTCTACTAATTAATTGATGGTTATTTTAAGTGATAAACAATCGAGGTGGATTTAAGACCAAACATGTGGTAACTTTTAGAAAAGTTTTCAGTTTTATGGTTTCGGAGTCGTCTTTCCAACACAAACTCAATACAAACTCAATAGTTATTGACATGGAAACTTTTAAAATGAGTTAAAAACATCATAAATATCATTGATCTACAGCACAATGCATGTATATAGGATATCTTAGCAAACCAATAAATCTATTCATTTTTATAAGCTACCACACCCTTAAGGATTTTGCTATTTATCATTTGTTATCATTTGGTATCAGGTTCAAACAATCGTTTCTTTTTTATTTCTTCATTAGAAGAGACCTTAAACTTTCATGGCCTAATGAAATCAATCCGTAGGCCTTTTCTACGTCGACGGCCATTCATAAAATTTAAGCTGCAGCGGAAATAGCGTTTGATAGCCGGTAATGGGTCATTGTCTATAATTATAACGGGAAGTGCTCTCATACATGAACATCCGTTTAATATGCATGTGTCTGTGTGTGGCTGTAACTTTAACGAGCCATTGAAAGTATCACAAAAAGGCCGCGTCATGACAAACGCCGAGTGTGAATAACGGTAATAAAAATGAATCACAAATCGACGAGGTTCCATATTCAACACACTGAGAGAGAGAAAAAACGGAATAAACAAATAAATTGGTAACTTGGTCAGCTTGCACAATCCAGGGCAAAATGAGAAGCCAGCCGAAATGTGGAGCGGCAAAAATGGTGAGCAACCTGCTGAAGGAATGCGTTATCAGTGCGTGAGTTCCCTGCGATTAGATATGGTCTCGTTTATCAGGAAGATAATGGAACGTTTCACAATCGACTCTACGGCGACAATTGAAAGAGTTTTCGGCAACGCCCCGATCGGACCGCCAGGTTTAACTTTTCTTCAGTCTTAGCTGAACGGCTCGCTGCAACGAACGTGTTTTTCTGCCTGGTAATTCAAAATAGTAACCCATAATTGTGCCAAGTGATAAGAATAGAGCTTTGATAACAGCACCCACCCAAAAGTGATGACATCATCAAAGTGAAAATTTTGGAAAATATAAAAAAAACAAGAAAATTAACGTGGAAATTGCCTAATTTATGCCTCTCTTGTGTTTTTCTTTTAGCAGTGAAACGAATAATATTAAAAACGAATTTAGAAATTAAGTGTTGAACGAAAACGAGTGAAAAAATGCGCTTCAAACTGTTTGTGGTTTGTGCGCTGGCCTGTGGCTTCATGGCCTACGTCCTGGCCAACGAAAACATATCCACCGAGGAGGACCTGGACTATCAGGTTATCAACGCAGTGCCCCAAATCGTAACGAATCCAAAACCATCCCAGCCCGCCAAGCCCAAAACGGACACCGAATTCGTGGAGGTGGTGAAGGATGTGCCCAAAACGACGACAAAACCGAAACCCAGTACGAGCCCCACCCCGAAGCCCACTCCCGGTGGCCAGCGGATGATACCTGTGGTGCATGTCACCAGCCGCGGAACCGACGATGTCCTCACCGTGGCAGGATTGAAACCACAGAAGCAGTTCGGAGCTCTAGTCATGCCAGACGAGTACATGGGCGAGTTGATAGATATCAACACTGGTTACAATTGGGGTGAGTTTTCCTATCCAGTTCTTAAAATGAGGTGACCCTGGGCTGAATCAGACTCCAGCCATTACTCATACGCCGTGTGAGCCCGCCCGCCCAGCGCTATCTTATCTACCAGGCCACCGGCCAGTTCAGTTACCAATATTTGCTCGATGGCTTGTTCGGGCAGGTGTTGTAAGCTCTCTTGCCATTCCTCGCAATCCCTCTATGTTTTTCCTCTCCGTTGGCAAAGTCCGATAAGATAATGCCCGGGTTGAGGTATTAAAAAGCTAACGATTTTCTTGTTTTCCCTCTGTTAGTTCAATGCAAACAAAACAAGTGCGTGGTGAGATATAGAGTATACACCTTTATAAAGATATGCCATATATATCATTGTGTTGGGTTAAGAGAGGATATACTATATGCTCTCCCCCCATATTGTATGAATCAGTTTACAGACCTTGTTAGTGTGGGGCTTTGCAATTACAAAAGCTACTACCTTTATCAGAACTGAAATACGAGTATTGTCTATGGGGATTGGATTTTTTCTCAATTAGTCATAGACATTTTAGGCTTACATGGCGCCTCCATTTTAGTCACTCCCAGTTGATTAAAAATGTTAGGTTCTTTTTTTTTTCTTTGTTTTTATTTGATCTTTAAAAGCTTATCCTAAATACAAAAACTAACTTTTAGATTTATCCTTGGGAAGTTGCGCTTTGCACTCTGAGCGCCGCATGGCGGGTGTCCAGTATCCTTGATCCTCCTCAGGCACTCATTGAGATGCGCTGCTCGTACTCGGCAATCCGCATTCGAACCGGTACCACCAGACTCAGGTCCTCCATGATGGCGTGGTGCTGGGGCCGCACGGTGGCACTTGAATTCTGCCGTGAAATCGTGGCTCGCGATTTGTCCATCGAAGGCTTGCGGCGCAGCGAGCACTTGCGCTGACTGCCTCCCTTGCCGACGCCCATGGGCGTAGCAAATTGGTACGAGCTGATAGGGGATTGGGTACTGGCCCCTGCAGCCCCGAGGCGTTTGGGTTTGGGTGGGGGCACTTGGTGAGCAGCGCTACCGCCGCTGACGGTGCTGCCGTTCAGGCTGTGGTTGCTGGTGTTGTTGCTGTTGCAGGTGGCAAGTGCTTGGGGGCGACTGGAGCGCAGGAGCGATATGAAGCGATTGGTTTGGCTATTGCCGGGAGCTAGGAACTTGTTATTCGACTGAAAGGTGTTGGTCAGCTTGTTGAAGAAGTTGATTTTGTCGCTGACAGTGGGTGTGTTGGCATCATTTTCCTGTCCCTGCTGGGGCTGCTGCTGTAGGGGCTGCTCCTGACCCACTGTGGTTTGTGGCTTCTCCTCGCCATCGGATGCGTTGTTTCGTTTGGACATTTCCAGCACTTTTTCCCTCAGTTCCATGGACCAGCGCTTCTGGGCCGTGTGCAATTTGGGTCGCAGTGCTGGCGGCTCTGTAGGCTCGGATTTGGACAACTCCAGAGCCAGTTCGGTCGTGAAACGTGGTTTGGGCGTTGATGTAATCGCCGGCGAGGGAGTCATCTCCTCGTCAATGTCCATTTCCAGTTCGCTGATGAAGGAAGTGGAGTTTATGGAACGGGAGGCGGATCCAAATCCAGAACTAGTGGCCAGACTCGGTGAACCGGACTGGAGCTTGTAGTTGTAGAATTGAAAGTTGAAAGTGCTGATGCTCATCTTGGTAACTCTGGTGAACGAATGATGCTGTTTTGCAATCTAGCCCGTGCTTATATAGACCAGAAATCAAAGGCTACCTGATCCCCGGCAGCTGTTGTGCGTTTCAGGTAGCCATGATGCGGTTCCTCCGGCTCAACTTGACTCGAGCGGGGCCAAAATTCCAGGAATCTACCTAAGGCCGCCATAAAAAAGGACAAATTTCCCGGTAATCGCAACCCGAACACGCGAATTTTGCGTGTTTTCCGCGCACCAATTTTCACGACTCTTCTCGAAAAAGCCAAAGACAAAGACGACCAACTGCTCTGCTAATCCAAGTCCTTTTATGGCACTTACTCGAAAAGGATTAGCGGATTTTATGATCCCTGCCCAGGCATTAATTCATAAATAGATTAAAAGTACAGCAGATGTTCGAGATTTTTACGTTCTATGGCCCGCTCTGGTCAGTTGACATTTCATTAGTTTGGTCATTACAATCAAAATCAATGCAATTAATGTCCAATAATTCACTCGACACTTTCCAAGTGAGAGAACCAGAGAGAATGTGAATGTAAGAGAAAGTAGTAGAAAGGAGTAAAATGAAATAATCCAATTATAATAGCAATTTTCGCTTATCCACAGAGGAGCGGATGAAAGGGGGTTTCTGAGGTGATAGGAAGTGATAATTAATTGAGAAAATTTATATTTTAGAAGAAATTATTATTTAGAAATTAAAGCTTAAAAGAGTATAAAAGCTTCTTAAATGTACGAACGAAATTGCAACCTCACCTCCTTGGAGATGCCGAAAATATTTAGGAAATCTTTGCCACGAAAACTTCGCCAGCAATTTCAGTTTCTGGTCAGTGTCTGGAGCAATATCCTTAAGCGGATACTGCCACTGTGATGGCTCCTGTTTCAGTGTCCACTGGGAGCGTCAGCTTTGCACTTAATCAGCTTAAATGGCTTTAAAAGGCCAGCGGTGAAAAGAAATTAGAGGAAGAAAGTAGCAAAGGGGGGCGATGCCGGCCAAGTTGGCAGAACAGAAATGAATATTAACTGTGACCTTTAATGGCCAAGTGCACGGAACGTAACGAGAACGGGAGCTGCAAGGATGTAACAAACTTGCAACGACAGGACCCAGGACCATGGACCAAGGGGGCAAGCAGCAGGTGCGGAAAAATGCAAAAGAGCCAGGGAATGTGGCAAACTTGGGGGAAAATTTTCTTTTCACTTTCTGTCCGGCACCAGCCAGGCTGCAAGTGCAGGATAATATTGTGGAATTGAAAAAGTAATCTCCAGGGATTAGGTGTGAAATTATAATGATAGGCCGGGAGTTCTCGGTTCTCACCTCCGAAAGCCGCACACTAAGCTATTTGTCTTCTCTTCCATATTTCTTCGTTATTACAGATCCCAACAATAATGTCGCTCCGCCTGGATCGCCTTCGACTGCTGCGGGGGGATACACCATCACTCCCGCCCGATTGGCAGAGCTTCGGAGCAACTTCATGTACTGGTTCTTCGACAAGGACACGAAAGGGGGACGTGGTGATTACCAGTTTGATATCCACGCCTCGATGACGCAGCTCCACAAGAATCTTAACTTCCAAATGCCTTTCTACGGATTCCGTTTCAACTACACAAGGGTAGGTCTTCAGATCACTTCGACATGAAATTATTTTTAGTCTGACTCTTTCTTTATCCTCAATCAGCTCTCCCTCAATGGTTATTTGGAGTTCTCCGATCCCCCAGAGTACCTGACCTATCCCCTCGTCTTCCCGATTAAGGACTGGCCCACCAAGCGGGATCCCTCGTTCATGGGCATCTTCTTCAGCAAGTGCCGTGTCGGACGCATCTATCCCTCGGATATTGACCAGCGCACACCCGGTGTTTACTTCCGGTAAGGATATACATCTGCATTTGGCATCCAGCATCCCGCATCTCCATTTATTTGTTTCAACATTCCTACTCCCCTTCCCGCTTGAATTTCCGGTTGGTTTGTATTTATTTGTTAACCATATTTATTTTTCCTTGTCTCTGATGGCATTTGCATATTCAAAATCGGCACAGAGCACGCGCCAAACGAAAGTATTTATGTGTATTTTTCCTTTTACGTGTCCTCTTCGCCATTGCCAGAAAACTAAAACAGAGTAATATGTGTACCATGTAGAGCATGTACCCCCCAGTCTCCATTTCCTATGTCCCTAAATTTTTGTTGGCTTGCATTCATGACTATGTCCTTTCAGAGGGTATGATTTATGGTAAATGGGGTTTGCAACTGTATTTTTCCTAAGTTTTCGATGGGGTTGAGTCTTCATTTTTGGATTCTATAAAATATATTTTTATGGAAGAGTATTTCAGTATTCGTATATCCTTGTTTTCAAGCCCTCACATTGTTACTCATAGCCATTGTTTTTCTGCTTGTTACTGTCAGTTATTGCCCCAGAATTTCGCATTATTTCCATGGCGGCTACCTGGTCTGTTGTTCTCGGATATATTTTCCCGTGGCGCTATCAGACAGTGCATTTTCCATCCCCACCCATCTTTTCATGATAAATTCATGCTGATTTCAGCACGCATTTGTGCGTGCACTTGTTTCAAAACACAGAATAGTCCTTTACACAAAAGAGCATAAAACAGCACGGTCAGTGATAAAATTGGGAATTCAGTGCTCCCATATTTTTCCAGGTTGCTGTCGGAATCTCTCCCGTTCCGTGACCATCCAATTTCATTTTAATTATATTCAATGGTCCTGCACTTTGTCTATAATGCTTGCGGGGACAATGCTTAAATTTATACAAACATGACTTTGGTTCTCTTTTTCGTTTGTTGTGTTTTTGGCCTCCCTTGGCTAATTATGCAAATGAATGCCAGTGGGGGCCGAAAGTTATTTGTGGGCTATTTATATGAGTTTTGCGCCAGCAGGAGCCTTACAAAATAAAACCTCTACAAATTCCGTAATCCCATACACAAAAAAGTTTCCACTCAAAAATGCATTAATTAGTTAAAGTCAGTTTCATCCTTGTGGTCCCTAGTTTTTTTTCGATGTCTGTGCTATTTGGAGCATAAATTATGGCTTCTCTCGCCTACATTGTTTTAACTGCCTTAACTTTCATTGCTTTCTGGGAAGATGAAGATGGTTACTTCGCATAAAAAAACTAAAGGAGAGCATAAATTACATCAAAATGACACAGAATGACAAGCCAGTTGAGGAATGTGTGCATATCCTTTGAAAAAAAATCTGAAAAGTGGTTTTATCAATCCGACTGTCCAATGAAAAACAACCCATCCTGCAACCCAGTCTGACAAATAGCCACAGTTGTGCAATTAAACTCGTGCAAGGCTCACAAGGAGCAACTCATTGAAGGAGGAAGTATTTTCAATGTTTTTAAGTGACTCTGACAATATGTCAGAGCCTGTGCTGCATAACTCGTTCAATGGCAGAGTCCACGGTCACTCTTTGGCATTTAATTGTCTTCGCGTATTTTTCCTCGTGTATAGTAAGGACCAGCGTCAAGTGAAAGGACTCGACCAAACTTTGATGAATGCACTGAGAAAAGGGCACTTGAATATTTTACCTTTAGATGTTTTTAAAAGAAATATTTATATATTAGCACTAGCTTTAAAATGGAAGGATGTGTTGTGTTTCCTTTTAGCACTTATAGTCCTGTGGAGAGCCCTTTTTCCCTCTCTTGAAACGGTATGAACGGTATTGGTGTGTAGGGAGTGACTGAAGCTGTGACTGGAATTTAATTTAAATAACTTTGCATTGTGCTGAAGATAAAGAAGCCAAGCGGGACGAACTGTGAAATGCGAACGATGTAAAATTGCTGAGCTACCCACGCTATGGAGGCTGCTCCTCTGCCCTCCACTAACACGCTGCCATTAACATCGCGAGAGCCCCCATCCATACCTCTCCAGCAACACCCTCTTAGCACTCGTTCACATATCAGTGACCCCACTTATTTGGCATCAATTTAATTGCATGCCTGCACTTAGGAGCTCAGTACTTGGATTAGCTCAAAGTGCAGGACATTGCGCATACGCCGCGTGGGTCGCCGTCAGCTTTGAGCATTAAATTCATTATGAGCGCACGTTTAATTACACATACAAACGTTTAGCCGCGTTGGGTGGCGAATAAAAACTTAATGCCAAGCCGGGGTGTCGTTTGTTCAGGTCTTTGTTTCACTTTTTTCCTTTATTTCTCTCTTTTTTTTTGATGTGGTAAACGCTTCAAACTTTTTTTGAGCATGTGTGGGTTTTTAGGGGGTTTTTGTTGTAAATGGCATGCTGGAAGCGCGTAAAGCTTTTAATTGTTATTTTGGCAAGGGCAGCTACAAACGACATCGTAATTGACGGCCAACGGAGGCACAATTAAAACATTTTCGGCAGCTTTGTGGCAAATGAGAATCCAAAGAGACCTCAAAATGGCCCAGGGAATTCATGTATCTTTAGTTTAAATTAAGCCAAACAAAATGAATATATGCATAGACCCCTTTGCAATACCTCTCTTTGTATAATTAACTATCTGTTCAACTTTTCGACTTTCTGAAATGTTGATTTTCTGCCAACGGGGGTTTTCCTTCGTAACTGGCGCACAATAATAATGCCGCTTCATTATTCCCTTTTTGCCAATCATAACAAGAACTTCCCCAATCCGCGCGACTAACGATCCTTTGCCACCGTGAGTCCTTGCGCGTCCTTGGCTGGGCCATTTGCAAGTCTCGGCCTGCATTTACTCGCATTCTGCAGCAGCTTACATGCAATTTTCGCCATTTTCTTTAAGTACAGCCATTGTTTCACTTTCATTTACACCCCGAGATGGAATTGGGCCACACGGTTGGGCAAGGCGAAGCCTGAGACATGGCTGAAGCGAAGGATGTGCCGGCAGGATTAAGGGGGTAGTGATGGTAGCTTCCATGCAAAAGCAGCGAAAAGGCATTTTAACCTACAAATTCAGACAAAACTGTGGCAGCGCCCGAATGTATGCAATAAAGTGTATAATGGCGCAGTTCAAGAACTGGGCGAGTGGGTGGTTTCGGGTGGCTCCGACTTTCTATTACTTTTTGCGACTCTTTCTATGGCTTTGTACTTGCCTGTGTCTGTAACTGTGTCCGTGTCTGTGTGTGCGGCTTTTTGGCTTACTTACACGTAAAAGTTGTCGAGTCTGCGGCTGTTTTTGGCTGCTGCGCGCGCATTTCTAGGCTGAGTGACAATTTCCATTTTTTTCCGTACGCTTTCCCTATCCCCGAATGTCAATTGCAGACTTTTAAAGTTTTTCTTGCTTTCTCCTCTAGGCCAACAAATGATAAACTATGTCAGTGGGTGTGTGTGCGGTTATCTTTATATTTTTTTTTGGTATTTGGCCCTGGCATGCGGTTTTTGCACATTCCCTGGAAATGTTTTGCATTTTTTTGCTCACTTCTGGCATGAAGATGGGAAAGTGTAATTTTGTAATTTATTTCCATCACCATCTGCTGGCAGTTATAATTTATGTCCTCTCCAATATTAAATGCAGACTGCGCATTATGAGTCTTTGTGGCAGTAATGTGGCATTTATCGATTCGTTCAAGTGTTAATAACTTGCAACGATATTTTAGAAACAACAATGATGCAGCACTCATGTTTGTTTGCATTTGCATTTCTATGTTCTAGAAAAGACCTCTTATTTGATTCAATTTATCACCCAGAAAGAACGGGGCAAAATCAATAAAATGTTACCGGCCAAATGCAAATAGAGAATGCCACACATTCATCTTTGTTTGCCACAAATACAGGGACAAGCCGGAGCATAACGAGTTTTTCGATTTCAATTGTTTTAGTTCCCAGTGTCCTGCTAAATGAATGTCCTTGTCAAAGCGACTGGGAATTAGTTTACCTTTATCCGAGGCTTTTATTACATTTTATTGAAGTGGGCTATTCCATTCTGTTTGTGTTTAATTTAGTTGATTTTTGGATTAAAGGATATTGAGAAGAGAACAAAAATGGCATGACATATTTCTTTTTAATTTCCATTTATTTTTTCCCGTATCGCGTTCATTTCATTCATATTTTGTTTTATTGTTTTATTAATTGAAGTTCTGACAAAGATGTCGTTATTTTCTTTCATATTTTGTTTTATTAATTAAAGTTGTGACAAAGATGCGGGCATGAAATTCAAATCAAAAACCATTTAAGTTTCGATAGAGAGGCAAATTGAAACAATCTCTTCATCGATTTCCATTTAAAATTCAATTTAAATATTCTCAATTATTTATTTCCATTTTGAATTTGGTCGAATGCCTCCATTAGCCGCAGTGTCCCCTTAGCAAGTTATTTTAGTTCGTTTTTCGGCCATCAACTGAGCATGTTTGTATTGAGCCGAACGCTTCATTTGATAAGCCTCTTATGGCCACCGGCCACTGGGCATCGGGCCAGTGGCCTTGACAATCCTCCACAATCCACAATTGTCCACCTCGGGCAAGGGCAGGTCTCGGACATTCCCGTGCAATTGTCCGGCAATGAAAACTGGTACCAAATCAAAGGCAAGGCTGCAGTGTAATAATAAAAATCCCTCTCGGCAAATCGGCTTAGGATTTATTTGTCTGGGGTGGATTGGCTTTTGTTTAAGCGCTTCCAGAGAGCCAAGAGCCCTGGTGTAATTTAACTAAACTGGCTTAAAGCAATTTATGACGCTGCCGGCGAACAGTTTTTGAAGTGCGGAGCTCGCGGCGTATGCGTAATGAATAATTAAAGCATATAAATCATACGCCACGTAGCCGCGATGGCGTCGCCAATGTGTCGGCCGTCGATACGCCATCCATCCACCATATACCAAAAAAAAAGAACACACTTGAAAGTGCTCACAAGAGCGTAAAATAAATAAAATGTTTATGAAAATATGCCCACCAGGAAAAAGTAATGAGAAGGAGCCAAAATCAGTATCGCTCCGCCTGGGTCCTGATTTATATGCCAAACATCAAATCTATTTATCTTCCTGCAGACGCCAAACCGAAATTTACTTTGCATACTCCGCCTCAGCCCATCATTCGATTTCTTTTCGCATTACACACATGAGCCGGAATCGGAATCGGCAGCTGAACTGACGGATAACCTCCATTCTCCTCCAATTTCTTTGCAGCGTGGAACGTGATCTGATGGGACGGACGGACCAGATGGGCGTGGAGGTGCGGGAGCGCACCATGTGGGATATCCGGCAGGGCGTGGTGGGCGCTGAGACTTTTGTACCCAAGCACGTGGTGATCGCCACCTGGAAGAACGTGTCCTTTGCCGGTGGCATTGACAACTCCCTCTTCATGGTAGGTTTTTATCCTACTTTAAAGTGATTTTTTAATACATATTTTCTCGTATTATCCTTCAGACAAACACATTCCAAATGGTTGTGGCCACTGACGAAGTCTACACCTACCTCATCTACAACTATGCCGTGCTGAACTGGTTGTCCCATACTGAGGCAGGAGGAGATACCACCACAGGAGCGGGTGGTGTGCCAGCATTCGTAAGTGTCCCTGAACTGCTCCTGAACTCTGACCCTTGTTTGCTCATTCACTTTTTGCCTGTCGGCACTCAATTAAGCAGTTGATTGCAAAGAAAAACTTCCCAAGTGCGGGGGTTTCCCAGTTTTTTCTTTACCACATTCCCATGTGATTTATTCTTAAATCAAAAGGAATCTGTAAAGAGAAAGGACATGCACAGAAAAGTATCTTTAAAGTTATATGGTTTTAATATAGAGCTCGCTCTCGCAAACCATTTTCAATGGCTTTTCTGCTTTTCATAAATCACAATTACAATTATCATAAGCATTTACGAGCTGATGCCACTTGTGCCTGCAGCCACTTTCACTAATTAAACGCCCAATTGAAACTTTCCCTAAGCACCCGAAACATACCCGACATAATTGCAAACTTTGTGAACAGTTAATTAAAAGGGTGAGGAGTTTTAAATGCATCTATTTAATTGCACTTTCCCACTCCGACCCTGTCTGCCCAAAAACATGTGTGAACTTTTCTGTATTTCTCCCCTTTCAGGTCGGTTTCAATGCTGGCAATGGCACTCAGGCCTACGAGTACAAGCCCTACAGCCAGAACATGGTAATACGAGATCTGGCCAACAGGGGATGGGCCAACGGATTCCCAGGACGTCATATTTTCCGAGTGGACGAGCAGATTTTGATTGGCTCTTGTAATAAGGACATAGGTATGTTTTGATTGAGAGATACCATTACTATTTTTATTTGACTTTGTTTTTGTTTAGATGCCGCTCTGTTGCCTCTGACCTTTGCTCCCGAATCTGGCAACATGTTGGGTGGTCAGGTGGTTAACATCACAGGTCCCTGCTTCGATCCAAACGTCCGGGTGACATGCCACTTCGATACGGAATCCGTACTGGGCACCTATGTGGACACGAACCGCGTTATTTGCGTGCAACCGTTCTTGAAGGCCGAAGGCTATATCCGATTCCAGATCTCCGTCGGCACCCAGCGGTTCAAGTGGCGCGGCAAGTACTTTGTGGAGACACCGGCCGCCGCCACCGAGAAGATCTTTTTCACCACCGACGACGTGTACAAGAAGAACCCCAGCGAGATCAAGATCACCTGGATCCCGTACAATTTGACCACGAATAACAATGCTAATGTGATGATCTCGCTTTGGGGTTACCGGGAGACAAAGATCGAGCCGCAGTTGGAATACATCGATGTAATCGAGCCTAGTTATTCGAATTCGGGCAGTTATGTAATCACACCGTCGAACTACTTGAATCGGAAGAACGTCAACCGCGACATGCAGTTCGGATTCTTGCAAATCAACCTCACCCAGCCGGATCAGTACTCTGGCCTCTCCATCAGCCCGTAAGTTGAGAGTTTCCAACTGGACAAATTATATTACTTAACAAACACAAACGTTGGTAATTGCAATTTCAAGTGACCAAGGCCATCAGCTTCAGGTTTCATTTCAGGGGGGGCCTCCATCCCGCCACTGGCACATCCTGTCCAGCATCTTTTGTTATTATGTTTTAATTGATTCTCGGTTGTCTCAATGTGTCAGCTCAGTACCGGGTTCCGAGTTCCGACTGCCGTCTGGAGCTGTCGATGGTCTATCCATGTTTTTATTCAATTTGCCGGAGCAATTTCAATGACAATGAGAATGAGCCAAATGCACTTCAGCTGAGCCATCCAATCCCCAGACTCAGTCTCTGCCCGCCCTGGGCTCTCAATCAATTTACCCCGGCCTGGCCGAGGATTGCTTATTATGACAGCCTGTAATTGCTAGACATTCTCGAAGCTAATCAATAATGGAAATGTGTTTTTAATGGCCCCGTTTTAGTATTTGTGCGAGCATTTGCATTTAAGCCTTTGCCTTCACGTCCTGCAATTATTTTGCACTTAAACCTTGAATCATCTTACAAGCCATAAAATTACAGACCCTAAAAAAGGCTCATCATGCACAGGGAAGAAATATCTTTTCAGTTGTCTCTTTAAAACAATTAAATATATCATGAACAACAAAAATCTTAAATGGCATAATCTTTACAGAATATTAATGATTTCTAACAAAAACATAGCATAATATTATTTTTTCATGTGCATCCCAGAAGGCGCAATATAAAACCATTTCGTATTTTTTTTGTTTATGGCACCTTTGGGTGTCGTTAGCCGGGCCCAAAGCGACTGCGGGCGGAGCGAAATAAATTGTTAGCATTGTTTCAACATTTAATTTCCATTTGATGGGCCAGTAATTGTGAAAACTTAATGAAAAATATCTCCATGGCAGCGCGAGGCGCGAATTGCCAATTGCCAAGGCTAACTAGGCAACGGCTAATGGTAATATCGTGTTTCTCATCAATGAGATGGCCCGGAACCCCTACCCTGTTTTGGGTTCATTATTAGCTGGCATTTTGCCTGCGCGAATGTCAAAGGTAGCCGACGGGGCGTATGATTAATGTCATCTATGAAATGAATCTCAACCAAACACACGCTCACTTACACTAGTACACTCACATTTTGACAATGCATTTTCGATTTTCATTGCAGAGTCCTGTGGTCCCGACCAGTTCCATTGGCCTGGTACATGGCACCCCAGTGGAAGGAGCAGCACGGAATACAGTGGCCGCGGGCTCTTTGCGATAATTGGCTTCGCTCGGACCGATTCCTGAGGTAAGGCTCAACAAATATGCATTCGCATTTGCTGCTAATTAAAAGCAACCAGGCTCGCACAGCGAACGCAACTCGGTGTGTCCTGGCTCCCCAATGATTGGCTTCGCAGGAAACTGCCCTGGGACTGCCCTTTTTAAAAATCATAATTTCCGTTGCTTTGCAGGAACTTTGCTGCTGACCTGCCCCTATGCCCCTGCACTCTGGACCAGGCTGTCCTGGACAAAGGACGCTACCGACCGGATCGAGAGTGCGACAAGGACTCGAACCCCAGTTGCCTCAGGCATCGTGGCGCCATTCATTGCGTGGTCAGTGGAACGCCAGTGTAAGTAATTTCAAAATAAACAAAATTTAAAAAACAGGCTTCAGTATGTCCTTATTTTAGTGCCCAAGGAGCTGAACAGCAGTGCTGCTACGATCGCTATGGCTACCTTATGCTGACCTACGACCAGATGTGGGGCTCCCGACCCCGTCGCGTCCACAACCTGGGCAAGATGCCCTGGAACGAGGCCAGCAAAGTGCCCTCGCTGTCCATGTGGTTCCACGACATGCGTCCCTTCTACTCCTGCTGTGCCTGGCAAGAGGAACAGGCCGTCGGATGCGAAACCTATCGCTTTGAGCGTCGTCCTTCGCAGGATTGTGTGGCCTACCAGGCGCCTGGTATCGCCGGCGTATTCGGTGACCCTCACTTCGTAACCTTTGACGGCACGGCGTACACTTTCAATGGCCTGGGAGAGTTCGTCCTGGCCCGTAGTATAGACGAGAGCAACCGCTTTGAGGTCCAGGGACGATTCCAGCAGCTACCATCTAACTATTACGGCGATGTCCAGGCCACCCAGTTGACGGCAGTGGCGATGCGCGGAAACACCACCACCACCATTGAGGTACGTTTGCGTCCACTGCACGCCAGGTGGCGCTACCGCCTGGATGTCCTGGCCGACGGTCGTCGGGTGTACTTCGATCGCGAGAGTCTCAAGTTCCAGCACTTTGACGGTGTAACCGTCTACACTCCTACCTACCTGCTCAACCAGTCCCAGGTGGTGGTGCAATTCGATGCCGGCATTGGTGTAGAAGTGGTGGAGAACGAAGGATTTATGACAGGACGCGTTTTCCTGCCCTGGAATTTCATTGTAAGTTTTTGGTTTGGCTCGTGACTTTTATCCGCTAACATGTATATACTTTTTAGAACAAAACGGCAGGACTCTTTGGCAACTGGAGTTTCAACAAGCTGGATGACTTTGTCCTGCCCAACGGACAGGTTGCTACGATAAATACCAACGATCTGCGCAGCATCCACACCAACTTTGGCCTCAAATGGATGCTCACGGACCGGGATGTGCCCGGAGTGGGAGCGGCTCTCTTTACCCGCGAATTCGGACGGATGTCTAGTTACTACGCCAATTCCACTTTCCAGCCGAACTACGTGCTTGATCCGGCGGACTTCCTGCCCGGAAATCGAAGCTACGACGCGGAACGGGCTGAGGAGTTGTGCGGCGAATGTTTGCAGTGTCAGTACGATTATGCAATGACCTTGAATCGGGATTTGGCGCACTTTACCAAGAACTACTACGACACTATAGTCAATATGCAGGCAGAAAATGCTCAGTAAGTTTACTTATTTTTTTTTGTTTTGAAAAAAAAAACATTAAATATTTTATCTTCAGGCGCGTTGTATCCTGTGGTGTCCTGCAAACTCCCCGATTTGGTCGCAAGCTAAGCTTTGACTTTATGCCGGGTGCCAAGGTGTCCTTTGAGTGTAACGAGGGCTTCATTCTGCTGGGTGATCAGAGGAGAGAGTGCCTCTCCAATGGCCTTTGGAATGTACCTGAGTATGGTTACACGGAATGTTTACGTGAGTACCAAAAATATAAGAAGTTTTATTTGTGTAGGATAGAGTCCCTATTCAGTAACACGTCCCACAATTCTTTTAAAGTCTTAAGTTCAACCTTTGACCCTCGAATGTTACCCCTCGTTCCCTTGTACAGGTGAGGTGTACTACACGCGTCGCATCGCTTTCATTGCAATTGGCATTATCTTCCTGGTGATCTGCCCCCTGATGCTCTGCATCGTCTGCGGCGTCTACCGCTACCGCCAGAAGCAGCTGAAGGAGGACCCCCATTGGCAGATGCCCGTTCTGCCCCGGTCCCGGGCCAGCTCTGCTCGCAATCTGAGGACCCTGAACTATGACGACGATAGCGATACGGATGCCAGCACTTTGAAGAAAAGTAGGTCCTACGACAAAGTATATCGCACGAACGAACCATTACCTGGCAAACCGCAAATTGATTTTCCAGCTAAGAAATGGGATCTGGATGAGAACGACGAGGATGTAACCTCATCCGAAGGTAGTCAGAATAGAACAAGCTCAAAGCTAGCCAGGGACATTTCCTACATTAATCCGAACGTAACCACAGGTGAGAAGCCGAAGCAGTCGGGTCGCCGCTCCCTGCGAGCCTCTGGAACGGACTTGGATCAGCATCAGAACCACGATCATGAAGATCACGAGGACGACGATGACTTTGACGAGGCGGACGTTCACACGGGCACCATTCATCCGGCCGGATACCACCAGCCCCTGTCGCCGGAGGAAGCTGATCAGCTGCACCGCCAGCAGTACAGCCCCGCCTTCAGTGGCCTGGACAGCCGCACGAGCGGCGCCAGCTCCATAAATTACACTCCCCAGGCGGCGACTCAGAACCGCTTTGGTGGAGTCCCGGTCCTCCCCAGCAATACCCAGTACTACAGCCGTCCGCCCTCCGGAGTGCCCACCGCCACGGCCACCCCCCTCCGGACAGCACCTACGCCGTTGACGCAAGAAAGCGGCCTGCCGTCGCCCCCGCTGGCCACTTCACCTACCCCCTCCGTCCAGAAGTCCACGGAGGTTTAAATCACGCACCACTCATCCACCCATTCCAAATGAAAACACCAAAAACCACCCATTAGCTGCAAAGTTCAAATACTAAGAGCCAGAATATAATGATTATTTTTAAGTTCAGTTCATTGCACAATAATTTTGACCCCTGACCTCTACCATAATCTTTGTTTTATTGTTTTTTTGCCCATGACCCTAAAATATATTTGCACTTTTTGTAAATAATAGTTACAGCCTCAACTCAAGCCAAAAATGTAGTAACAAGTTCCAAAGCATTCAACATTTATCCCCCCATCCTTCCTGGTAAAGGACAATCATCATTTATGTATTGAATAAAACCAAACACTTGTTTTTAGTAATTTACATATAAATATTGGATAATAGTTTTTATTTTTTGTGTACTTGCAGCCAGATCGGATAATGCCAATTGTTACATGAAAGTTGACACTTCGCAGGGTTATCCTTGTTTACTATTTAACTGCCTGTCAATTTTCTGTAATCCTCCATTGGCTTTGCAAGTGGGCAGTATTATTATTTTTAATAGTTTGCCATTTTTCTGTTCAGTGTATGGAGTGCAATGCAGTAACAAAAATTACATGAAATTTATAACGAAGCAATACGACTCTAGCCAAAGCCATTAATCTTCGGCTGCCAGTGGATTTTTGTAGTCGTTTCTGCCACGCCCATCCACTCGACCTCCGGCTCCATTGTCTTCTGTCTCCAGTGTCCTGTACCCTGGCCAGAATGCCATTGTGTGCATTACGCCAATGTCAATCAATCTTAAGCAAATTGATGGACAAGTTGCCGTTACTTATGTCTGTTTGTCCGTTATCCTTGCCATCCTGGTATAGAGCGTAGTGGCAGGACGAAAGCGTTCCTAGTTTCGAGCCCGGTCTGGGCGAAACACTGGGGGGCGAAAGGATATACATCCTAGATGGATGTGGCTTCCATTGCATTGTTTAATTTATGAACAGTGATGGCAAAAGTATATTTTCCAAGGTAAACACAGGCAGGGCAAACATAAAATCGAACTGCAAATCAGAAAAATTGCCTCTCCTTTTGGTTTGTAAATTAGATTTCCTTCCCTGGAAAGCTTGTCTATTTTCCTTGTTATTTAACTTTTCAGGACATGAGGAAAAGTCTGCCCGCGTGGCGAGCATCTCACTGGGCATGATGCTGCTCATCCTAATTCCTTGCCTGCTGCTCCTGGTTTGCGGAGCGAATTATTGGATTCGGGAACAAATTGCCAAGGAAGAGCAGGAGGCCGCGGCGGCCCTGTTGCCGAAATCCAAGTGGCAGAAGTCGAAACAACATGTAATTTGATTAGCACATTGATGAGTTCTCGGATACGTGCGATCGTGTGCTGAATAAGGATTTACAACTCTCAGTTGTAATTGAAGAATTTCATTTTTAAAGAGCCTCTCATAACCACATCTTGTATTTATTCTCCCTTAAATAAAACGAATCGTTAAGAATCAAAATATATACATTTTTCTTCAATAAGTCATTAAAAAACTTTTATTTCAGGGTTCAATGAAATATTTTTATTTGCTTCTGCATAGTTTTATCTTGCATTTTACTCTGGGATTACATTTGCATATTGATTTTAATTTAAGATATTAATTTACTGGTTTAACATTTACTCCATTTAATGTACGGATGAAGACAGTTTTGGGGGCAGATAGGGGGTTAGGGTTTAGTTAGTTTAGCACTTAACACTTCTTAGCCTTTTTACAGTTCGAGTACGAGTAATTAGCCTAAATTTAAATAACACTCAACACACTTTAGACCGACAAACATAAACACAAATCGAGTCTCGAAAGCTAGGCTTCGTCTTAGAAGAACATTCAGCTGAACATTTTGGATATATTTTGTAATTTGTGTGCACATTGATATTGCTATGAATATAACTATGTATAATCTTTATGGGTATATTTCTCTATGCGGTTATCCCTTAACTATGGTGAATGATTTCGAGATAGACCTCTGGCTAGACGGCGAAATGGCTTAAGAACTATAAAGCTATTTTTCAGTTAGAGTAAAGTTGAGATTTGTCTTTCGTGTAACAATACTCATAGATAAATGGAAACTCAAACATTCACTGGATTGGAGAGTTCTTAGCCTAACGAACTATTGTTTTAAGGTTGCGCTCTGGACTTTAGATCATTTGTTGTACATCTTGTATCTTGTATAGAGTTTACGTTTTGGTGCAGTTGAGTTTGCTAACAATTTGGTTTGTTTACTGGTCGGTAGCCCTGTATAGAAGTTGACGAACCCAATTACATCTATATTTAAATATGCGTGTATATTTATGTATATATATTTTTAGGTATTTGTTTATCTTTTGGTGCTTTGTGGTTATGCTAATTTACGTTTATGTCTTTATTAAGTTGTCCCAAAAGTTTTGTTAGGTTTAGTTAGAATATTTGCCTTACATTTTGTTCACATTCTCTTAGATTTTTTACAGTTCGAGTTTTTTTTTTGTTTTATTTTAAGTCTCGATTAGATGTACAGTATACACGAAAAAGTTCAGCCTAAGAAACCATCACAAAGTAGAATCATAATAAATACATATTAACAAATTACTCATTCTTTACACAATAATACACAACTACTACCAGGAGCACGCATAACACACTTAAATAGCTTAAACATTTTTACAGGATAATCCTCCTCCACCACACATCTGTGAGGCATCTAAAACGAGAAAACCATTTAGAGAGATTTTAGTGGATATGTTTTGTGAACTACAATATCAAAATCCAAATCCAAAACACAAAATAGTAAATATAAATACTCTTATGTCGGTCACGAACTGGCCTAAAAGCAAATGTGGTCATTCTCTACACAGTGAGAAATGGTTACCAAGGTTTTAATAAAGTTTTAAAAAGATCTAAACCAAGATTACTTGGGCTCTTTGTATTTATTCTTATATAATCTTGTGTACTAAATTTAATCCCCTAAAAATTCCATTTATTTATGATGACCTGGATTATTTCATTCTGCAGCTGGAGGAGCTGGAGAAATCAGAGTTTTGTTTGTTTGCCCAACTGTTTGGCTCCCGTGAGCACGCAATTCAATTTAACCCTTCACGCCCAATTACGCCGCAAAGCCGGGGCGCCAGTCGGAGCCGGGGGCCAGGATCTCAGGACACACGAGGTGGAAACAGTGTCAATGTCAAAAGTTGGACATTGGCCATGTGGAAATGGATCGGAACCAGAAACTTGGCATGTTTCCTCGCCGGACTCTCGTGTTTGTTATTCCAACTGTGTTCGTGTGAGTGGGAGCTTAGGTGGAGTCAGGACCTCCTGCCAGTATAGGTGGCTGAAAACAAGCCACAAAACAGTCCAACTACAAAGGCGAAAACAACTTTTGATTGCCAACAAAAAAAATTCTCCGAAAAAAAGGTAGAGCCTTTTGTTTGGGTATTTTCAAAATTTCAATCACGTAAGCAATTCCCTTTCCACAAAAGAAAAAGTTTAAAGGTCTGCCAGAAAACGATTATTTATAGCATTAGTGGAGTCATTTTTATGGCTCCCTCCAGCTTCACTTTGGGTCCTCTATATCCTTGCTGTTTGGTGTTTGCGGTTTGGCAGGACACAAGATTCAATTTGCGCAAAATGCAAGCCGGGGTAGTGAATAAATGAATCAGTGGAATTGGTATCGAAGGGACAGCAGCTTAGCCCCAGTCGATAGTAATTGCACATGCATGTTAACCCCAAGCCGCTGACAGCATCCTCTGCAATCCCCCGCCCTCCGCCTTCTGTCAGTTTCAGATCCTGCTGACACGCTAAGCAATTTAACAATTTTACAGACAATTAAACAACAACATGCTGCCGAGTCCTTGGCTGTCCTTCGGCCAAACTGTCATTGAATCGGGTACGACGACAAAATGGCTAAAATGTACTTGCATCTAATGCTCGCTTCCCTTCCCCTCCCACTGCTTCGCACATAAAATATCGATTAGTTTAATGTGCAAAAATAGCAGCAAGTGTTTCCTTGGGGGTCATCCTGGGCCACGCCTCCACATAGGAATTTTCAGTAAATTGAATTAAAATTGTAAATATCGCATCAGAGTGTTGCCTCGAACTTTATGGCCCCACAAATCAAATGCATGAAGGTGGGCCGAATAATGTCCATAAGGACACAGGATTTAGCTGCAAAAGTGAAGGAAATGTAGGTGGAGCAGGTGGGTAAACTTTTCAATCCTCCGACCCCGCTGTCTGCCAAGTTTACGCCTTTGTCGAGTGGAAAAAGTAAAAAAAAGCGCAAACCCAAAGAAAAAAGGAAAAATGCGCGGTAAAAGTGAATCGGATAGCGGGAAAATGGCCGACGGAAAGTTACGAATATACCAAGGAATGCTTTGTTTCCCCCTTTCACGTTTTCCATTTTCTGTTTTCGCGGCAAATTGCATTCGATTGAAAAAACAAAATACAATAAACTTTGTGCTCGCCCAGTCGATTTGCGGCGATATAGAGTGCGATATATTTGTGTATGAGAATAAATATCTTGTCAGGCGAAAATGGCAGATAGAGAACATTTTCGTAGAGGCGGTGGGGAATTTGTTGGTTATTGGATATCCTTTGGAATGTTAAATTTATTGTCATATATTGTTTATCTTTTTCAATTTCTAGACAAAAAAAATATACAATGTTTTATGATTTAATTTATGTGAGGAGAATTTTGAACTGGAATGTACAGAGAGTAGGAAAGACCACTTATAGAACTACCTTAAGTCGTAAACCTAAATTTAGGTCCAATATTATTCTTAAATTTTAGATTCTAGAAGCCTTAAAACTCAAGTCCCAGACTGTCTAGCAAACAGAATTTTCCAGTACCAAGACAACTGAGTCAACAACGATCAGGTTCAATTTGGTTTGGTAAACCCTTCTCAAATTGATTTGTTGTCGGCAGCATTTGGAGGCAAACTGGCTTGATTTGAGAGACGGCTGCAGTTGCAACGGCAGCTGCTCAACTTGGTGGCAAGGAAAGGCCAGGATGCAGCATATCGGTATGCAAATGAATGTCCTCAGTTTGCCGAGCAGGACCTGTCAGTGGCAAGAGCAAACGCGGGGAAAGTCAGTTAATGTTGTTGCCAACTTGTGCGTTGCTGGTTGTTCGTTGTCTGCAGTTGAATGTCGATTTTCTGCTTGTTGGAATGTTTACATTCGCTGCAACTTTAATTGAAATTAGTGCCGAGTTTTCGATTAAGCCACGCCTCGAAAATTTGCCAGGCAAATGTTGATCTGCGTCTGACAATGCGCCTCCTTTGAGTGTCCTTGTAGTTAAATTGCCCATCAGATGTAATTGCCAAGGGGAATCGTATATAGTAGCTCGACTACCTGACGGTGGAATGTCATCCTGCATCCTTGTATCATTTATTAATAAAGCAGCCGGAGCAATAAAACTTTTTTGTGCCTTGAGTCCCAAACTGACAGTCCAAACAGTAATCTAAATAGGAAAACTTTTATGTAGGTCCTGCCGAAAGAAAAAACTAAACATGCCAGGAAAGTTTCTGCCAAACACAATTTTCCGCCCGCACTCACTCGTATTCATGGCCTTTCCTACTTTCTACTTTCAAAGGCAAAAAGGCGGGATAATTCAATGAAGAAGCGAACTGCTCCTTTTTACTGCCAACATGTGGGTAATTTTTCCATCGAGTTTTCAGGTCAATCCTTTGGCAATACAGGGCGTATGCGTAATTCATCGGGCCAGGCTCTGTCTCTCATTATTGCCCAGTGCTAACGTCATCAGCATTATTACTATATAAGTGTTATTATGTCAAAACTTCCTTGGGTTAGCATAATATCCTTTTTCCTCCAGCTCCTTCCTATCCCTGCCGTCCTTGTAGCCTGCGCTTTCATTTATTCGTCTGTGAAGAGACGCTATGGGACTATGAGAAGCCTTTTGCCTCTGACATTTTGTCGTCGGCTCATCGCAATCATAATTTCCATCTTTATGAATTTTAAATGAGACAAGGAGTCGGCGGAGGACTCGGATTCTCCCTGCAGCTGACAAACTTTGCACGCCTGTCACTGTGAATTTCAACTAAATTTTTAATAAGATGCCCGCCTGGATGCCCAGACGCCCGGCATCTGCCCGGTTGCCACGCCCAATTGTCGCATAAGAGTTTATGCCGTATTTAGTTGGGTAAATATTTATTTGATTGGTGTTCCTGCTTCGTCGCACATCGGATTTGAATATATATTCTGTCTGTGAACAGGAAACGGAAATTGTGCGAGGTTGGCAGTATTGTCATCGATGCGGAAATGTAAAGAAAAATCTTTTTTCGTCGTTGTGAAGGATATACGTATGTATGTATATCCGTCTGGCTGATATGATAAATGATTCTGAAGTGGAACTGATGAGGCACGAGGAAAGCTCATTAAACGTAGAGTAAATGTATGAAGAGTGTTTTTATGCAACCGGCATTGCAATCGAGGATTCTTGACTCATTAAAAATAATTACACTCCCCAAGTGTTAGTCTTTAAAGTGGGGCGACATAGAATATATAAAAAATATAAAATAGGACAAAGCAGAAGACATGCCATCTAAGATGACAGCGAGCTTCCACTAGAGATGCCATAGCATTTGAAGTGCAGTAACTTAAAGAAATGTTTCACATAATATACCAAATTTACCATATTTGTATATACCGACAGAAAATAAGATTCAATTGATAAAATAAGAAAAGCAATATTAATTGTTGCGAATAGCAAAGCGAATTGTCCATTAATGGACAAACTTTCGGCTAGTAAATCTAGTGAGTGAGTGAACTCTTACTCATATCTAAAAATGAAATAGAAAATAATATAAAAAGAAAAAAAATCTCCATTAGCAGAAGTAACTTAAGGTTCCATAATTGCATAATGTGTAAAAAAATTATACAGCAAAAAAAAATGAAACTTTCTTTAATTTTAGACAACTAATAAGGGTGCAGATGTATAGTTAAACCACAAATACCAGAGCTTTGACTGTGACTGCGGTGGTAGACAGGGTAGGTTACTTATTGGCAATAAAAAAAAAAAAATTTATGAAGGACATGACGAAATTCAAAAAAAGGAATGGGACTAATATCTTTTTTATTCAATTGGAATAAAACAGTAAATAAAAAATATATTAGTAAAAACAACTAATTAATAAGAAAAGAAGACTTCCATTGGCTTTAAGTAAATTCACATAAACATACCAATAAGAAACCACGGTAAAATTTTAGATATTGCTCAAAATAAATATAAAATAAGGATATAAAAAATTTGAGCTGTACATGAAAAGAACATGAAGAAGATAGAGACCCGTGTTAAGAAACCAAAGGAAAAAAAAGAAAAAATATTAATAATCATTATTTTAAATCAAAAGTAAGGTGCGACCTATCTCACATTTTTTGAGGACCAGAGTCTGCTTAGTTGACGAGCTTGGTTTAAAAATTGCATAATAACCTTTCCTCAGCAGCTTGGAAGGCAGTGGCCTGAGACATATATTTTTCCAAATATATATAAAAATAAGGAATACAAAAAATAAAAATATATTAGCAAAAAAAACTTATTAATAAGAAAAAACTTTCATTGGCTTTGTAAAGTAAATTCACATAAACATACCAATAGTAGTATAAATAGTAAAATAAAAAAGTATGGAGATATGCTAAAGATACTGCTCAAAATAAATAAAAAAAAATAAGGCGCTTATTTGGTGGCAATATAATGTGCCGTCAATAAACCAATGTAAAAAAAATAATTATTATTTTAAATAAAAAGTGAGGAGCGACCTGACCCGGCCAGGAGCCAGGAAGCAACTGAACAAATTGGATGGGAATGGAAGACTACTTAGCTACTTAGACAAATTTGGCCTAAAAAATGCATAATAACCTACTGATGATTTGTTGGAATTTATTAGGACTTTTTGAGCTTTTCTGATATGGCAAGATTTAAATTTTTTTAATTGGTCTCACTATTTGGCATTTATTTGCCTCATGGTTCGAGCAGTTGGCGCGTTTGCTTAAATCAAATATTTGTTTTCAAAATATGTGTTAAATTGTATTCACCACCCGTCCCACTATGTCAACATCCTTCCACATCCTGTTTGCTTCATTCTGCGGTATTTTGCTTGAAATAGAACTCTGAGCTTGCAGCTTGGTTGGCCGAAAACTTTGTAAACAAAAACACACATCGAATAGATGCCAGGCATGAGGAGCTGGATCAGTAAGAGTATAAAATGGTAGGCGGGCAAGTGGCAGGAGCCGGGGGCGTGGCAGGACCAAAAAGGCTTTGCGCTTTCGCTGGCTCTGTTTATAAAATCTTCTTGCCGTCTCCGGGCAAGGCAGCAAGTTCAACAGAGAGATGTATATACATATTTAACTCTTTGGCATATTATGGCTTTTATATTGAGTTGTTTTGGTCTTATCTAGTTTACGGCCGAAAGGATTGGGCCATAACAAAATGGCATGGAACTTGTCGAAGCTCCACTCGAAATATATATTTGTTATGGGCGACATTGAAATTTGTTTCCAACTGTCGTTTGAGATAAGCGACCCGGTGTTCTAGGGCTAATTTCAGAGAAGGATCGGGGTGCATGGCCTGATAATGTGGCATAAATTACGTATACGCCGTGCGGTCACCGAAGAAATGTAAATCATTTGCAAAGTGACTGGGCTAAGTGGTGGGGCAACCGAGCAGCTGAGTGGTTGCAGATAGGAGAGCATTAACATAAATTACCTTGCACAACGATCCGAGCTTGTTCCAGTGCCAGCAGCCGCAATCACACAATGCCACACACACACATACATAAACACTAAGACTAAGGACGCCGGATGTGGGTTAAAGGATGCGGGATGCGGGTTGCGGGTTCTGAGTTTCAGGTTACGGGTGGCGGTGGCAGACAGGACAAATACAAAGGCATAGAAATGAAGTGGTTAAGTGGCCGACTTGCAGGACTTCCAGGACACACACACATACAGAAACAGACGGAGGAGTCACGCACGCAGTGGCAACTTTACAGGATGTTTCAGCAGCAGCAAGACGAATCCTTGCACATTTCCTATGTGCCTCCGGCGGACGAGGTACGTGACACGCTGGCATGTCCCCGCATCTGTGGGATAGGGCCGCCACTGGGCGCTGCAGTCGGCGTTGTCGGTTGCAGAAGCGGCGAGTCCAGGCTGCCGTTGCCCCCTCCTCCTGCGGCCAAGGAGCTAGGGACCGGAATACTGCTAGTGGCACGGGTCAGGAACCAACAGTCCATGGGCGTCGGCTTGCCCTTCATGATGACCGGTCCGCGGTACTCCAAGTTAAATGAATCATCCTGGTTGATCGGTTGACAGAGGAGTCTGCAAAAAAAAAAAAAGCAGAAGCGGAAAAAGAAACCATAAGTTATCAGTCGGGAGAGGGGATAAAAAACATTTTGATTTATAGACCCCTAGTTTAAAGGGAATCAGATGCTGACTCGATGAAATATTACTAATCTTTCGTTTCATTTTTTAGAGTTACATATATGTATATACTTACAAAAAATAAAACCTTTAAGAGTAACTAGACCTCTTAAGCTATAAAATACAAGTTTTTTTTAAGGATAACTTGCATTTAGAAACATGACTGATGTTAAGGACTAGCCTTGACTGGTTAGAATGCACTTCTGCACAGCATTATTCATTTCAATCTCTATTTCTCTCATAATAAATTGCAGTCATAATTTCTCCCTGTGCGACAATTCTCTACTCCTAGAAAGCATCTCATAAAATTATGTAGATTCGTTTTTATACCCACACACACACATGATAAGAGCTCATGTGCAACGGAAGCGGAATAAAAATTCGTCTGGCTTTGTGTCCATGCATTTCCGATTCCGTTGCCGACAACCGCAGCCCGCACACTTTGTTGCATTCACAGGGAGCCATTTATTTTCATATATTGACAGCCATTGCTAGCCAATGATTGCATATACATTTAATTCAATTTATACGCAACCTTTGCGGCTCCGAATAACCGGCATATGGCCACAATTGCATTGCCAATGACCGCCCTTTTAATTAGCGCTCAGGTGAGCCCTGATCAGATCAGCATATTGCCATATTTCTCTGGCCAACCAACCAGACGACCAGCACAAATATCCCTCATTTAATGGACTTCACTTAATTACCCTCCTTTTGAGTCCTTGGTAGCCGGTGGAGATTATTTTTGCTTTTCGCATGTATGGTATTTGCATATGCGATTAAGGCGAAGAACCCGAAAAGTCACTGCCAGACATTATTATCCTGCCGTCATCATCTCATCATCGCATTGCCTCTGCGATGGAACCGTGTGTGCGTTCTTAATTAATGTTTATGGCAGTGCTTAAATATTTACCCGACGCTTAATTGTCAGCCCAAATATTAAATGTGTAAATACTGCCACTGATGCCGCCGCCATATGCGGAGAGTGAGGGCCTGAATAATTTAAGCCAAAAATTGATATGTGTAGCTATATGCTGCATAAGCAAAACGTAATAGGAAAATGAGTAAACATTGTTTGCAATTATTATTTTAAAGCTCAAATAAATTCGTGTGAACACATAAATTTGCATTGCATGCGGAAGCTAACTCTTGCATTTTAAATGCCAGGAATAAATAAATATTTCACTTTATCGAAAAGGCCGAATTTCTATGAATCAAGAGCAACCAAGTTAAGCAGCAACTTAATCAAATTATCACTTAACGTTATTATCAAATTAAAATTAAATCCATGGATGTAGCAATGGATTATTATTAAATTTTCATTATTACATTATTAGTCAATATAAAATATTTATAAGGCAAAACATTGTTTTCTATCAAGCTTTAATATTTTCATGATCCTTTTATATTGACCTTGGGGATGCCCTTCCCCCAGGATAATTGCATTTCAATTCCATCACTTGTGGCCATTTTGGCCCCCTCATGCATTTTTCACATTTTGAAGGGGACCCCAACGAAAATTTGACAAAAAATCTAAAAAACAAGAAAGGAAAGCTAACTTCGGGCGGAGCCGAAGTTGATATACCCTTGCAGTTAAAACCGGAATATAGAATAGAATCTGTACCAAGTTCCAGCTTTCTATCTTCAAAAACACGAAAGTTGGGTCATTTCCGATCGTTCAGTTATATGGCAGCTATAGGATATAGTCGGCCGATCCTTATGAAATTTGGTAGGTTGGATCAACTGACCAAAAATAGAATCTGTATTAAATTCCAGCTTTCTATCTTCAAAAACACGAAAGTTGGGTCATTTCCGATCGTTCAGTTATATGACAGCTATAGGATATAGTCGGCCGATCCTTACAAAATTTGGCATGTCGTATTATTTTTGCCGTATAAAATTTGAACTCTCTAACTCTAAAAACAACGAAGTTATACCATTTCCGATCAATCAGTTATATGGCAGCTATAGGATATAGTCGGCCGATCCGGGCCGTTCCGACTTATATACTGCGTGCAAAGGAAAGAAGGGTGTGTGCAAAGTTTCAAGACGATAGCTTTAAAACTGAGAGACTAGTTCGCGTAGAAACGGACAGACAGACAGACGGACAGACGGACAGACGGACATGCTCATATCAACTCAGGAGGTGATCCTGATCAAGAATATATATACTTTATAGGGTCGGAGATGTCTCCTTCACTGCGTTGCTCACTTTTGACCAAAATTATAATACCCCCTGCAAGGGTATAAAAATTGTTGGACGGATTTAGATGCAGATTGGTAGAGAATCGATCTACAAATCGATTAAGGTATTCCGTTTAATAATCGGATGTGTTTTGGCAAAGATATAGCCTTCACCGTTGGCCCCCTCATACATTTTTCACATTTTGAAGGGGACCCCACAGAAAATTTGACAAAAAATCTAAAAAAAAATTGTTGGACGGATTTTGATGCATATTGGGAGAGAATCGATTTAGAAATCGATTAAGGTATTCCGTTTAATAATCGGATGTGTTTTGGCAAAGATATAGCCGATGGCCATATTGGCCCCCTCATGCATTTTTCACATTTTGAAGGGGACCCCACAGAAAATTTGACAAAAAATCTAAAAAAAAATGGTTGGACGGATTTTGATGCAGATTGGTAGATCGATCTACAAATCGATTAAGGTATTCCGTTTAATAATCGGATGTGTTTTGGCAAAGATATAGCCATTACTGGTGGCCATATTGGCTCCTTGGGCATTTGTCACATTTTGAAGGGGATCGATGATGATCCCCAGATGAATCGATTGAATGTAACACAGAAGAACTCTGAAAGATTTTTCTGAAAAAGCGAATGAAATTTGTAACAAAAGTCGTATGTATTTAAAAATTTTGTTATTATAAAATTATAAACTTTTTTAAACCTTTTTTTTACCATATACACATTATTAAAATAACCAAAAAATGTTTTTTACTTTTGAGACCGTGGGCCAGATATAGAAATACACTTTTAATTGTCATCTAATATCGTTTTATATATATGAACCACATATTAAATTAGTTTAACGCTCTCCAGGCAGCAAGAGAGTAAGGGTGGTGAGGCAGAGAGAAAGTGGGCTGGAATAAGGGAGAGCAGGTAAACAGCTGAGCGCTTTTACAATTTTGTTTAGTTTATTTTTTTCAGACCGACGGACCTAATGTGGGGTGCTCTCAGTGCTTTGAAAAATTGTTTGAAAAATTGTGAATAATTGCGCAATTCAATCATTTTACGTCTAAAATAAAAGGCCTCGTATACCATTGAACTATAATCCTGTTCAAAAAATTGAAGTGGCCATTGAAATCTACTTGTGCGCTTGTAATCAAACACCTGTTTGCCAATTGCCGGTTATTGAACGAATAAATAAAGGTTAAAATGTACATATAGTGGTTTGAATTGCTAGGGAATATTTTATTGTGGATAAATATAAGCCTGCTTAATAGTTTTTCATATCATTTCACTTGTTAATCGCTTGTTTATGTTTATCGCATGTTTTCATTGTTTTGATATTTTCTCTCCACATCGTTGCCAGCTTGAAAAAATCAATAGCGAGAGAAAGGCACAAAAAGAGAGTACTCTCTCACCCCAAAATTCATGGGACTTTCTCTTTTAAATTATAACTGTTCATTCGCCGCTTCTGTTCGGGAGTTTTTCTAACGGCATTTGACAAATTTAAACTTTCGGAGGGAAAAAATAAACGTTTTTATTTATAATTTTTTTCTCATTAAATTAAGTGAGTTTTTTATGTGAAATGTTTTTGCAGTTGCTAAAGGCTTTCCAGCGGCTCGTAAGTCAATTAAAAAGTCAATTTGTGTGGGTTCGCTGTTGGTTGCCAATACCGTTGCATTTGTACGGTTTCCGGCGGGAAACTGAGTCACGAACACGGTTACGGCTACGGGTGAAGGAGAAGGTACGGCAAGAGCCCGGACAACGGTCCGGTCACCAGTCCGATTGGCGCATATCGCGTCGTCATCTGGTCATGGACTTCATATTCGAGTGCTTCTTTGATGACACCTTCGCCCAGATCACCCGGAACGGCCTGCAGGATCGCCAGTCTCGCCGGGATGTCCTGGACCACCTTAGCGCCATCATCAAGGGCTGTAGCGAGGGCCAGAACACGCAGACGGACGAGGTGGCGGCCATCGCGGTGACAGCCGCCATGAGGTTCCATCGTCTGGCCAAGGAGCAGAATGGAAAGGTAACGCACTTGAATGTCTAAGGGCTTGGTTTTTTTTTTTTTTAATTTTCCAAGATTTTATACAAGCGCACAGTCTCTCAAATATTTTTAGTTTATGAAAACAATGCTCAACAAAGGCGGTTTCCATTTTTAATAAAACAATATTCCCCCAAAAGAAGTTATTAAAAATTCTTTGAAATGGAATCCCTTTTCTTTTTGTCGAAATTCTTTTCCTATTTAATTATGTTTCCATTTTGTCCATCTCTGTTTGAGCATCCTTTGGCAATTATACCTAATTCATATTGGAACGCTTTGTGACCTAACCTAACCTAAATGAATCTGTTTCGTACCGTTTCCCACAGGTATGCCTCATGGGCAAGTATCACAACATCCTGTACATCGGACTGCGCACCTGCTGGGATTGGGGAGTGCGCGACTCCGAGGTGGTCGTTCAGCTGCTGGGTAAGCCAAACGCAAAGTCGGAGCAAACTCAAAGCGGCAGCCCAACTAAATAATTTAATTTATATGCATATGTATGCGGTGGGACATTCACTGGGTGTGCACTGAGAAAAACTTTGGACTGAGTCATAAAATAAAAAAAAACATTTAAAAGTCGAGCTCTCTACTTTCAAAGAAATTTAAAATCTATTCAAGAGCTCTAAAATATTTTTAATCGGATAAGTTAAAAATATCAAACTTTTCCTAGTGTATTTTGTGTTTCTTTGCCTTGTATCCTGTGTATATGCGTATTTGTTTGGGGCGTGCCTGTTTGCTTTGCATATTTTAATGAATATTATCCCATCGCATCAGATTATTACGCTCATAAGCAGGCTGACTGGCTGGCTGGCTGGCAGTTTTAACTTTAATCACGTGTTTCTGCTAATTGCGTTAAGAAAGTGTTGCTAATGTTGTTTTGCTGCCGCTGCATCGTAAAACTTGTAAAGTGCCCTAAAGTGTTGCAAGTTATTTGGGGCAGACGTATGTATACGTATACGTAGGGCTGTGTTAGGCTCTAATTAAAATGCTGCGTAAAGTTTGCCAGGCAGGGAATGTGCCAGAAATTAATGGCGTGCCTCTGTCATGGGATCTGGACTCGTGTGCAATAAAACTTTTGCTCCTTGTTTGTCCTGTCCGCACATCCCTGTTTTGCTGCCTCATTGTGTTGTCGGTTTTTTGGGGGCATAAGCCCCCCTCCAGCTTCTCACTTTGTTGCTTGCCAACCTTGTTGGTTGGCAAACATTTTCGGCAACCAGTTTCCGCTTTCCACTGACTTCATTTCATGAGCCAAAAGCCAAAAAGCCAAAGAAACCGAAAGCCAAAAGGAGTCAGCCAAGCAGCAACAAGTGCATCTACGTAATTAGCTTTATTATGACGGCTGCCGCTGGGATTTGATGACATTATTTAACCGTTTTTTTGCTGCATAAAATAAAAGCCACAATTTAATTCTGGAGCGAGATGTTCTAAGCTGAATTTAACGACAATTTTATTTTTTAATATTCCTAAAATGGTAAGATTAGATCTAGTTTTTAATTTTGAATGAAATCCCTGTTTTAGTGGCCATCTATGAGTGTGAAAAGACTTTTGAAAGGATTTTTTTGGGCGCACTTTTTGGACCACATGCCCCGCACTTCATTGCCGGCTGGCGCAGCGACTTTCAGGACCAGGTGAGAAGTGTCAAGATCCCTTTTATCCCTTTTGAGGTACTCATGTTAGCCCTTTGTTTCCAGAACGAGAATGTCCGGGCCATGGTTTACTTTTTGAAGCATGCCACACGCGAGAAGCTCACGCTGCCCGTCTGGATTCCGCGCTTTGAACAGGAGCGACAGCTCAGGTGAGTTCTCGCCAAGTTTGGCTTTCTCCTTGCGCTTTCACTCATGCTTTCTCCGCCTGGATTTCACGTGCCACACTTTTTTCTGCCTCGGGCAATTTTCACACTATCCGGGTTAATTGGATGGTCTGGTGGGATGACAAGTGGAGCTCTCTATTTGCGAGAACAGATTGTTCGTACAACATGACATTTATGACTCTCTTTTAGGATGAATGGATCTGAATACATGGTTTCTAAGTCATTTTGGCTTTGATTTCAGAATCCTTCTGGTCTCTACTCAAAATTATTTCTTAAATCATTTACCCTTTAAACAAGTAAACCTTTCCGTTCCTTAATTGTAATTACTATAGAAGTTGTACTGAAAATAATTATGCTTTTGAATGAAAATGGGATGCCATAAATAACCTCTGGGAATATACAAGAAGAGTGTGAAAAGTAACGAGTAACCAGAGAAATGAAAGGATTTTAATTAAATTAATACATCAGCCATTGTTGTGGCGACGTGTGGGTGTTTGTGTGTGCTTCTGCCACAATTGAGTGAAAGATGGCGACACTCTGCAACCACACAGACAGATACACTCTCGCCCACAGATACAGATTCAGATTCAGACTCAGATTCAGGTTGAGATTCCCTCAGACAATGGACGGGTTGTAGCGGCTCTCAATCACTTTTTCTCGTCGGGAATGCTGTCACTTCCACTGGTAGTGCCCCATGTAGTGTGGTGGTGTCATGTATAATTAAGATTTTCATTTGCAGTATGCTATGGGGTCGGTCGTCTCATTTTCCTGCAGCTTCTGAGATGAGATTTATGCACATGTGAGGGTGTCACTGATGCGATAAGCTGAAAACCAACTGGCAGCGTTGTAAACCTTTTGTTATTTCGGCTTTGTTCGGCAGCACTCCGGAGGATTAAAGTCAAAAATGCGTGTAATAAGCGCACAAAGCTTTCTCAACCCCACCACGCCCACTAAGCTATACAGACCCCATCCGCACATACTCCCACTACCCACTGTTTGCACTGCTTGAACCAACAGAAGACAAAAAACTGACTGGCAAACATTAAGACGACATTTATGATGCCCTCTCGCAAAGGCAACGGCAACGGCAGCCCAACTCATGAATAAGCGTTAATAGCTGCAAATGTATGTGCTGAAGGGGCATCTATATAGTACAAACATATGGGTTGGGTGTGTGTTTGGAGAGCAAGCAATGTGACAATAAACGTTTTGGCCAAATGCCGTTAGAGCTGCATAAATCAGCCATGAAGCAACATATTGGCAAGACACGCTCTTAAAGACAGCATACGGAAAAGTTATCTAATTTAAGGTTGTCAAGATTTCAAGGCTTATATTTTTGGCTATTTCAAATGAATCTTTAAATAATTCGAATAACATTTTAAGCTTAAGCATTAGAAGCTGTTCTTTGCTTAAAAGGCCTCACAGACACCCCTGTCGTTTGTATTTAATTATTCATAAAATGTGCAATAATGAAATGCAATGCTGAAGTAATTATTACGCTTCTCCAGGCACACCATAAAGCTATTAAGATAGTTGACTTAATGACTCTCCGAATAAATTAATGCATTTGAGAAGTAAAATTGCATTAAGCAGGGTTTACGGTCCTGGCCGAAAGAACTTACTGTTGAGACAGTTATTACGAGCTAATACCCCTCTAAATGCAGCATTAGACGAGAATTCGTTTTGTCAGCCACCCTCCATCAGCTGATTAAATTGTTAATGTTTGATTTTACGGGTAAATCTGTTCCGAGTGGCAGAAGCTTATAGCTTTCAGCTGACAGTTGATACAGAGAATATATATCCTGAAAATCCTGAGAACTGGCAGGCTATGGGCTATGAGAGTGTCATTGAGGAACTGTCACGGGATGCGAGTTGCAAATGTCTTGATTCTTGGTGGGACCCGTTTTTATCGCTGCCAATAAAACGCAAATGAATTTGCTAAGGCAATTTCCACGCTGCCACGCCAAGGATGTGAGGATGCTGGCTCAAAATGCGCTTATCGTCTGCTCAGCAGCGTAGGTGTAAGGCTGTCACTGACGCTGTGTGGGTTACTTCCGGTTTATTGTGGTTTTTGCGCTTTTATTTGCCTACTTTTATGCGTAGACATAAAAGCCCAACAAATACGTTGGTGTTAGTGTGTGTGGGTGTGGTTGTGTGGGTGTGTGAGTTAGTAAGTGTGAGTGTATTGTGTCGCAAATGTGTCTTAAGTGCATTGTACATGCTAATGCTTGAATGGAGACAAACGCCTTCCATTCACTTGCCACATTACGTATACGCAATGTTAAAACGAGCATGCACTGAGAAGAAATGCTGATTTGTGTTTCTAATTTGGAGAAATAAGGGATACTTTTTTTATAGGAAAAGTTTTTATCTAGCAACTGCTTGAAGCTTTTATCTCCTAAACTTTCCAACAAAAACTAAAATCCTTTTTTTTTCTTGTACTGGTCCATGGCTGGTGGGAGAAAAAGCAACAAGCTGAAGCTTAATTGAGGTCTGGACTCATTTTCTCAGCTCCTGTGCTGTGTCCTGCTAATGTGCAGAGCCCATTTTGCCTGTTGCCCATTAAAGCTGCCACAAGTTTGGCCCTAGCTTAACTTTGGCCATTTACCCGCCCTAATACTGACTTTGTTCTTTGTTTTCTGTTTATCCGTAGATTCATTGATGTGCCCATTGAGTCCTGCGGAAGATCCTCGCCTCTACGCATTGCCCTGCAGGCGAATGCTCCCGAGCTGCTGCTCATACTGCTAAGGTGAGTTGCTACACATCCTTGAATGGAATGAGGCGGATTAATTCCAAGGAGCTGCAAGGAAGCAAGGAAGTGCTGGGGACTGCCACTTCAATTAGCGCGAAATATGCAAAGCGGTCGCCACTTGGCGGCGCCGCAATGTATGCAACATAAAGTACAAGACGCTTAGCATAAGCAAGTGGTCGCCCAGGCCACAAACAAAAAAAGGAAACGCCAAGAAAAGAAGATGGGGCCCGCTAGTGGGGGGCCGGGGGTATGAGAAATAAAAGAAAAAATTATCATTAAATATGAAAGACGCTGCCAAAGCGAATTTGCATCACAAGGCGGTCGCCGGCGAGTCTCAGGGCCCCCTGAGTTGGAACCCAAAAAGCAGCTTGTAAAAAGTTACGAGCATGCACTCGGCGACAGCAAGAACAACAAGAGGCGCGTCCTCAGCCGAGATTCATAAATTTATATGTAAACGCCTGCAGTTTTCCCCTTGTCCTTCGTCCTTGACTTTCGGTCCACCCTCTCAGCTGCCAACCCGGCCAACCTCCCCCGAGTGAGCCTCGCCTCCGCAATTTATTGTTTCTTAACTTGATATCGCGGAACGGGCGGCGGCGGCGGCAACTGCCACGCCCCATTGCTCGCCCAGCCATTTTGGCTCGGTTTTCAATTTTTGATGCAGCGCCAAAAAGTATGCTTTGCATAAAATGCGAATATTGATTGCAGGCCAAAAAGGCAAGTCACAACAAAGTATCTTCCAAGTGGAAGAGGATTCTGGGTGGCAGAATGGCTTGGCTGGGATGGCAGGACTCTTCGAGCGAAAGTTTCTGTCAGCAAGTCGCGGCCGAGATGCTTGGGCTGTCAAAGTTTATCTTGAAGGTTGACTGGCAGGCAGCTTGAATTTCATTAGATAGTGGTTTGATCAAGAAATTATTCCATTTCGGAAGGGTCTTTCATATTGGAGTAGCTTCCTGGTAACACATTGCATTCTATATGGTAGACTCTAAGCAAATTTTAATGAAAAAAAAAAAAAGATTTGGATTTTGGATTAATTAATTACAAAAGTGAAATAGATTTCTTAGTTTTGGGCCTTTCTAAAGCCCCTTAAAATTTAAAATTTAAAATTTTGTTTAACATCCCTGCTCCAAAATGAGAAATACATTGAGACTTTGAGGCAAAGGCTGGGCGCATTATGAGGCAAAAGGGCATCCTGGCCTGCGAATTCCGCATGAGATTGAGATTCCTACCAGCTGTGCTGATTGCGCCCAGCAAATTGCAATTGCAATTGGAATGGCGCTGGCTTCGATTGATGGCAAATGTTTGAGTTTGGCTTGCCAATTCCCCGCTGGCCGTTCTCCCCTTTCTCTGGCCCCGCCCCCGATGCCGATTCTCTGGAGAATTCAGACGGGGAGGTGGGTGCGTTTTGTTGTTGATTTTCGTGTTTCTGTTTTCTGTGTTTTCGGTTTCTGCGTCGTCGCCTTTCCGCCTCGAATGATTTCGGTTCAGATGCTTCAGTTACTGATGCTGATGCGGCCATAAATTTTCGATATTGTTTCGCTTTTGTGTGTTTTAATTTGCGTTTCGCTTTTCGCTTTGCTGCATTTTCCATTTGAAATTGGCCATAAAGTATGCAAATGAATACGGTGAGATGGTCTTTTTACTTTTTATCCACTGCCAGATACAATTTGCTCATATTTTTCCGAGTGCGCTGCAAAAGTGATTTACTTGTGCATAATTGCGTATACGCCGTGGTGGCCGAATCATTGTTTATGCGATGTCGGATGGAAAAAGAGCAAATAAATAACTGAAACCTATAAATTAAAATGCTTATCGAGGCCGCGAGCGGGTGGACAGATTTTTGACAAACATTTTCAATTTAAAAAGTGACAACCTTGTGCTGGTGCCACATAAACATGCCACACTTTGCACTTCATTTGCCATTTGCACAGGTCCATCGGCTCCTCCATTTTGTTGCACCATGTAGTGGGTCTGTTGCACAACGGACACAACCGCGAGGCATGTCTGTTCATTATTTCATTTGTACATTGCGTTTATCGGGCCATCTAGCATTTATTACGCCCCCACCTTTCCACCCCGTCTGGCCCCTTCAATAACCGCAAGCAAACCAACTACGTGCTGGCAGCTTGTATCTCATTTGCAAACAGTTACCGTTGCCACAGTCTCAACCTCTGACCTCGACACTCTTGCAGATACGGCGCATCACCACAGCCACCGGACGGAGGCACCTCCGTAATTATCGCGCTGCTCGACAAACTCATCGAAAATGGCCGCAATTACAGCTGCGAACTGATCATGTGCCTCAAGTTACTGCTACGAAATGTGGCAATGATAGAGATGCCTTTCAAGGTGAGTTAGTAATTAAAGGAGGAATTTAATTAAGGCCAGAGTTATGTAAGGCAACTTGATTCTTGAGTCCAAATTAATTGATTGAAATTGTAAAAAAAATTTAAAAGCTGGAATTAAAGTTTATTAAAACTAACACCTTAAATTAGGCAGCTTATAACCTGCTTTTAATGATTATTTTACTAAGTATTCACTAAACACCCGGATATTAAGCATTTCCTTGTAATAACAATGCCTTAACATCAAAATATAACAATGTCCTTCCCAACCATTTCTATTTTGTCCCTTGCAGCCCCTATTGTATGGCGCCAGAAGGGAAATGTTTTTCGAGCGCTACGGTCGCCTTTTGATGGACAAAATTATTGGGAAGGAACAGGTCTATGGAGTGCCCACCCTCCGACATTTATGCCGGTAATTATCAACTTTGAACTGTCATTTGTTCGTTGGCGGAAGAGGAAACTCCCTCGAACACTTGACTTTGTGACTAACAATGAGTGGGCCTGGTCTGGCCTGGCCTGTGTGGTCTCCGTGAATGCCGGATGGTAAGAGATTAGGGCGGGCCGAATGGAGTCTGACAGCCATAATAAGTTTCACTTTTTTATTCAATTACTTTGGCTTAGTTGCCGCCATGTCCTCCCCAGCTCCGTTCGCCACGGCTGCTTAACTTTCTACGGGCAGACAATTCTGTGATAAGCCCCAAAAATGAAATAAGCATAAGACACACGGAGGCCCAGCTGACTGGTTGACGAACTGACAAACTGACAAACTGACAAGCTGACTGACTGACTGGGTGGCTGAATGACAAACCCCTGACTCCGCCAACTGGCAGTTTCTTTTCAGGCTGCCTTTGTCATGTGGCTTAATGCAAGTTGGCCTTTCTTTCATGAATTTTGTGTCAAATTCGGGTCGAAACTTTGTCGCATGCCTCACTGGCTTTCTGGCCACAAATTATACGTGCTAGTCAAATGTCTGTTGGCCATGTTAATGAATTAAATCGATGCGAATTTCTTTGCCACTTTGATCGTTATTTAATCGAGAAGTTTTGTCAGCCAGGCTGTCTTTTAATTCAATAAGTTGGCATTTGCTGTTGACACGGCCCCAATATGGTTTCGATTCTATCCACATATATGCTATGCGGTGTGTGGTAGGTAAAAATACAAACGTATGTGGCACATATATTTGCGTAGCGCTTGATGGTGACCCGGTGTGGGTACACAAATAGCAAAAATACGAATTTATTTGCCTCCATCCGCTCACGTGTCGCAAAAATGTCCATTGACTTTGGCTCTCGTTTCAACTGAGAGTCGTTGGCCAGTTTTTCCCCAGTTCCAGTTTGTTTGCCAGTTTGTTTTCCTTTGGCCAATGTTTGCTGGGGCAACTCGCGATCTTGGCCTGCATTCTGCACAGAATGAACTTAAAAGAGAGCGCAAGGGTAAAAATATTGCTTAATCTGATTTTGTTTTTAAGCTTTAATAGGATTATAGCTTATCCCATGTATGCTTTTATAACAGGAATTTGTTTCGTTTCAAATTGTAATTTTCTTTTGAAATTAGTCTTCAGTTGTTTCACTGTACTTGTGATTGAGTTGGCGTCCTCTTGCCGAGGCTTCAAGTACTTCTGGCTGGCTTCAACCCTTTCCATTTTTTTTTGTGGATTTGATTTATATGGTCTGCGACAGTTCCTTTGGCCGTTGCTCGTATACTCGTAATTTGTAATTTCAATTTATGCAAATATCCTGGCAGTCCGGTCTGATTGCATGCATTACACATTACGCATTCCTCATTTCGCATTGACCTCAATCAGAGCCCGAGAGCCGAGCCAATCTGATGATGGTCGTCATAAGCGTATGAAGGAATTGCGCATACGCCCCGTAATCCCGACTTCCGGCTGCCCATTCGAAAGCTTTTTGTTCGTCTTTTTATGGCTGCTCAGTGGCTTTCCCTCGCTCCCATTTATTTCCCCCCACGGAAATGTGACAGCTTGCTTTATTGATTGGTCGAATTTGTCGGTGGCCATAAAAAAGTGCCCAAAATATGAAGCGAACACGGAAACTTGGAGGGACAAATTAACATGGACATAAACTGGGCCCCCTAAGGATCTCCTTGGCAGCCGATTAGCATGTTGTTAGTCCTATCCTGTCTGCACTTTATGAGGCCAATTTTTGGTGGCATGCTTGCGAAGAATTTCGGACAAGTTCTTAGTTATCAAAGCCACTTTAGAGCCGGTTTCACATACGCGGCAACTTTTCCAAAAGCTTTCTCTGCAGTACTAAGTGACGCAAGAAAAAAAGTGTATTCTCTGCCAATATCCGCTACTTTAACTTCTTCCTTGGGTTGCGACAGCCAAGTTTACTGAAAGTTGTGGCCCTCGTTCTTGGTTTTTTTGTTGGCCAGGCTTCCTTTCACTCACGCGAAAAGTTTTAAGCACATGAAGTTAGTTTGCTGCGCGGATTTTTCTCCTCACTAGCCGTATGAGCTTATTGTGGGAAACTTAAATTAATTTATGAAACATCCTGCTGAGATTGACAGGACCAGTGCCTAGAGCCAGCGCCAAACAGTCTTCAGATAGTCCAAACAAAAAAATTCTTATCAGCGGACTATTTTGAAGTTTTAAGATTGTTTTTTAGAGGAAAGGCGTCATAAGAACTGGGGAAAATGTGGGCTTTTGGTTGGGAAAAAATAATTTTCTTTCAATTTCTTCAAGTTAGAAGACTTGAGAGTTTCTTAATATATTTAAAATAGTTAAGTCTTAAATAATATATTATTTTCTATTTCTACAGCTGTGGCATTCGGGATGTCCTGCGGAACCACAACCAACTGCCCAATGGAATAGACACTCTGAGGCTGCCAAAGCGCCTGCAGCGTTATATTGACCTCACCGAGGAGCTGGAAGGTCCTGAAAGTAGGGGGCCCGACTCGGAGTCGGTCCTGCCACCAAAACCAAAGCTTGCTGTGGACTTTCCCCGGATGCCGACCATTAGCAGCGTGGAGGAACAGAGTGAGGACGAAAGCGAGAACCATGTGCAGCTCCTCGAGGCTGTAACGGATGCGGAAAAGGCTGCCGTGGCGGCCTTCGTGGCCACCAGCGACGGAGCAATTACGCCGGAGGCCAAGCAGGCTGCGGTGGCCGCCTATGTGGCCGCCTGCCCGCCGGACTTTGACCCCGACCTGCCACCCGATTTCGATCCCGATTTCCCATCCATTTCCGGTAAGCTGAGCTAACACTGGGCCAGTGGCTAAAACTCACCTGTAGGTCTCCTCACTGACGTTAATGCGGCCCGGAACACCCGTGGTCTCCGTCCGGCTGGTAAGGTTAACCGTGTTGCCGAAGAGACAGTAACGTGGCACTCGGTTACCAATAACGCCCGTCACTACTTCTCCAGAGTGGATGCCTATGGTGATTTGCTAAATAAAAGAAGGAAAATATATATATATAAGATAGAGCAACATGAAACAAAGAATTTATAATCGGAGTTTGTAAGACGAGAATTTATCTAGAAAATAAATAGCTTTCGAGCAGAAAGGGCACTTCATTGCGCTAATAAACTTTCGTTGGCAAGTCCCATCATCAACACCAGAAAAGTTCCCAACCGCAACGGAATGTTGCTGGCACAACCAGGCGAAAGTTGCCACAATTACTTTCCAAAAACTTGCAGCAGTAGTCGGAGTACGAAAAAGTTTTCTTTAATTAAATTTAAAACGAAATGAGCGTTGGCCAAAGTAGAGAAAAAGGACTCGCAAAAAAAGGACTCGCACTTTCGCCCCACATCCATGAACCTAAAAGTCCTCGTTAGTAGGTGACGATGTTGAAAATGGGGATAAAGGGGTGCTGGGATAAAGGGTTCTCTCAGCCAAGAGAATATGTGAAAAATGGCTAAGAGCGCCAACAGTTGGAGATAAAACCGAAGGACGAAAGCTGTAATTACCAAAAAAACATTACATAAAACTAATTGCCAAGGCAGCAGGGTACGATAAGCGAGCAATATTTCGAAACTTTTCGGGTCCGGAAGGACTTGGGAATTTCGCCGAAATTTCGCCAATCAGTTGTTGAAATCCAATCAGTGTGAAATGCATTTCTGTTTAATGATTTATCAGTAAGTCTGCAACAAAAGACAATCATTTTTTGTTTTGATTAAGTAATGAAGGGAGAAGAGTAACTTTTCTGGCAAAAATCAAATCAAATCTAACTTTAATTTTTCTGGGATTCAAAAACAAGGTAAAAAGACCTTAAAAAGACCTCCGTTGTTTAGTTTATTTTTAAATTCCATCTCATGGAAAATTTTTTTTTTAGTGCCCTGTATAGGTATATAAAATTCATGGTAACTGCAGTTTCTTTTTTGTTGAAAAACCAAATCAATATTTATGAACTGCAAGCACAGGAAGTAGCCAACAAAGCATTTGGCAAACAAACGCTGGGAGAAAGTGGGTGGTTTTAGTGGAGAAAGTGGAAAAGCTGAACAAAGTTTTTTGCATGAAGAAAAACATCGGAATAATTGGCTTCATAAACCGAGGGACTAACGGCGGGATGATTCGTTGGCTAAAAGCTGGCTGGGAGCTGGCTGGAAGCTGCTGTTTCTGCTTTTTATCGAAACTTAATGAAGCGCAAAATGACGCCAGTGGCGCTAAAGGAGGGCAGAAGGATACTAGCAAAAAAAAAATGGATAAAATGGAACAGAAATACTGAGCAAGGACAGTGCAACAGGCTCCACTTTCGCTCGTGTCCCAGTTTTTTTGTGAGAAGCTTGTTAATTGCATTGGGAGCGATCCATCAAATGTTGACTCGCCACGGCTATACGTGTCCCGTCTCGAATTCCCCCTTTTTTTTTGGTCAGACATCTAGGCATCTGAACTTCCGTCTAAATTACCAAAAGCAATCAGTCAAATGTGAAATACTGACAACCACAAAAACTGCAGTTCTCGGAGGCAAGGACAGATGGAAATATGTAGTGCGGGTTGTGGTGGGACGAGATGGATGATCTTCGAAGAGAAGAGTTCCTTCGAGCGTCGGGCAAGACGATAAGGTAATGGAATTTTAGTAACAGAAAAATAACAACAACATCAAGAACAAGAACTCTGACAATAAAGCCAAGTGACACGAGCCCCAGCAAGAGTTTTCTGTTTGTGTCTGCAGTTAAGACTTACGCTCACAATTGCTTGTATTTTCTATATAGTGTGTGGATAGATAGGGTGGTCCACTTTTATGAATATATTTTTTGTATATTCCATGGTGTTTGATTTAAAAAAAAAAAAACGGATTTAGAGGTTTTTAGGATAAAAATTTAATGCAAATTTAAATAAAAATGTTGACAAACGGCTTTCTGTTAATAATTGTTTAAAAAACGTGAACCAAAGAGAATAAAGTTATTAAATTTAAATAAATAAATATAATACAAATTTCAACAAAAGCTTAGTTCTTCCAAAACTTAAACTAACTTCCACAACTTTTCTAAAATAGTCTGAAATGTGTAGTTTTGAGCCACCCAAACACCCACATAGATGCCAAGACATGTGCAAAAAGTGACAGACAAGCCACAAGCATTGTCCACACGTACAATGCTGTAATTGTGAAGGATGCCATCAAGTGGGGCATCCGCATCCTCGCCCTCATCCCCAGCCCCAGCCCCCTGCTCCTGCTTGTCTGCGTCCTGGCCTCGTCCTGTGGATCAACCCTAGTCTTGTCCTGCCCCCGCCGCCTCTCCCCCTCCGGTTACCCCTTCTTCGTCTTTATCTGTGGCCCTGCATGTGTGCAGTGTATTTTAAGCTTGAGCACTCAAAGCAAAAGTGTTTAAGCCAAAAAAAGAGAAAAGCAAGAGATAGTAGCAGGCAGGCAGGCAGGAGTCTACACTGCCTGGTGCTCATCCTAGGCCACATCCTCGTCCTCATCTCAACGTCTCTGGTGACAGTTGACGGTCAAGTGGCTGCTGGCAAGGTTGTGGGGCCATGTAGCTCGGACCGTGGACCCTTTGACATTGTGTGTCATCAATTTTGAATTAATTTTAGCCATTTTCCTCATATTGCTAACAAAAACTTTTCGCCATGGCCATCACCCCCGCCTTTGACTGAAACTTTGATAAATTCACTTTTTTTCGCAGCTCGTACTACGAGCTGTTAATATTTTACGTGCACTTGCCACTCAATCCTTACACTTCGAGGGATCGGCGATGGGATAGACATTGAAATTTATGCTCCATTGAGTTGCTCCTGCTGCTGTTGCTGTGCAGTTGCATTCTTGTTGCTTTTCTGCTGCTTTTTTGTTGTTGCTTTTCTGTTGCTCGAATGGCGCATTCTGCAACAAATTGCGCGAATATGCTCAAGTTGCATGCTCACACGAACAAACACGACACAAGGAGTCGCGGGGCATGACTATCCTCCAACTACTTTCAATGCGCACAATTAGAGTGACGCCTCCCATGGAAAAAAGGAGAGCTGCTGCCTCACCCCCATTCCCCATTCAGCGAGGCAGTGGCACTTGAGAAACTTGAACACAAGTTGTCAGTTGTGAATGCATTTTTGTTGCACGACAAACTCTGTCCAAAATGTGCCACAATGGCGAAAAGAATGCCAACCAAAACTGTCACGAAATATGATAAAAAGCGGTCCAAAGATTCAAATGCAATTGCGGAAAATTTTATCTAAATTTTGTTAGCCTTGTCAGCTGCAGACATTAAACTGGAATTTAAACTTTCTCGCTTTTCATAAAGAAATCACTCACCACTGGATTCGAGCCCATTTTAACGTTCTTGGCCATGTCCATCATGTCCAGGGCCACGCGTGCCATGCATTTGGCGTGATCCTCGCAGGGGTCCGGTAGTCCTGAAACGGCCATATACTTATCGCCCACAGTTTCCACCTGAAAGCACAGACACGATGGCATTGAAAGTTCGTCAGAGCCGAATTGAGAGATGACCCGGAATGAGGCCGAAACTCTTTTTAGTGGGTGGTTGAAAAATTGCAATTAAATGGCCCAAACTTTTATTTGAACTCGGACCCACCTTGTACACGTTGAGGTTGCGTTTGGAGTCCGTGAGAGCATCGAATACAGTATAGAGTTCGTTGAGCATTTTCACGATTTTCATGGCCCCGTCGGGATCCGTATTGGCCGCACAGTATTGGCCAAAGCCCACGATGCCGGAGAACATAAGCGTCACGGAGTCATAGCTGTCGAATGTTGGCGGAAATGGATGTTAAAAAAATATATATATTTGCCATAAATAAGCGGACGAAAATAAAGTAAATTGTTTGCTTTCCCAGCTATATAATGTACTGATAAAAAAAAATATTAATGAAATTTTTCAGAAACTTGAATGAATGGAGTCTAGGCTGTTTTTAGATTTTGAAATCTTAAGATTCTAAGATTTCTGTGTTAGAGAATTCTTAAGTCTTTATGCATTTGATGTGAACTAAAGCTTTTTCTTGCAGTGCATTTTTCCCCTTATAGGAAAAAACGGAAATTGACTTTTTCTTACCGTTTGGGTGGCACTGGACGCTGATGTCGTAACTCATTCGCCACCGACTTTGGCAGGACCGAATAGAGCAGCCTGCGGAGTATGACAAAGTAAAAGTGCAGGTGAATCGAGGACTCAGGACATGGGACATGAGACATGGAAAAGTAATTTTAATTTCGCGCCTGAGAGAATGTTTCAGGGCAGGGATCCATTAGGTAGTCGGCACTGTCATTTGTCATTTACCTGTCGGTCTTCTGCTTCTCGCTCTCCAGATCGCGGAACGTCTGCTGCAGCTTATCCGTCAGCATCTCCAGGTTCTTGGTTAGCTTGTATTCGGCCTCGAATTTCTCGGATAGCAGCACCAAATCCCTGGCAGCATCGTGGAGCGGCACATCCGAAATGTAGAGTCCTTTCCTGGAAACAGAAACGCAGAGCACATGCCGCATTCCGGCGTGAGTTCAAAGATGAGGCAAGAAAACGAAAAATGACACGCATTTTATTTTACTTAAGACTTTACGGCAAATCGCCTGGCAGGAAATAGAAACACAAAAATCTCCATTAGACTGGGGGCGTCCAAAAGCATTTTTAATGTCACCCATAAATTTAGCTAGCTGAAGGCGCATTTGTTTCAATTTGGCTCTCATATATACACAAAACCCCGAGGCATGCCCCATAATGCCACCAACATTTAAGAGCTAATGTCTTAAATATGGGCTTGCTAAAAAATCAAGCCATCCAGATGGGTTTTAATATTTTAAGGAAATACGTATAAATGCACCTTTAATATTTCAATGTTCCCTGTAATATAAAATCTTTTTAAAGAACCATACTCACTTTGTCAGATCGTCCAGATTCATGACGCTCGGGTAGCATTGAAACAATATCCGATCCGTTTCCGGAATGTACATCATTTGTCCCTGAGGAGGAGCACAGAAGCGGAGAAAAGATTATTTCCTTAGGGGGGCTCTTGCAGGATAAGCCATTACAATAAAATTGATTTTTATGCTGCACTTTGCGGCAGGCCAGGCATTAAGTTTAATGCCGAAGGAGGCAGCTGTGCGTAAGAGTCGATTTGTTTTTGGGTTTTTCATAACCAGCATGGCCAGATTCCCCGATTTTGGCCACGTCTACAGAATTACTACTCACCTTCAGTCTCAGAAAGCGCTGCTCGTGCCGGCTGCTCATGGCTCCCTGTCGTGTCTGGAGCACATAGATGGTGTTTATGTGGGACAGGATGTTCTCAAAGTTGAGTTGCAGGTGCGGCCGGATGGCCTCTACCACCTCTATCAGTGAGCAGTTCTCTTCGGCGACTCTGTTGGGAAAAACAGAACAAAAATTGGGATATAATATGGATGTGGTTGACTTTTCTTGAAATATTTCTAAACATAAAGACTGCCTAATGATTTTATATGTTTTTTTTATATTTTCAATATTTTTTTAAGACTTGTCTACTATTATTTTCCCTGTGTATCAAAACAAAAGGGGCACAGGCAAATCAGTGTGTTCCACTTAGCTGAATGGCTAAGAGCTGGCCTGGTTCTCTCCCCTAATGGGCACTAATCGCAAACAATGGCTCATAACTAACGGCGGACTGCAAAGCCCGGGCAAGGACTCACCTGGGGATTACTCGAGACACTGCCTTGCCTGCCTGGACGATTTTCATCTGTCTATCGAACATCAGGTGAAAGGGGAACACCTTGCAGAATGAGGCCGGCGATATCAGTGGAGCTGTGTAGAATTACGAGGCAACATTTGTTAGAAGATTAGTCAAGCAATTAGCGTAAGTAAGCCTGGCCTCCAAACGACCTGACTCACCTTCGCAGAGAAACTCCATGTCATCGACCACCTCGTCCTTCTTGGCGTCCACCTGCGACTTGGCCGCCACGTTGATTTCCCTTATCAGGAACTGCACATGGTCGTACCGCTCGATGTCGTCGCTTTTGTTCTTCAGGAGGCGCAGGCACTTCTGCTCCTTGTCGCCGTCGCAGTCGAAGCTGTCCTGGGCCATCGGGCATCCGCCGAGTCCAAGGGGGGTGTCTGCCAAAATGATTCAAGGCTTATTGGTTACTAAACAAATATTTGTGAACAGAATTCAACAAAAAAGGCTTGCTTTATTGGCGGTTGGATATAAAATGGAATACCAATTGGTTTCTTTTAAATGGTTTGTAAAAAAATTCACAAATGGCTTTGGTTCACACCCTTTGGTGGCAATATATGAGAGAAAATAAAATGGAACGGAATAACCAATAAACTGTCATTAATTGTAAATATTAAATCAAAGGTTTTTTATCTTCTTGAATAGTAGCGTAAAGGGTCTATTGGGAATGACAGAAGACTTATAATTTTTTACATTGAAATATTTTTTAAATAAATAATTTTATAATAAATATTCTTTGTCCTTTTCCTACTTGACCTAACTTCCATTGAAATATCAGTATTATCAATATTATCAATTGTATTTATTTCAACGAGAAATGAATTTTTCCACTTCTGGTCACCAAATAAATATATGAATCCCAACAGTCAATACAATTTACATTTATTGTCATTCCAGCTCTGTGATTTTTTCAATATGTTAATCATGACCGCAATAATTCTTTTTTTTACCTTTATGGGTGTATTTTTATGTATTTCTGCATTTACCTGTCTCGGTGGCAATCTGTTGGCCGTCGTTGTTGTTGTTGACGTTGCCGTTGTTGTTGCTGCTGCTGGCCAGGCCATTATTGTTACTGCCATTGTGATTATTGTTTCGCTCGGCATCCTGACTCGAAGGACCCAGGACAACCGTCGCCATTGCCGTCGTCGCCGCTGTCGTTGCCGTTGCTGTCGCCGTTGCTGTGTCGGTATCCAATTGCTGCTGTTCCCTGGCCAGGGCCCGTTCCTTTTCAGCCTCGTCGATGGGCTCGCCTTTGCGCTTTACAATGTCGATTTCCACCTCCACGCCGTGCAGCTTGGATGCAACGGCCTGTGAGCAAGAATACGATTGGAGAAGCGCGGAGGTGTCAATATTATAAGGTATGTGGTATTTTGAACGGCTCACCTTGACGATTCCGATGACGATGTGCTCCAGGCCCGGCCGTTCGGAGTAGTAGTGGAGCAGCAGCTCGCCATCCTTCTCCGTACAGCGGAAGGAAGGGGCTCGCATTCCAGGGTACAGAGTGCCCAGGTGGTCGTGCAGGGCGTCCAGATTCTGATTGCACAAATAAAAATTTAAACAAATTAAAACCAAAGAAAATTAATAATTAAATACATTGACAAAAAGCAGGATTTTTGAGAATCATCTAGCCATCAAGAAAATAAATTATTTGGTATTTTCTTTTTCTTAAAAGTAACTTCAAGCTTATTCCCAGTGTACTATTGTTGCTGTTAATGTTGTGGTGCAGACGAAAAAATTCAATTTCATTTTTCATTATGACAAAGGATTCGAGAAGCATTTGCGGTGAAAAATGTGGAAAATTGAAAATAAATCGAATGTGAGTGCAACAAAAGGCGTCCAGGGAAATGATGGTGCAAGGATGGGGGCAGGACGGTGGAGCAGATATGGTGTTGCTGCTGTGGTTACGGTCTGAGTGGGCGATGTGTGCGCTCAAGCAAAATACTTAATGCTTATCAATGATGGCGATGTCGAAGTCGATGTCTGCCACTGAGACTGAAACTGCCAAGGGAGCAGCTACATGATAAATGATAAATGACTTGGCCGACAAGGCGATACGGCGATGTGGACACACAACTGCAATTGTGTGAGCCGCAAGGATGCAAAGGGAAATGAGTGTAAAATGGCCTTCGATTAACCAAAATTACTGGCCACACAGTTGGCCAAGTACCTGGAGGAAATCACGTGGCGTGGCTCCCAGCACTTGCAGGATCTTATCGTAGCCCGAGTCCTGGCAGAACTCGAAGAATGTCTTGCCAAACAGTTCCAGGATGTCGTCAGCGGGTATATCTGTGGGTAAAAAGAATTTATTGAGATTAAGCATGGAGAGAGAAAGACATTAACGAGGTGGTCCCTTATGGAAATAACACACGTGAGCTGGTCCTGGCCACTAACTTGGCCAAGAGTGTTTACAACATACGTACAAGCGGGAAAACATAAGGGCCAAAAGGCAATCAACAATATCAGCTAACTACCCGGACTATATACTCACTCAGTATCTCGACAGCTGCTCCAATTAGATTGTATGTTATTTCGTCGTCGTAAATTTGTCGCACCAGGAACTGTCCCTCCATGCTGACCATGGCCTTTTTCCTGCAAAAAAAAAGAACCGAAAAGAGCCAAAAATAAGCAGCCATCAAAATCGAGTCAGGCGAAACCGCAAAATGGAATGAGGCCAGAAGGGTTTTTCCAGAATTTCCCATTTTTGGATGAAATGTGAAAGCCAGTAGGAGAGAGAGACAGAAAATGAGGAAGAGAGATGGAGAGAGAGAAAGAGAGAGTGGCAAATACATTAATTTTAATTAAATTGCTTCTGTGCTTGTGAATTTATGAGTGAGTGGCTGGGCTGGCGTTCCTGCTTTTGTATTTATGTGTCTGTGGGTCTGGATCTTTTTTCCTTTATTTATATACATATATTTTTTTTTTGAGGGGAGGACTTCAAACATCCTTGCCCATATGGCGGTCACTTTATATGCTTTCAGAAATTTATGTTTTTAATTAAGCAATGAAGACGAAATAAAGCCTTTCAAATGAAAATGTTCCGTGGTTATAAGGCTTGCTGTGGGGTATTAGCTTTTTGCTTTCTGATTTCAATTGTATGAGGTTTATTTCAGAGGAAATTTAATTTAAAAATGCTTTAATGATGACCTACTTTGAAGAAAAATTAGCAGTTCTAATAACGGAAGGTAGAATAGAGGAAAATAAGTTTTATTTACTTCCAAATTCAACTGTTTCGATGCAATTGGAAGCAAATATTGGAAACATTGTGCCAATTCTGCCAATTCTACTGGCACTTCCTGCTTTCTCCAGCTTACTTTGTTAGTGTTTGTTCCTTTTCATTGCCAAAAAGTCAACTTCTTGTTTATCTATTTATTCGTTTTTATACACAACCATATCAGAACTCAAGCTAAATACAATGGAATCAAGAAGTCAAGAATCTTAGCAGCAACTGAAAATCCTTAAAATTGCTTTACAGCTTAAAGTAAGCATTTTATATCCCTCGAAGAGAAAGTTGGTGGCGATTTGAATTGAATAACAGTAACAGAAGAAAGTAGGAACTAGAGAGCCTTCGGTTTCAGCTGTTTCTCCCATTGCGAACATGGTGCAAATCGACTTTATTATTTAATAGAACTTGTGCCAAGCTGTTACCAAAACAAATTGAATACAACGTGCTGGCGGAGAAAGTAGTCGGCAGGAGAAAGGCGGCAGTGAAAGCGAAAAGCGCCAACATTGCAGAATTGAACCAAGAAAAGAAGTAATAGAAAAGTAGACTTTGTACGTGCCAAAGTTTTTCCATTTTCTCTACGCAAATCTTCTGATTTGTCGTCGCCGGAATTGGGTAAGTGGGCGTGGCGCCTCAGGTGAGCTGAGGTGTGGTGGCAACAGCTCGGCATTTCATTATTGCTCATTTCAGATGCGAACTGCAGCGCTGGCAGTAGCAAAGCAAAATAAAATAAAATAAAAATCAAACGTCGTAGCCAGAAGATGCCGGTGAATTGCAAAATGTGTCAGCAGCTGTGTCGTTGAAATGTGAGAAACATTTTCAGCCACGATGGATGATTGAGCTGTGTGCAGTGCAGCTTGGGTGTTGCAATGTTGCACAGTTTAATTTTCCAATTCCTCTTCTAGCCACACGCACATGTGACAGGGCGATAAGTATTTTATTGTAAGAACTGATTTTTAATTTCCTGAACTGCCAGCGGACATTGAATGGCGAACCGGAACCTGGAAGTGTGAGAGCCAGCAACCTTCGACGATGGCCGAGAAATTCTGAGGAAATTTCTGCATATTACACACCAAAAATGGAAATTGATTTTCCCCAAGCAATTTATTATTCTATGAAATATGGACTGCGGTTGCCAGCAGTTGGGGCAGTCAGAGCTTTTAGGGGAAACACGAAATTAAACCAAAGATTTATGCCAAGTGCATGCATAAATTCTACGCCCAGTCACGAAAGCTACTTGACGAGCCTTAAAGACCTTAAAGATCCATTCAACTGTAAACGAAGATTCTGGCTTATTTTCTATTTAATTGTTCAGGTGAGGTGAGAGAAGTACAGGTGTTTCGTAAACGCTTCTATCTGCTCGGGCGCCAGCGCTCAGCACAGGCGATTTAATTTCATAAAGTCAACACCCCAGAGTTGCCGAGAGCTGCCCAGAAAATGTCTATCATTTTTATTGTGCCAGCAAGGCAACATTTTGTGCCGTAAATTAAATTATGCTGCACGTTTTGGCCCGGGACCGATGGTTTACCTGTCGGCCTGTCTTTCCCATCCAAGCCAGGTCGGGCCAACGCTGCGTATGATTGATTTTTATTGATTTAAATGTGCGTGTGTTGTGTCAGCGTTCCAATGTCTCGCGTCGGTTGTCGTTGGTCGGTTTTGTGTTCTGAGCGCCTTTTGATCGACAACTTAATTGAAAAAGTTAATGTTCCAGTGTATGTAGGTAGGTGTGTGTATTTGTTGAGCCACAAAAAAAAAACGAAAAAGAAATCGGAATTTGTCCATTGGATTTGGGCACGTTCAGGTTTTTCCTGCTCCTAATGCAATTTGTCATTAATTCCCCCGACACACACACACACTCAGTAAAAAAGTTTGCCATTAAATTTCGCACATTTGCGGCAGCATAAGCATCAATTAATCCGAGCTGTAAAAATTAATTACGCACACACGCCGCCAATTTATGAGCCTGCCCTGCTTGCCTCTCCTTCTCGTCCTTTATTTTTTTTCCCTTCCTACTTCCGTCTTCCTTGTCGTAGTCTCTTAGCCAGATATTGCGTATACGCCGCATTGGCCCGGCAAATGCAAGGCGACACTTAGTAGCATCCTCTCATCGCTTTCATTACAAATTCAATTTCCGCCCCCGCAGCTCACTGCCCAAGCTGATTTTGCCGCGGCTCCGGCTCGCACTTTAAACTCATTTAAATATTGTTTACGCTGTGACAACGACAGTCGACGGAGAAGACGGCCGAAACTAAGTGGCTTAATCTGCCAAAACGGCAGAGGAGCCGTCCCAAAGAAATATGAAAACATTTCGCGCCTAAGTAGCTTAGGCCACGCCGAGGCAATATGCCCAAATTGTTTTTGTTTTCCTTGGCGCTATTGGCCGTCCGCGCTATTGTTGGTTTAAGTTTCACGCGCGATGCCTTTTCTGATTCCAAAACAAACCTATATATATATATTATATCCCCCATATATCCCGAATGCTCCACTGCTTCGGGTTTCTGGTTTGAAAGCTCTCGCGTGTAAATATTATTATTTAATATGCCAATCGCCTCAGCCATTCCCGGTCCCATTGGTGTAAAAAAATAAATAATAAACTGCGAGTGAGAGCGGAAAAAACGGGGAATGTTGAACCCATGAAATTTACGCACCACTGACACGCGTTCTAACACTCCGCTTTTCCGCAATTTTCCTTTTCAGCCGGGTCCCCTGGATTTCCCACCATGCTGTGACGGTCTCCTCACATGACTCGTGCTTTTTATGACAGCGCATTAAATCGCTTTATTATGAACTACTTGTTGACTTTTGGCAGCTGAAACTTAAAGTTGGCTTAGTCCTGCTGGGCGATGGAATGTCAGACCGCAAGTTGTGAAAATTCAAAATCAATCGTCTAATTTTAAGCTGACTTGTGCGGTTGGCTGTGGCATTTCTAATTAGTTTCCCATTAATTTGTGGTTTGGCTTCCAAGATTCGACAAATCAGCACAAGCTATGTTATATACGAAGTCAGGTGAGCGTTTTCTCACTAAAGTGTATGTTTCTGGATTGTATTTTTGTTCTAAGGCATCTGCCTTCAAAATATATTACCTATTGATGAAATTATTGACCTAGATTAAAGGTGCTTATCCTTAATCTTTTCCACCAAAAAGCTAACACCCACGAACATATGTATGTACTTATCCACCCACATGAAAATATATACGTGTTTATGCACTCCACCTAACCGACATTAGTGCATTTTCTGGGCAGGCACTTAGCCAAGAAGTACGGAAAGCCAAGTCGCAGAAAACCACGCCATTTGGCCTTGTTCAGAGGTAGAATAATGTGTCTCACTTGGCCTAATGATGCCAACTAAATGCTTTCATAGAGTATACCCAAGTCAGGTTCAAGCAAATGCAACTTGCATTTGAAATTCCAGCAAGAAAAGAAGAGGAACAAGAGCCGGCAAGAAACGGAAGCGAAATAAGGTTAAAAGCCACTTAAGACTTGGCCAAGTTAATGTGCCACATAACTCAAGTGAGTCACATGTTTTATTGTCCCGGTTGCAGACTTGGTCCGGACCATAGAGCTCGCAGCTTGCAGGCCAAGTTAGTGCCAGGGTCAGGATGAATTAGCCAAGAGCGGAGCTTTAATCGAATGCTGACGGCGGGCTATTAACATTGAAATTACAACCCATTACAACTGGAGGGAAAAATCACTTACTATTTTGGTTTAAGAAACTAAATTTGTATACTTTAAGCACTATTTTAAGCTTCTTATTCATCCGTATCTTCCATATAGAATTCAAAAGGAGAAATCAATCTTTTTCAGCTTATTTTTCTCTGTGTTTTTTTGCTTATGCTTATGTTTCTGTGGTAATCCCCGAGGCGTGTTATTCAAATCAGGCTAAAAAGGCAGTGGCGGAGGTGCTGCTCTAGTTTTCCTGGCAGCGGAACCGGAACATCCACCCAGGGACACCCCACACTTTTTGGGATCTAGAGCACACAGGCTAGAGGATGGAGGACAGAGGATGAAGGATGTCTGATGTCTCGTGTGTATTTGTATGCGATTAGCGTTAAACCGCTGCCAAGCAATTCACATGCAGACGTGCTGTACCTCGTTAATGATGATGGACCCTGAATCTGTTCAAGCCCATGTTCAAGCTCGTCAGCTTCCCCCAGCTTTCCATGGCTGAGAGCCAGAGCCTCATCATCATTATTAGCATCATGGCTTCCTGGCTGGCATTGTCATTGTCAGTGCCATTGGCTTACTAAAGTCGATTTTGCTGGGTATTAGCATTTTTACTGTCGTTAAGCTCCATCGGCCATGGGGCGTATGATTAACCTTTAATGCAGCCTCAAGTGTCTAGCACCTCGTGACAAAGAAATTGTTAT